GCACGGGTAAACGGCGGTTTCCTGTTCGAGACAGGAAGTCGCTTTTCTTTTACGATCCTCGAAAATCGTCGATAAGGAATGCGACAATTCTTCATAAATATTTCTGTAATTATTCATCGGCATCAATCGATATCTCGAACCTCCTTTCAATACATTCTTTTCTTTCTTTAGATTTTAAGATCAAAGATGCCAAGAACAGCATTAGAATATTACATACATAGCGCCAGCAGTATCAGAGAAGATTTTTATGTACAAAATATAATGCAATTTTGCTGGAGAGCTACTAAAAATTTTTTTTTGAAACATCAAGAAATGAATATGGAATTTCTTTTTTTAAAAAAACATTGTATTTTTTAATTGTCCATGGTATGTATGTAATAGAATTCATATAAAGAAATTTAAATTAATTCTTGGGAGCTTAGTGTCTCGTTTGAAGAAAATTTTAAAGGAATGCGTGGAAAGTGGCGACGCAATTAAGGAAACAACTAGAGAAATTTATCTGTAACAATAATACTGACCGCGCGATTGTTAAAAAAATCAGTAAAAGCTGGAAGCCTCTGCCATCCTCAGAAAAGCGTTCTCTTCAAAGCACAACAAATTCTGAAGAAAAGAACGCGGCGAGGCAATTTTCCACGATAAAGAATTTAGTTACATTTATTCTGATTGAATTCTATAAACGAAAGAAATTATATTTTTATTAATCTAACTATAGAAATGAAAGCGGAGATTTGCAACTTTGTACAGAATTGAAATTTTATCCCAAGATCTGAAAATATAATGCTTGCAAAATTATCGCTTACTTCATTTTCAGAATTAATCAGTACGTGACCAATTGAGTCGTTCATACTATATTAATAATATTTATTAAATTACCTCGTGAAATTGGTAATGCAATACTATTACTATTTTAGTCTCGGTGATATTAAGAGACAGAAGTTCCACGGTGACGAACGCGTTAATTATGGTCGTATCAAACGTAAGGCTAGATTTCAAGGTGCACGGAGCGAACGTTGACGTAATCGACAACCTGTTCTTGATGACGTAAGGAACAAGTCGTACGGAGGACACGTAGACATCGTAACCCGAGAAATGTATCCATTTCTGAAAAAAATTTTCGCTCTTCCAGCTGTAATGAGAAATTAGATAATAACAAAATGACAACTTTTCATCGAAAAGTTTAATCTGATATTTGTAAGTCACGTATATATGATTTATACTTATATGTTGTTATACGATTTATAGTATCTTTTATATTTTCAACAGAATAGAAGAGGAAATTAGTGCAAATGAAGAATGTTGTGTGCACCAGATATGACGTAAACAATTTCAAATCGCGATACACGGTTTTTCTTAAGGAGTTTTCTAAATAGTACGAAGCTCGTCACGTACTTCTAAATTGTTCACACTGTAATTTCCATCGGTCATTCTTTTCCATTGCAAATGTATTCACCCCCGGTTATATATAGTCGCGTGCGAATGTTGCCTTTTAAACCGGCGTGATTGGTTTTAATGCTTTGCTAGTCCGCATTACGGAGAACGGAAGCGATGATCATGATTATGCGTGTGCAACAAATATAGCGTGATTGAATATCATACCTCGAACACTATCACGTGACGTAATATTTCTGTTTATCCTATAATTTAAATCAATTAGAAAAAAAAGATAAAGGAAGAATCTCTTATTCATAATTTTCAGTCGTTTCGAGCGCGCTGCATCCATAAATTTGGGATAATGAAGCTAATTAATCGCTGAGAAATTATAATTATGAAGTTATTCACTTTCTCCGTGTGTTATACTTGTAAAAAGTTCACTGAGAACTTTTCATTTGTAGAAGTTGGATGTGCCGTGTGGGTTTGTTACTCAGAAAGGATGCCTTCGCAATCGAACGAACGGAACGATTATAATTATAATTTTCATCAGGAATGCCAAAACGGGGCGGTGTGCAAGCAATTTATGCAACTATCGCAAATCTGGGCTCGACAGCCAACAAATTTCCCGTCGCCTGACGCGCAGATGATGTTTCAGCCGCGGCCTTTGAAAACACACGAATACGCGAAGAGAAGTGGTTTGTAGCTGAGGAAAAACATCCGAGGCTTCCGTGACCTGTCGTTAACCCAGTTAGAGTTGCCATTCTAGTACACGCACTCGTTACAGGCTCCGCCATATTTATTCCATATTTGAAAGCTGATTGCAAGATAATCGAAATGCGGCTCCACCGTCGTGGAATTACGATCAACACAAAGTGGAGCAGCCGGAGGACAAGCTCCAACCAGATAGAAAGACAGACACTTGCCGCCTTAATCGGCGAAGACAATCCGAGAATATCCAATCTTCGTCGGCGGAATTGAAGTTGAAGATTTCTTCGAATTGATTGGATAGACAAGTAGATTTGCTTAGTTGGTTGTCTGCCGGCGGAGATTTGGAAGTTAAGTGTTGTGTGAGGCGAAGAAAGCTTGAGGTTTAAATAAGTAAGACGTTTAAGACATGTGATTAAATTATTTGATCATTTAACGTCAGTTTTTCCTTCATTGCTAAAATAAGAAATCGACCTTATTATTATTTTAGGAATAATGAATTTTGAATTACATATTACATTTTGATATGCGTGTCTGTGAAACATAACAGTTACATACTTCATTGGAAGAAGAAGTTTATTTACCCAGGAAAAGTACAATGACGTTCTAGCATGCAAGAGGAACAGAAATAGAAAATAGAGCCTTTCGCTTCACACGGCTTAATAATTGAGCTGTCAGATGTAAAAGTGAACTCCGTCCAATAAAACTGTGCGACAGTCGCGCTAGTTCGCGCAATAATTCACTCACGTCTCCTCTATGAATTGTCTAATGATCTGCTCGATAATGTTCGAATTATTCATTCTTCTCGAACGTTTTATATCTCGCCCTCTTCTTCGGAGAAGATATTTTCACGAATTTCTTCTTTCTCGTCGATGAATTATTAATCTCTCAAGATTCTGTGATATAAATTTCTTAAATTTCTACGCGCATTATGCCTATATATATATATATAAGAATAATTTTAGTATCAATTTCTATTGGAAATGTTTCGTTAAAATAAACTTTACGATTGTATATTTATATAAACATATATAGATCCGGCTAGATCCTGAAATACACCGGTATTGTCGATCGATGACCGCGTTATCTCGTTCATGAACGTTATAATATATCAGTTTATTGCTAAACAATACTGATTCGTGTTTCTGATAAAGAAAGCATCGTGCAAACTCAACTTGTGTGCGCTAATATTAATCACGAGAATCTATTGTTCTGTTAACGCAATCATATATTAAATCTTCGTAACCACTTTGTACCAATTGCTTTCTATATGAAGATTACAGAGAAAAGCATGATAAGCCAAAGTGTATTGCAATTCTTCTGAATGCTTCATCATATTTTTCTCCTGATTTTCAATATAGAAAAATTTTATCCGAATTTTCTGGGCCAACTGATATGCTGTTACGAATCAATATTCTAGACACTAGACGAAACACCAGAAATATTTTTTCATGTCTTGAAAATCAATTTCTAAACGAGTTAGATCTTGTTAACTTAACATTGATCGCAGATTTACCGCGTTGCAAATTTAAAACGCGAGAGAAGTTAAGTTAAAGTAAATTAAAGGGATTTTAAATTAAACGTGAAAGGGAAACAAATCAGAAAAAGTTCGATCTATGAAGAAAGAAGAAGATACAGAATTGGAAAATTATTAAAATCACTTCCAAAATTACCTGCTCCAAAGCAACAAGTCCACCTTGTTACCAAAAATTGGACGCATTGAAAATTAAAGAAGAGTAGGGGATCATATAATTGAAACTATATGTAACTATTGCGGTAATTCACGTTTCCTTCTCGAAGGTATTAAGACGGTTGCTAACCGGTGGTAACATCCAAGGGAAGAGAATGATTGAACGAAACGAACGTTTAATTGTGAAGAACCACGTAGGACGAATGAAAACAAGCTAGGTGACGAGGTATGTCGTCATCGTCTGATTCCTTTGCAACGCATGACGTCGTCCTGTAATCAGAAAATCACTCTGATAATGCTACTTACACAGAGTGATTTTGAAATGTCCGTTCTTTGGATGATAAATCTGTACAATAAAATAACTATATCAGTCACTGTTATCTAGATGGAATAGAAGATACATACATATATTTATACAACTATTATTACAATACATCTTATTTGATAAGTATATGATAGAAATATGACTTTGGAAACAACTGGAAAATGGTCTCAGAAATAGGTGAATGCAATGTGGAGCACAAGATGAGATCTTCCTCTCGATGAGATTACTTCTTGCAAGTTGCGACGAAAATAAGGAAGTCGCGATTATGAGACGTTTGTACTCGCGAAAATTGGGAATTACGCGAGAACATTAGTCGAGAAAAGTAGGTTATAGCTTTTCAGCTACAGTAGAGGTAGAAATAGCGGAAAATTTACTACTAGGAGGAAGTAAAAATTGTAATAAACCTTTTTTAAGTGTACACTTGAAGAAATATGAATTGCGATAGTATTTTCTTTCTCAATGAGAACTCTTGAAAGTACAATTGGTCCTTTCCTTCGTTTATTCCTCGTTCATAACTCATAACTTATGAACGACGAGCCTTGGTTTCTACAGCGGTTTCTTTGATCGTGTTCGTGCCTCGCGTAGGAGAAAAGGTCATACGATCGAACGATCGGTTATTTGTATGTACGTCTTGTATTACAATCCTCTGTCCCTTGCCATTTTTGAAATCGAATATAATTGGCGAATCTATGAACGCATCCGGAGGAGTTCGTCAGAATGAAAATAAATAACTGTTATTGAATCATCGTTTAAAGAAAAATCTGAATGCGGTGATTTGTTCGTAGAGATAAAAGTGAATAGAAATTTGAAGAAGATTCTCCAAATAATTTTTATTGATATTTATTTATTCACGGTAAATGTTTCCATTTGATTTGTTCATTCATAATTTCTTTAATATTCTGATTTCAGCATCTGAGGTATTACAAGATAGAACACCGGAAATCGACCGTTCTAACGAATGACATCCGCCACAACTCGATGTAGTGAGTTCAGTTTGACTCTCACCTCGTTCACTAGATCCACGATGATCTGTGTAATTACACGTTTTCGACGGTGGAAACGGGAAATTAAAGAAACGAATCGTGAAGCTGTTATTTCATTTCCGTTCAGAATAAATTGATCGTTGCTTCTTGAAAATGCGGGAGATCTGTAGAAAACGCTGTACAATTAAGATTCTAGATCTTTTTAGTAGATTTCAGAACTTTTTAATTTATTAAACAAATTGTTCGAAATTCATAATCGTAATATTCTTTTGTATCAATCACAATGCTTAAATTAGCAATGAAACAAAATCTCTTCTTTTTCAATTTTATGCCACGGGAGGAGTAAAACTGTATACACAAAGTCATCGGTATTTTCAAATTCGTTATGGAGATAAGGGCATGATACAGGATTTTGCTGTACAGTTTCTTGTAAACTTTTTCTGAGTAAAATATTCATTTTACTAAAAACCAGTCTTTTTTCGTTTAGACATACATAAAAGTGGACTAAAAAATGGAAATTAAAGGAGGACCATTGGCATAATAGACGACCTTAGGTCGTCAATCTCTTCTGAGTCCTTTGTACCTGCTTTTAGAAAAAACTTTGTAATATATACAACATGTCGATCACAGCCTCCACGGAAAGAATGGACACAGCCAAGGACCTGCCCAAGAAGAAATTTATTAACATCAATCTTCTTTCGTTGAAACTTCTGTTATTCCTCTTTTTTGGAGGTAAATTTCTAATCGAGCAGCTTTTGTGAAAAAGAGCAAAACAGATTGATTATTATAAAATTTTGATTTTATTTCACGATCAGCACACATTTGTCACCAATATCATCAATATCATAATTATTTTTTTTTTTTAGGAATGGGATGTCTCTTCCCTTTTCTTCCTTTACACATGACTGAAATGGGATTGAGCATCGACCAAATCCGAATGATCTCAATAATTTCACCAGCAGTCGCGATCCTGGGACCTTTAATCGCTGCTCCAATCGCGGATAAGTTAGCAACACATCAAGGAAGAAATGACAAGTCCTCAACTGGCCGTTACCTCAGAGTGATGATTGCCATTGCCTGCTTCTTATCTGCCATTTTCTATGCTTTTCTTTTATTGATTCCAACGGTTGATCGTATTGAACCTCCAAGAGAAAGAAGACCCGGTCTAAAGTTCAACTGCGATCATGCAGGAGCGGTGGTGTTGCAAGAAAGATGCAAAGATCATATTTCTTGCCACAAATGGTCCGACGAAACCAGAGTTGGTCCATTGCTTCTGGAAGGATGCAATTACGCTTGTTACCCTATAGGGTTGAAACGATGGCATTCCGACGACAATGATGGTTCCACTACTTCTGGAACGACCGATTCCGATGTTCTAGACGGCAGTGGCGAAACAACAGTGATTCCTCTTGAGAGTGAAATGTATGCCCAGGTGAATGTTCAGGTAAAGAGTTGAATCAACGTTGAAATCCAATTGAAGTAGGAAAGCACGATAAGTTTTAACATCACGCATGGAAATAATATTTTAATATCTTTCAATATATGAAAATCATGTAATTTATTGTACTCATCTCTCGTAATCTTCAATTGTATAAAAATAAAATAATTTAAATTAATGGAAAATGTTGCAGGAGCAAGATGAAATTAAAAAAACACGGAGATTTGCCATGCCTGAAAGTGAACCACCGCATTTATGTTTTAAAGAAGGTGACAATGTTGTTTGTCATGTTTACACCAAATACACAGGCATCCTGGCTACAAATGCTACTCTGAAACAAGCCTTGAATAATGAAAGTGAACAGGATTGGTGTGCATATCCTCTGGCTGAGTATTTCACTTGTCGTATTCCTCTTGAACTTGAAACCAGAATGGCAGAAGTTTATCAGAGTTGTTCCATTGAATGTGACCTGGTTGATCCATATACTCTTCCAGGTAATATTAATAGATGAAAACTGAACAAAAATTTGCTTCATTCACTTAGTGCAATGATGAATTTGAATGTTTTAGTTTAAAGTATCTCTAAATGTATAAACATTCACAATTGAAATATTAATTCAATATTATCGTATTCGACGACAATTTTAATTCCAGACAGCGTCCTCGTAGAAAGCCAATGTCAACAGACAGAAGACTGGACTCATTTAGTATTCTGGACATACTTAGCCATTCGATCAGTAGCTGATATTTTCCCAACAACGGCCGTGGCTCTGATCGATGCAGCAGTCGTAATAGCCACTAGAGAAACATCCTGTGGACGCGGAGATGTAGGACGTCAGTTAGCCTTCGGTTCGCTTGGCTTTGCCATTTTTGGTCCCTTAACCGGCTATTTGTGCACTATTATAGAAAATTTGAACTCTTTCTACTATCTGCCAATCGGTATACACACGATAATGATGCTTTTGGCAGCCCTCGTAGCTCTTTGTGCCAACGGAATGCCACTTAGTCCACCAGAATGGTGGTGGCATACTAGAAGCGGCATGCTGGCACTTCCTATGAGTGCCATCAAGAGATATGGCAGTGAAACTGCAGCTTTAGTAATTGTACTGATCATTATGGGAACCTTCTGGAGCGCTATGGACAGTTATCTACCTTTGTAAGAATCTTCTTTGTTCAGTTAGGCTGAAGAATTATAATGGCTCAAAATAATCAAATATTTGATTCATAAATTCTTATGACTATAGTAGCTGATGAAAATGTTTACTATATTTATTACAATTACAATACAATACAAATTCTATATACATTTTTGTACTTTTTAAATTAATGGTGTAATTAAGATGCTGACTGTTTTAGTGAAAATTAAGTTGTATACTTTTGTTTAGGCATTTACAAAAGTTAGGAGGTGACGAATTTCCCATTGGTGTGGCCATGACTGTTGGAGCAGTTCCAGCATTTCTGTTCCTCTGGAAGTCTGAGCATTTAGTTGATTACTGTGGTCATAGTAATCTTCTCATCACTGCCTTTACCGTGTATATTATTAGGTAGGTAAGTTTTTGTATTATAAACTACGATTTCTTTTTTTCATTTATATATCTTTTAAAATTGAAATTTGCAGGTTTACTGGTCTAAGTCTAGTAGCAGAACCTTGGTGGTCCCTAATTGCCGAAGCCCTCGAAGTTTTTACGCTAGGAATCATGTGGGTTACTGCCATTCTTTACCTAAGACATCTCGTCCCTCGTCATTTAACTGTGACTGCTCAAGCACTACCTGTGATTGCGCATTTCTGCGTTGGTATGCATCCCGAGTACAATTTTTAAACTTACAGTCGATGAATTCATGCAATTCATTTAGCAATTTAAATCTTATAACATCAAATTCGATTCAGGTCGATGCGTTGGAGCTGTGATCGGTGCTTATATCAACGTCAATGGCTCTGACATCGTTGACTCGTTAAGATTTCTTTATCGTTGCATGGCTGTTGCTGCCGCGGCTGTTGCCGCTTTATATTTTGTTTTATATCACGGGATATTGAAACCGCGATGCCATGCACATACCATACAAGGTCCACGACAGCCTCCTACTATTGTACAGGGTAAATAACTTTGATGATTTATATGTATAAATAATTTCAATTATTTCTCCAATAATTTTATGTAAATGTTAGTGTCAAACTTTAGGAATATTCAATAGTGATTAAAATAAGTGATAATAATTTTTATTCAATGCTAATAATTGATAATATTAACTGACCATTTCATTTATTATACAAGCTGCTATTAAGGAATATGAATTAAGTAAGTGGCTTTCTAATAATTTATTAATTCTAAAATATCATTACCTTATATTGCATTTTCATTGTCTTATGATTTATTTATTAATATCAGTCCTTTTATTATTCTTTTCTATATGTAGCGATGAATGGAAATGGAAATTATACACCGCTCAGGGTCTATCATAATGGCATGGGCAGAAAAGGTCAATTCCGCTATTGAGAAATTTAAAAAAAGAGGAAAAAGGAGTGTTTAACAACACTATAAATGTCATGTTACGGTGCTAGTGATTAGACTGTCGTTGTTATTGCAATTAAAAAGAAAAAATCATCATTGTTATATGACATATGTATAAAAAGTGCGTTTATCACTGTGCGGCCTCCACTAACATTTTTTCACATTTTGTCTAAACTTGTGACAAAATTGTCAACTTTTTGATACTGTCATTGATTTCCTTTTATACAAACAATTTCTAAAAATTAATTTTTGCTCAAGTGTACTTCAAAATGTCAAAGCGAGATTTTACATCTGTCAGTACCAAAATGAGATTACAGTACCAGAAAGTAGGAGTACTCAAATTACGAGAGGTATTTTTCAAAATTATTTTCCCAATTTTTATCTATTTACAGTCGCAAATAAATTACAGTTTTCGTAAATTACAGTTTTCTTTATGAAAAATGCAATTACTTTTTATTTAAAAAATTATATTTTAATGTTTATTATTTTTTTTTATATAAAGAACACTTTTGAGTACTTTTACTTAAAGTACCAATGAATAATATTACCGAATCTTACTACTCTAAATGTAAAATTTGTAATGTTTTTTTTATCCTTCCAATCTTTGTACTCTTTATAGATATTGTATAAGCGATATGTTAATATCATGAAAAAGCTACGAACTCGTTTCGTAATTTTGTTGCGTTTAAATTCTTTGTATACTCGACTGCGGTCACGTTACGTGATGTATTTTTAAGAAAAAATTTCTACAGACTTGTTGTATGTATCTACTGAAAAATATTTGCCTCCCTGTGTGTAGGACATAATGACTTTAATTGAAAAATGAAAGAAAGTAATATATTGATTTTTTGGGGTCGATACGTGTATACACAGAAGACAAAAAATAAATGAAATTAAGAAAAATGCAAGTTTTTGAATTCAAAATGTGATTAAAATTAAAAAAGACGATCAAAATTTCTTATTTACTTCAAAAATGCCTTTCTTCTATTAAATTTTTTCTTTGAATAGAAAATAAACAGAATAAAAAAGACACTTTCTTACAGAATCTATGAAGAGATAGCCCCGTTTAACTGTTTGTAAGAAATTTATTTTTCAGATCCACTTTTACATAAAGATAATAGATGAATTTGCTATAGATTGAATTTTCAGTTTTTAATATGACACTACAAATATAATACGTTAGGATATATAAAACACGATCAACATTTTTGTGACCTTCTCCTTTTCTGCCATCTTTAGGCTTACAATCATTGTACATTTAATGCTTATGCAAATATAATTTATTATTAGATATCTATATGAGATACATTTGTCAAATATCAAAAGTATTTATACATAAATGCAGCAAAAGTGTCATCCGAGAAAATTCTTACAGTTTACAATCTTACTCAATAATTTTGAAACTCATAAAAATTATAATAAAATTTGTGTAAAAAATCTTTTCCTTTAATAATTATCAACAAAATCATGCGAATTTTTTAACATTATCTTTGTACAAAACAAATTATAACAATCTCTTACTTATCTAAAAATGAATAATTTTATTATTCTCATTCTACTGATCGACATTATTTACGTAACACGGAGTATTTAATAAATTAATGAAATAATTTTCAAACTTCCACGAAAAATATATATCTAGATACCTTTAAAGATACTGAATTATTAATTCAGAATTTTTTAATCGTTATATGTATATATGAAAATTCTTATAGTAAATTTGAAATATTAATAATGAAATTTTTATGAAAAAATAAAATATTTCTCTAGTATATGTTAAAAATTTCAAAGACGAAAAATATGAAGAGATACATTATAAAATATAAAAGAGAAGTCATAAAATACAAAGTTTCCCATGATATTATTTTCAATATTTATACAAGTTTTCAAAGCAATATTTGCACAATTGATTAAATATAAATAATAAGTTCGATTAAAGTACTAATAGAACTCATGAAAATTATTGAATAACTACTTTTTAATTAATCGTCAATAATAGTACAGTCATCACTGCTTTCAGATTCCATAACGTTGGTTTTACTTAAATCTTTTTCTTTATTTTTTGATATATTTCCTATACCAACATTACCAGTAGTAGAAAAGTGCCTTCTTTGCATTTTAGTTTCTTCTTTCAATTTATTATTAATAAATTCATTCGCGGCAGTCTTTTTATTTAAATCGTTATTTGTGTTGCTAACCATTTTCACAAGATTATCAACAGTCTTGCAGGTAATTGAGTGTCCACTTGATGGTTCATATGACTTTAGATCACTGTCCTTTTTAACAGAAATGCTTGAAACATTACTGCTTGAAGCACTGTTTGAAGATTTATCCATAGTTTCTAGCATTTCAGAGATGAAAGGCGAATTAGCTTCTATCAGATCCTTCAGTGGTGTTTCATTTGGATCGGGTAACTGCTTTTTCATATTCAGTTTTTGCACAAACTGAATAAAATGATCTTCGAAATTTCCAAGTTGCTTATTAACTTTTTTAACAGGCAATACTGAAGCATCATCTTTTTTCTCCGATTGTTTACTACTTTTCAGCACAGAATGCCTTATATGTTTATCATAATTTTGCAATTTTACAGTATTTATTTGTACCGATTTATTTACCATCAAAACAGACCGATCGCCCACGGCTCGATCTATGCTATGTTTCTTTTTAAAGAAATTTATTCCATCGACTACGTTCGTTTCACCAATCAGTTCAGATGAACTCATAATACTGTTCTCTATTTCTTCGCCAATTTCTTCGGATTCTGCATCGGATTCATTGATACAAGTCATATCAAGAGGTATTTCTACATGATTCTCTCTCTTGCGAGTATTATTTTTATCTACAGACAGAATAGCTCCTATTTTTATTTGATATCTTTTCCATCTATTATATTCACGGATTATTCTATCATTGATACATGCTAACTGAGTTACAGTATTGCGTATATCACAATGAAACTGTTTGATTAGAAGATGAGCATCGGTCGACTTGTAGTTTTTAAATTCATCTCGTTTAGTTGTATCATACAGATCTTGGAACTTGATCTTCAAATTATTCAGAATATTATTAATCTCTTTACCATGAGGAAGTAACCTTTGGTTCAGTGTTTTTACATTGTGCCTCTCCTGTGTATTATAGCTATTTTTTGAACTTACGAGAGCAACAGGTACTGCTTTGCCATTAGAGCTGTTAATAAGTCGTGAAACTTGCGACGAACCGACAACTGCTACATCTTCTGTATCACTTTCAATCTCTATAATATTCATGTTTGTACGCGGCATTTGCGGCTCAAGTAAAGAGAAACGTGGTCGATGTATTATATTAACATTGTGATTAGGTATACTAACCATTGGAGTTGGTACAGAATGTAATGTTTGGTATAAATTTGCTTGGTTTGTCTGATTTATCGAACTAGACGTTACATGACGAAGAGGTGCTGCAGGTTGCAAAAAATTAGAAACGTTCACAACAGCCGTATTGTACATTGTTGGTTGTTGCGTAATGGAGGGATTCTCTTTATGATGATTCGGATTTACTTGAAGTTGGGAAACGATCGTACCGTCTCCACTAACGGTGGCATTTTCACATTCAACCATTGTTTGCTCGCATGAGAGTAAAGGTGGAAATATTTCACTATTATCCATCGAAATGTCATCTGACACTTCATATTTATCATTACTATCATTGGAAAATCCTACTTTACCACGACCCTTTTTTTTACGTTTGGAAACAGGATTTGATACTATTTGCTTAGGCATGTAGGTTTCATCGTCTTCTTCTGAATTTGAACCATTTTTTCGGCGCTTTCTTTTTCTCCTTCGCAGACAGCATTTTGATTCGTCAGTATTCATTCTATCATCTATTTCCTCTTGAGACAACTTACTGTTATTTTGAAATATTCTACAAAGATTTAAAATAATCAAGCAATTAAAGTGAAGAGTAATTATTTCAGTAATTGGTATTTACCTATTCATGGTTTGAATATGCTTAAGTAAAGCCCAACAAGTTCCTCTTGCGTTATATAGATCTCTAGGATCACAGACAAAACATTTCCACCTCTCATCAGCTTCAATTTTTTTTCTTAATATAGGATCAAAATTTCTTTTAATACATTTATAACAAAATGTATTACTACAAAAGGAACAACAGTATAAGTTACCACCATTTGCACACCATCTACAAAACATATCTGTCGCATCATCACCTGTAAAATTTGATTTTAAAAATATGAAATTTAATTGAACTTTTTAGTACAGATAGCAATAATATGTACCTTGTTCAAAGGTACCATCCCCATAGAACTCTCTGCATTTTGCACACAGCAATGTACGTAATACAGGATGTTCAAACATGTTATGAGCATTTGCTGGTGCAGAACCAATGTGTATATCACATGCTGTACAATGTAATCTTTGAAATCGTATAGATGAGATGTCTGCAACAAAACATCAATGTCAAACTGCAATAATGATTTTTCTAAAAATTTACTTAATTTTTAAAAAATCTGTTCTTATAACTTAACAATTTTATTATCTTATATATTCATTGTCTTTGTTGCATTGAATAAACTTAAAAAATAAAGAATAATATGTATATTTTACTAGATCAATATTATACATTTCCTTACCAAAAATTCTGCAAAATAAAGAATTATTATAGAAAATATATCTTGAAATCTAATTTACTTGTGTTTTTCCAAAAAATCTACATAACATTCTCTACATCATAAAAGAAACATGACAATAACATACTGTGTCATATAATGTTAAGAATGAATTTGTTAGAAACAAAAATTAACAGACAATAAAAATTAATTAAATAAATGTAAGTTTACCATTGCCAAGCATAAGCTTATAATAATTGCTTTCCTCTTGGGAAATAGGTATTGAAACATTCGTCGTGCCTGGAAGTAGTTCCTTGGGAGTTACTGTAATACAAAGTAGGTTAGACATTGTATTTCACGATAATAATTCGTAGGAAGTCATTTCACAAAACTTTGAGATTTCACCATTTTCTTTACTGTCTGCTTCTTTCACTTCGTTCACTTGCACTTCGAGCATACTTGAGATATCCATTCTTAACGTTCTGCGAACGATTACGTTCAACGTTACGTTTCAAAACACAGACTATCGGGCCGCCATTTTCCTGCAGGCGCACCGGCCTGAAATTTCGCCATAGAATTATTCAAACATTAAAAAAATACGCACCTCGTTTAAAGGCATGAACAACTGCAAAATTCTAAAGAGACAGAGCACCTTTCTTAAAAGATTTCAGCAGAAAAATCTGCCATTTTTCGTGAGTACTTCTTTTCGATAGTTATTGTTACATTACGATTGATTGCAATTTATATGTATCATAAACATACTATCACGATTGGTTATATAGAATTGTAAATATTTAAAGGTGTAAATTAAAATAAATACCAAGGATGGAGTAAGGTGCTACCAATTGGCATTCTCGAATCTTTTAATTTTGGCGCGATTTTTGTACGTTGAAGTCACATCAAGATTTCTGTAAAAGATTCACTAAAATATCTTTATATATATAGTCAAGGATTTTAAATGTAAGATTACATTTAAAAAATTAGAAAATAACTATAAAGCCAAGCCAAATTTTTAAGGATCGTTTGAATATTCGATTTGACACGACCGGAAACTCACCCTTTTGTATATTGTTGCGACTGCAGGAATAAATTTATTTACAAATGGCGATCATTTTTCAGGCTTATAGTTATAGAGTGATTCAAACTGATTGAACAGCAAAAAATACAACAATGGCGGAAAATACGGGAAAATCCAGGAAAATCTCGCTACAAAAGTCTGCGGAGAGATTAACGGAGGAAATCCAAAGTATGGCTAATTATAAAAATCTTTACACTGAAATTCAGGTATTCGCAAAGTATACAATCATTAAAATCAAATCGAAAAAGCTCAAAAAATCAAAAGTGAATACAATTTTCATTTTTTTTATTTTTTTTTATTTAGAAACTTGTTGCCTCTACCGCGGTAAAAAGAGAAGATTTCAAAAATACATTACTGGAGGCGTTAAAAAGTAATGGCTTGGAAACAGAAATCAGAAATACTGTATTTCATTGGGTCAGATCGCAGGTATACGTACATTTTTATTAATTTTGATGCATTTAAAAATTTTATAAGATATTTGTAACTCTTTCTTTTAATCAAATGCGTTTTAAGGGTTCTTTATCAGCTGTGTCAGAAGCATCCACGGAGGAAGTAGATCTAACTTATTTAAAAAAGGCTCAAATTCAATGGGAACGTAGAATACAAAAATCGTTAAATTCAACATGTAACGAATTAAATGTGCCACTGGCACGCATTAGACCAAACGCAGATCGTGAAGAACTTGCTGAAAAATGGAACGAATTAAGCACCTATGATATCGGTGATCTTAATAACGATTCGTTGAATAAAAATTCTACTAAAAGTGCTAAAGCAATTATTCTAATAAATTTGAACTTTGCTTTATTTAATATCTAGATTTATCACAGTACAGACCTCTTTACGCTCCAAAAGACTTCTTGGACGTGCTATTTTCTATCAGAAATCCTTCTTTTAAAAAACAACCGTAAACACCGTTTTTTTTTTTTTTTTTTTTTTTTTTAATAAAAATTACATTGCCTTTTTGGATTTTATAACAAACAATAATAATTTTTCAGAAATGAATTGAATTGGGAGTTTGGCCATATCCAAATTCGCGTAAAAACACTCACGCAATTGGTATATATTACATGTATCTAATTATATATATATATTTTTTTATGATAAATTATTATTTTTTCTTTAATAGAGACATTTGTACGTGGAGCTAGCAAAGGGTATGTCATTATTAGGTGTAAATCCAGACATGCCAAGTTCAGAAAATTTCACAAATCTAGAAGAGGAAAGGATTTACATTGGCGAGAAAGTATTGAAATCGAATCATGCCCCGATAGCGCAAGAATTCTTGAAGCGTGGAGCTCCTCGAGCTCTTCGCGGTCGCCTTTGGTCCCTTGTGTTGGGATCCACAGTAAAACAGAATGTAAAAATGTTATTTTCAAGCCAAAAAAAGAAATAATTGCAATCTGAATGTCTTTTAGGATCTGGAATATTACGAAGAATTAAAAAATATGGTGTTACAGTATGATATTGTTATAGATAAACTGATAATAAAGGTAATTAAATTTTAAGTCTTTTTATATAATTTTTTAATTTCTATTCGATTATTTTTTTCAAATTTTATTTTCAATTATCTCTATTTTAGGATGTGCAGCTAACAGCACGAAACGACGATCAATATTTTGTATTCGAAGACGTTTTATATAAAACAATGTTGTGTTTTTCTCGTGATTCGGAAGTATTAGCTCCAGTTACAACTGATAGAAGTGCTGGAGGTCAAGTAATACATGCTGTTTTACAAGGGAAACCAGCCACTTTGGAAAATACTCTAGTCTTTCCACCAAGTGGTGTGATTCCATTTCATGGATTCACGATGTATGGTAAAAAATATAGAACATTATTTTAAATCAATATTCAAAAGTCTGTAGAAGTCCATAGAAACGTAAGAAATTTAATTAAAGAAGAAAAAGAAATATTACAAAAATATTATTAAAATCTTATGAAAATATTATTAAAATGCATATAATTTTTTAGCTACACCATTTTGTTACCTATACGATGATCCGTGCGCCATGTATTATACATTTCGAGCATTTTATTTACGATATTGGTTCCGCTTGCACACCGTTTCTAGTCACGAACAAGGTATTGTAGCATTATGTTTGCTTTTTGAGAGGTTATTACAATGCCACGAACCACTGCTTTGGATTCATTGTAGAAACATTCACATACAACCGTAAGTTCAATTTATTTTGTACATTTGTACATCATAAAACTAATTGATGTTTGTTTTTAGAGTGAAAATCGTTTTTAAGTGGATCATGAGAGGTTTCAGTGGCCATTTACCACCAGAACAATTGCTTTATCTCTGGGACTTAATTTTAGGATACGATTCGTTAGAAATTATACCTTTACTCGCAGTTACTATTCTGAGCTTTCGAAAAGAAAATTTAATGCAAGTGAATAACCAACAAAGCGTAGAGGTGGAAAAATACTTTCACACTAATTATTTATTTATTATTTCTTTACGTTACTAATTATTTATTTTCAGGCTGTCTTGGCAGATTTGTCCTCTTTGAAAGTTGTTCCATTATTGCAATTGGCTTTGTTAAGAGAATAATAGCGGGTGGCAAGAAGAAAAGACACGAGATCTTGATTTAAATATAAATTTAAAATTTAAGTACTTAGGAATAATTTCTCCTTTTGCGTTTGCGCAAAATGTACTGATATACACCTTTATCTCTCTTCCATGATTTATGAATTGTTACTATAATAATTCAAACTACTTGGCAATTTATTAAGTGATCAGACATTCTAAGCACTTTAATTTGCTAATTTAAAAAACGCATGAAATTGTCGACATCATCGATTTCGTCAGTGCTGAAATCATCGCCATTTCTTTCACATATGGTTAGAATGATGACCAATATTCTCTGTACTCGCAGCTGATTTCCGAACGTAACTCCATGTATACAGGGTGCCTTATATATACGAATGTACGTCTATTCAATAAAAGTATACAAATATAGCAAACATTTTAGAATATAAAATTGTTAAAGTTTTCATTCAATACGTATATGTTGTTTCTTTTTTAATTCAATTCAAACAATGGAAAAGCAATTTTATATAGTACTTCTCTTCTTTGGTTCTACATATATATATTATAGTATCTATATTAATATACCATTTCTTAATCATCTTATTCTTTTTGTATTATTTATCAATTTTTTTATTAAAAAGATAACATATAACATATTCCTTTACGATAAAGTATTTTAAAATATCTTCATAATATACTTAGTATTGAAAATAATTATAAATAATTTGAATTGTTTAATTGTTCCTGTCGATAGAAGTTTCTGTCAGCAGTCGACTCTTTCAGTCTTTATTTCCATATACGTTTCATTTCTTTAGGACACATTGTATGATGCTACTTGCGATCGACAGAGATAGAAGAAGTCTTTTAGAGGGGGACTTTCCTGTTTCCGCCTGTCAGCCGTGGAGATCAGAGACGCCTACCTGCCATCGTCGTTGTGTTTATAGTAGCTGGTTCTTTACTGAATTGAATTTTGTGCTAATATCCCGTGAAACGCGTGCAAAGCCACGCCGAACAGCCGCTTGTGAGTAGAATTATCGTTGAATTTAATTTTTTTCCATTTTAGAAATTGTATTCGACTGTCATTGTTATTACTTGCGAAGTTGCGACGGACAAGGGTGGGGTGATTCTCACCCCCAAATTATTAGTCATGCACAGCTTTGTATTAGTGTCGAAACCCCTCTTTAACATTATTTGTCTGTGCATCAGGAATAAATTAAATGAAAATCTAATGACGACTTTCGATGAAAAATATTTTTAAATAAAAATATTCTCATTTATGGATTTCTTACATTTTTTTTTATTAAAAATAGTTATTGAATATTGCACGAATTACAAAGATTTAAAGTGAGTTGTTTACATGTAACATTATTTGTATCAGATTACATGGTTTAAGCAGAAGTTAATCCAGAAGCTATATAGTTACAAAACGTCAAAATGGCTTGGCGTTTTAAAGCATCTAAATATAAAAATGCAGCTCCAATTGTTCCTAAACCAGAGGCCTGCATTAGAGACATCTCAGTTGGCTCCTATCAAACTTATGGCAATAACATTGCAGCATCTGCTGCATTTATGGCATTTAATGTAGACCATAATGGTATATTTATATGTTTTAATATAAATTATACATTTTATTTTTTTTATATTATATTATATTTCTTGTTTTTTTTGTTTTTTTTTTAATTAGGATCTAATCTGGCTGTGTTACCACTAGAAGATTGTGGTAGAAAAAGTAAAACTATGCCTTTACTCCATGCTCATGCAGATACAGTAACAGATATGGACTTCTCTCCATTTCATGATGGTTTATTAGCCACTGGTTCACAAGATTGTCTTGTAAGTCATAATGTTTATAGAATATCTTTACAGAATATCTTTGTTTATTATTCGATTAATGTGTTATAAATTATTATGTACTTATTGCAGGTCAAGTTATGGCATATTCCAGAAGCTGGCTTAGAAGAACCTCTATGTAATCCTGAATGTATATTTTCCCATCGTCAAAGAAGAGTAGAAGTGGTGTGTTGGCACCCTTCAGCTGAACATCTTCTAACAACAGTATCATATACAAACTTATCTTTATGGGATGTGATTTCACAACAAGAACTATTTTGTAATTACAATATTATATTTTCTACCAAATGGAACATTTTCTAATAATTCTCAATTTATTTAATACTGGTTTGTTATATTACAGCTAACAATGAACATACAGATGTCATTCAGTCTTTAAGTTGGAAACAAGATGGTGTGCTTCTAGCTACATCTTGCAAAGACAAACAAGTGAGAATTATAGATCCTCGTACTTCTACTTGCATTGTCAATTCTTGTTCCAGTCATCAAAGTATCAAGGATTCTAGATGCGTTTGGCTAAATAATAGTGATAGAATACTCACTACTGGGTTTGATGCAGCAAGATTAAGGCAGGTTTATATAAGAGATCTGAGGCATCTAAATGAACCAGTAAAAATGTTAGAACTGGATTGTAGCACAGGGTAAGAATTCATTAATGGATAATCTATTAAATTGCTTTTGACATAACTGTAACATAAATCATATTCCATAGAATTCTAATGCCCCTGTTCGATCCTGATACAAACATGCTTTTCTTGGCTGGAAAAGGAGATACTACTATTATGTACATGGAAGTTATGGATAAGGATCCATTCCTAGTTGAAGGTATTCGTCATAGTGGAGAACAAACAAAAGGAGTATGTTTGGTACCAAAACGAGCATTAAACGTGATGCAAGCTGAAGTTAATAGATTACTGCAACTTACCTCCAATATGGTGATACCTATTATGTATCAAGTTCCACGAAAAGTAAATACATTATAATATAAATATCTTATTTGTAATACATTCCTGAGAGATAAAAATTGTTGAAATTTTTATTTTAGACATACAGAGATTTTCATGCAGATATATACCCAGATACAGTAGGATATGTTGCACAAAATAATGCAGCAGCCTGGATCAAAGGACATAATATACCTGTTCCCAAAATATCCTTAGATCCTGCTAAAAGAAATAAAGGAGAGGAACCCATTACTGTAAGTAGATGTCTGTATAGTTCTGGGACAGTTTTAGCTTAAAAGATGTATAAAATATAGTAGAATTTTTCCTAGTTGACCTATAGAAAGAATATTGATTACTTTTGTAATAGCATTTATCATTTTTTATGAATTTGTAATATTATTGAATTGCACGCTTGTCATCATCATTTTCATTTCATTACGCATTTTACTATTGCCAGTCCTGAAACAAATTTTTAAAGGAATCTTTTTGTTAACATTTTTTTAAGTGTATTGTGTGATATTTGAGTGTATTTACAATTAATTTTTAATTATCATACAATATAGTACGAAACGAATAATAACAATGTATCGGGTAATGCAATTAAGCAGTTTAAAATTAATAAAACAAAATAAAGATTGAAGTTGCATTGATACTTTGTTATTTGTGTGATGTATATATTCATATATACATAAGAAAGTAATATAGAAGTAGAACATGATTTAAATATTTTTAATATTTGTGCTGTAAATTTATAGTCTTTTTTTCATGCATTTTATTTAAAAAAGAAATTCCGATTGATAATTTACGTTTTATTTTGCATCATTTGATTTTATTTCCTCATGTTCTGTGTATATTTTTTCACGTTTCAGATATCCAATGTATGTTTTATAGTTTATACATTAGCACCATTCAAAGTGTTATTCCTGGCACGTGTAATTTAAATGGCAATTGATGTTCTGTAGCTTATTCTATCAGCGTAAGTAATTCTAAGTATGCGCGGAACATAGCTATTTTTGTGTTCTTAGGCAAATGCTATACTCTTTTTTTGTACATATATTCTCAAATTTATTTTGCTGCGTTTAGGTGTAAAAAAAGAGGAGGTTTCAAGAATAGGTGTCGTTTACCTGCATTGTCTCTTTATATTTTTTTCTACAATTGCAAATTCAAATGTACAGATAGTATGTATGTGTATGTAACAAGCTTGTAGAAATTCCATATATCATTGATGTAGAAAGAAAATCTTGAGAATGGATATCGGACTTCCCTAATTTTGTTCAAACAGTTTGCGTTATTAAGGAATTTACTCTCAGGTACATAAGGGAAACTTAGCAACGCTCAAAGAAAATGAACGAGAAATAAAAGTGGAGCAGAAGCAATTGACGAAGCCTGTGACCGTCACTACGCCGAAAGCTTACAGGAAGACACAAGAAACGATCGAGAAAGAGCTAATGCTTGAAAACGACATTGAAAAGTTAGAAGATACGAAGAAAATCGAAGTTGAGGATGACAAAAATAAGGTGCAGAACGGAGGGCAAGTGATTCCACCAAAGCCTCTCCCAAGGTCGTCGAGAACTAATAGCATTTCTGAGGATGAACCGAAGCCAGTCGCACGTCCTCGTACATCGCCGAGCGTGGGTTCAGTAGTTACGTCCGTGAACCCTAATGCGATTGGGGGATACAAGGTTGTAATCTGGCTATAAAAAAAATAGTAATGTTATGAAAAGAATTTTATTTAAAAAGATGTTCTACTTCTGTATGCTTGATGATATCGTGTGTTCTTACAAATCGTTTCATTTATTTCATTACCGTCATAATCACCATAAATAATTTATTTACGAATAGATTTTTATTAAAACAATAAAAATATATATATATAATGTTTAATTTTCCTTTGTTTTTAGCCCCGACTTGGACCAAAACCGTTTCAAGCAAAGTCTGGCAGTCAAGAGTTTTCTTTTGACAAGATCTTTTCAGTGCCTGTTGCACCAAATAGCGATACCAATGGCTATCAGAATGATTTGAACAATCAGATAGAGAACAATATAGAACCAGAGAAATCGCCATCTTTTAATAACGAAAGAAACATGAAAGAAGCAGAAAATGGAAAGAGCGATTCTAGTTCCTTGGAAGAAGATGCAAACTCAAGTGATTCTGGCTATAAACCGAAAACACCAAGCACTGCGGAAAGGCGCAAAGTGTTCGAAATAAAAGTTAAGGATGAATCACCTGAAAACGAGGATCTTGGAAATTTTGAACGGGGCAACGCGAATAGAAACTCTATTGCCGAAAGAAGGAGGCTTTATGAAAGTCGTTCTGTATCTGTAACAGATGGAAACTTAGCTGAGAAAGCGATGGGATCGCCAACAATGTTGAGACGCAGGGATTCATTCAAAACCAAAAATGAAGTAATTAAAGAAGACGAAGTTAAAAAAGTTATCTCAATGCTGCGTCAGCAGAGCATGGATCCCCGTTTAGAAAAAGTGGATAATTCTGTGACGCCAACGCCTAAGAGAACATCAACTGTATTTGGTAAGAACATTATAAAAAATAGATACTTCCCTTTATGAAGCAATCATATTTTTAATAATTTATATTTATTGTCTATAGGTAGAGTATCGAAATTCCGACATTTAAAGGGTACACCTGGTCACAAATCTACGCATATTGAAAATATAAGGAATATCAGTCGTCAGATATCTGGAGAATGCGATGGTTTTCACGGTACTTAACATTTTGTATAAAATATTTGATCTCTTCTACAAATTAATTTACTTCAATTAATGTATTATCATGTAGCCAATCCTGATCGTGTTGCGGTGCCACTCAGTGGACCAGGTGGTAAAATTGCAGTTCTTGAATTAAAGAAAACCGGAAGATTACCAGACGGTGTAATGCCAGCGTTAGTACATGGTGCAACTGTAATGGATTTCCAATGGAATCCATTCGATAATCAGCGATTAGCTGTCGGTAAAGGAACAACTTTTTTTTAATTATTACAGTATCTTGTAATAAACGTATTTGCCAAATCGTATTAATAATTATTATTCATTAACAGCATGTGACGATGGAATGATTCGATTATGGGAAATACCAGAGTCCGGATTAGCAGAGCCAACAAACGAACCGAAACACATCATAAAAGCTCATACCGATAAAATATATTTAATCAAATTTCATCCATTGGCATCAGATGTTCTGGCGTCAGCATCTTACGATATGACTGTGAAGATTTGGGATTTAACACTTTTATCGTCGTGCGAAACGGCTGTTGCGAAAATAACTCTGATGGGACACACAGATCAGATTTTCAGTTTAGCGTGGTCACCATGTGGTCAATATCTTGCAAGTACGTGCAAAGATGGAAAATTACGAATTTATAAACCAAGATCTAGCGATGTGCCAGTCAAAACTGGGAAAGGACCTGTTGGTACCAGAGGTGCACGAGTTGTGTGGGCATTGAAAGGACAATTTCTCGTTGTATTGGGTTTTGACAAGTAAGAATTTACACAATTATTTAGGCTCATATACATAATATAAAATGTATGACGGATATCTATAGAATTGATTCTAGATATCATTTACTTTTTAATCCATATCCTATATCATTCATTTTATAAATCTTAAAAAAAAAAACTTGAAGTGTAAATGGAATAAAATAAAATATTAGTATATTTTTAGCGTAAAAAAAATTTAAGTATAATATAATTTGTTATATATATTTTTTTTCAGAGTTTCAGAAAGACAAATATATGTATTTAAAACAGACAATCTTAATACCTCGTTGACTACAGTCGGATTAGATGTTTCGCCTGCAATTCTAATGCCATACTACGACGAAGACAGTTCGACACTTTTCTTAACGGGACGCGTAAGTATTGTTTCTTATTGCAAAGTTTAAAGTATGAATAATTAAAAAATATTTTTTATGAAACATGTTTTTAGGGTGACTCTACAATATACGCTTTTGAAGTAACGGAAGAACCACCATACTGCTGTCCACTTAGCCATCATCGATGCAGCAGTTTGCATCAGGGTTTATCGTTTCTTCCTAAGAATAAATGCGACGTTGCTAGCGTAGAATTTGCATCGGCTTTAAGACTAACAAACAATACGATAGAACCTTTGAGTTTTACTGTTCCACGTATAAAGGTAAATTTAATAATAAATCACAAAAGTATAAAAGTAGTGAACTTAATTTTTAATTGTTCCAGAGTGAACTTTTCCAAGACGATTTGTTTCCACCAACGAAAGTTACGTGGAAGCCAACTATGACTGCCACTGAATGGTTTAATGGAGCTAACAAACAAGCTTATAGAATAAGTCTAAAACCACCTGGCATGGATAATTGTAAGTAGAAGCTAATATTTTTATTAAAAGTGTTGTAGTATTTGCGTTAAAAATGTTACAAATATTTTTCATTTTATGCATAGTAACAGAAAATCAAGGTCAAGGAGTAGTTACTGCGCCAGTTGCGGCAAAACAACAACCAACGACTCCATTCTCTGTATCTGCTCAATCTTTCAACAGACTGGGATGGAATCCTGACGTGAAAGCTAAACAAGAAGAAGTAAGTAAATATTTAAAAACATGTGGCATGAGTTATATACACAAGTATAGTATTCTTTATACAGAAAGTAATCTTTTCAGTCATTTTACTATATATTTTTTATTATTTTGGTTTTTTTTTATAATTGTTGTTGCAAATCTTCGAGATACTATAAGGCACAGTTTTCAAATAAAACTGTATTAAACTTCTTAGCATAAATTTAAAAAATTCATATTTTTATATCCTGTTTTATCTGAGCATATCGTGAATGTGTGTGATAGATCCAGAAAACTATGAGCAACTTTGTGGGTGATGTAATACAGTGCTCCTTAGAACAAGATCACATGGAAGGTGTAGAGGAGCACGAATGGGTAAGTATTATTTGTTGTAAAGCTAAAATCGAATTTATTTTTATTCTGTAATATTAAATAATTTCGATCATATCCTTGCAAATTGATTGACATCCCAATATATTTTATCATTTTAATTGCAGGATGAGTGAAGATTGCGCGACGTTGATAGGTCATTCAAATAAAACGGTAAGATAAAATAAATCTAAATGTAGCTGTTCGGAACATAATTTATTTGTAAGTTAAAAATCACAACATAAATGGAAGTATTTCAACATTAACATCGTGCATATTGAGAGATATTTATGACTGAACAAACGATACTTCCAACAAAAATTTTATTCGGAAAGGCTACTAATACGTGCTATTTTCTTCAATTGTGGTAATATTTTAACATTATAGGTATAATTACCTAGATTATTGTGCAAATTTAATTTAGAAGAAACTAAGGACTGAACATTAAAATATTTTCACTTCGTGTTAAAATTCTCTATTCTATATAGTTCAGTAAAGAAGTCCTTGTAAAAAAAAAATATGCAATTGCAGTCCTTGTTATAAATTTCTATTAATTGTCACTTGATTCATTTGATATTAAGGATAACTACATAGAATAATTATCAGTAAGAGCAGTACTAGAGATTTAGATTTACGAATATTCACCAGAATTTATCAAAATTTGACAATAGTTTCGATTACGTGTTTGTGACTTCGAGATCACTGGTACTATTCCAAAATATGTTTCTAGCTCTGAGTGAAAACGAATCTACTGAATAATTTTGTTCTATTATCTATAAGATTTGAGAATGCTTTAATATGTCACTTATAAATTAAAGATATAGAAGAGTTTTTAGCGTGCTAATTAGAAATGGGCATTGCTCGACTAAATATCATTTTAAACAGAAAACCAAACTTGGTTAAAATATTCTTTGAAATAATGTGTAACGCTTTTTTAAATAATTTATAAATTATTATTGCTCAATAAGCAATGCTCATTTCTATTGCTAAATACTCTAGTGTATAATGATCCATAAAATAATTCTTGAAATTGATATATGATTTATATAATATAGACCTATTAGTGCCGTATGTTTCTTTATTTAACATTATCAATGATAGTCTCAGTGTATACATTACTGTAATGTAATTATCATACGTGTGATACTAGCGAATGATACCATTTTCATGAATCAAGAATAGAAATTTTTACAATGCATTCTAATAGACACACGCACATATTACGTGAGATAAATAATAGAAAGTTACACATACTAAGTTACAAATCGACAATTATGTTATACGGCGAAGTATATACACACGGTAACTGATTGTATGTTCAGTGTTTTCCTGAATCTTAAGCAATAATTCAATGGCCATGTCGAACGTAATAAATAAACCACTTTTTATACTCTTTCAATTGCGCCAAAGTATTTGTAAACACAAAAGGCTCGAAAATCCACCAAAATGTATCATAACTCGAAATCGTTCTTTCAATTCATTGTGTATCTATGATTAGAATATTGAAGCGTGAATTCCATATTTATTGATAGTCAGAAAGTGAAAATCTCTTTAGATTACAAATAGCGTAAAAATGCCTATTTTGTCTATACGATATACACTGAATTTGTACTTTCTAATAGTCTAATATAAAAATTAAGAACGATAGAATGATTTATCATTCCTGTAAAGTGCATTCGTTTACAATTTTATACGAACATATTCTATTCCATTTAGATAGAGTTTTTTAATACAAATAACCATAGTTTCTCTTGTAACTAAGAACGTAATGGTGTTCCTATTTGTGTGATTGAAAAACAATTTTGTATAAACAAGGAACCCTCTAGTTTAGTATATCGATTTTTAAATATGCCTACAATCGAACATGGAATTTACGCTTCTATGCGAGAACCACGCACATTTTATACTTTTATATTTCAATGTCAGTAAGTTAATAGAAAACGTGTAAAAGAAATTGAAGTGATGGTGCTACACCGTTTCGACAAACTCTAGCTTGTAATCGCCAGAAATACGATAATGAAAGTATGACAAATCATACTATTTGTTTTCCGATGAGAAATACGATTACTGCTCAGTTTGCTCAATAACATTCCAATCTATTTTATCATAAAAAAAGAGGCACAGAATCATCAACTACAAAAAATTAAAAAGGTGCCAAAAGTTTCATGCAACAAATGAAAAAAGAGAAAGTTTATGAATTAAGTTAAATTAAAACACGATGAATTGAACGTTATAAAGCATTTAAGAAAGTTGCATATATTTTTCTCTAGATTTCTCACGCATCTTTTTGTACCATTTCTATCAAAGATAGGAACTTTTATAAACATCAAGAGTAAAAAGAAAAAAATGTAGAACAAAGAGGAACAAAATAATACTTCGCTATGAAAAATTGCCATTTGCATCGTCCACGTCGTAATTCACATTTGTATGTCTAAATAATTATCCGTCAGATATTCTAGAACTGAGAAACGTCATTGTTGCATATTTTATTAGCCTTATTTTTTCATGCTATTCTATTTTTTAGCTTCTATTTAGGTTTATATTACAGATATAAACAGATCAAAAACCATACACACACACACACACACACACACATAGTATCGTTTAAAAATGTATCTGAAAAAGTTACAAATTGCATAACAAATCTTTTTGACTTGTTTTAAAATTTTTTTCCATTACACCTTGAAGCGAAATTATAGATTATAATAGAAGGTAAATGGAAAAAATAATTACAAAACAGATAAAAATTGTTTCTTACTCTATAATGCTTCTCAAGAATGCTATCCCACTGTGCAACTCTTTTATACTGTGAATTTTCCCTGCATTAAACAGTAGATTTATAATCACTCTCAATAATTAATGCGATCTTTCGTAAGCCGCGATTTGAAGATATTGTCTCAAAAAAATTATTTCAATTGCAACAAGAAGTTTCTTAGTATTCAATATTGCGCTATGACTGATCGCTAGGTAATTCTATCATGTAGTGACATACCTTTGTATCGACCTTATACCTCTTACATGTATTTCACTTATAAAATCTTTTTATCAAAAATGTGTATTTAATGTGTTTTTACAACTTTATCCTCATATTACATAAAAAAAGAAAATAAAAACAATTCAATTGAATACTATTATTTATGAAACTTTAGGAATGTTTTTATTTAAATTTATATAAATAACAAATTTTATATCAGATAGTAGCTCTTTCTTTTTACACTTATGAAAAACACTAATGAAAAGTATAATAAACATGATTTATAAATGATAATTTTAAAAAGCAATATATTCTTGTGTAAATCATCTAGCGCTTCCAACTCTATCTCTAGGAATTAATCTGAGTTCAGATCCATGTTTAAGGAAAACGTTCCCTGAAATTAATTATATCATAATCGTTATATTATTTGAAAATTTTCGCATAAGCATTATTTTATAATATGAAAGACTGACCTGCTGTTTGTTGTGGATTAATACCTATTCCATCATCTGTGATTATGGCAGATGTTGCTGGAGATACTTTAAATTCTTCAGCAGCAAATTTCAATACAGCAGTGAAAGGTGTGTTATCTGGCACACAAAGTCTGAAATTGTAAATGCACAATGTATATATAACTACTGAAAAATTTTCATCTAATCAGATAATGAAATAGATATGAACTTAAAAAGATGAGAGCTTATACAAATAGTTATTAAAACAAACTGAGAAACTCAAAAAATAATGAAACTAATTTTATATAAACCCCCATTTCTGTTTAATGAGTATGCAAGGATTGTGCTATTACCATCCAATATCTTTTTCAATTTTATGCCATATTGTACCATTAGGCAGTGTTTTTACTAAATTCATTCTGTTGTACATTATTTCTGAAATTTCTGTAGGACCATTTAATAATATTTCTACTACATTGACAAGATGCTCATATTGAAACTCGCAATTTGACATCCACTGATTTTCAGCTTGTTTCATATGACGTGCAAAATAAAATATACTATCAAGGAAATTCGTATAAAGCTCTGAATATCTCTGCATCAACTTCCACAGCAACTTTCGTTTTACATTTGAGAGAGCTAAGCAAACATTTGCATCATTTTGAACGAGTTTATTTAATAATACCTGAACTATTAATTCTTTGCTTTTGCTGCTGTGGTGTAAATTAGCAGCAAATTGAACTAGTTTCAAATGAAACCCATCATTAAACATTTTGTGAATATATTCCGAAACCTCAAACTCATTACCACTATTAATTAAAGACTCCCAAGACATGATTAAAGCTTCATCCTGCATGTCCAAAACACAGATGCCTAATTGTTCTAATGATTTTATAATTATATTCGTACATACTCCGTTAATTAATATTTGTCTAAGAAAATCATTAAATCTATCACTGCCGCAATGTTGAATGTACAATTTTAAAAGTTCATCCACAACATCGTTTGATACCGTGGTATCTTTCAAATAGATCTCTAATAATTTATCGCAAGCTTTTTTCAACTCAGAACACTTATATAAATTTGATCTACCCTCCCTCAACCAATGACTATGAAGATTATTATCAAGAACATTCTCGTTGCCCACTTCATACGCCTTGGCAATTGTGACTTCAATAAACTGAGCGCATTGAAAAGCTTTGACAACATTCTCTATATTTGTTTCTTCACTGATACTTGGATTTTCTATAAGTACAAGAAATGTATTAAACATTCCTAATACTTCGAGAAAATCAGCTTCTGACATGTCGTGTTATTTTTGCGTATATGTAAAGAATGTTAGACTCTCACTGACTAAACTTACACTTTGAATGGAAGTTTCGGGTCAGAAGTAAGAGTTATTTTAAAAGTAACTTTAGACCTGCAACAAATGAACATTCTCATTGTTAATTAACTAAAATCATAAACATATGTGACAAAAGTTATATACATTTCGAAATTACGTGTCATATGTTATGTATATATTTCTTTTTTTATCATTTTTTCAAAAATATTATTAATCAGAATACGTACGCCATAATAGTCTGATTATTTTACTAGAAAATGGATCTTTTGCACGGCACAGACTTTGAAAGAAACGTTAACCTCAATCAAACATTCAGTTTATTCCCTTCCAAGAACATATGACAAGTACGCATGCGTAAAAATTAACCACATACACATACGTAGTATAATATATAAGTATTCAAATCGAAATATCAAAGGCTCTAATATTATATATGATTTTTCTTTCTGTTTTTGAACAAAAAAGAATCAATATAATTACAAAAAGAAACCTTCCGTCAAAAAAAAGCATAATGTAGTTCACAAGAAACTAAATACAAAGTGTGCTTTGATCTAACGAATAGTTTTTAAATTTTTATAAACATACTTCTATATTTAAAATTCAAACAAGTGTGCTTTGATCTAATGAATAGTTTTTAAATTTTTATAAACATACTTCTATATTTAAATACGATAAGAAATACAAGAAGAAAACTATAAGGATTTAATGAAGAAGAAATAATTATGGAAGTTCATGAATTAATTTATTTTATTAGTTTATTTGCAAATCAAAATTCAATCGAATCGTGACGTTGTTACACTAGCACCACGTAGCGGTGAAACGCTGAAATTAATCACTATCTTTGTCTTTGTCGCACGCTATTGCGTTTCTTTTCTATATGTAGTGCTGCCATCTAAGCGCCTCTCAGTTTCGCCTAGAACTAAAAGAACAAAACGAAATAATCCGATAGATGGCAGCATATCATCTATTCCTGTAACGGCGCGCGTATTTTTAAAACGAATTTAACAGACGACGTTGATTACGAAAGAAAGAAAAAAATAAAATAGCGGAAAATATATTGTAATTTCAGCTGATAAAAATCAACTAAAGCAAGCGATCGTCATGAAGATCTTGTTATAAATAAACTAAAATAAATAGTTATTGTTACTGTTAACTCTCGTTATATATTTATTAAAAGGAATATACTTCCATATTCTTCTCCATAGTCCTAAACAGAAACGATAGATGGCAGCGCCTCGATCGTCCGTAAAAGGAGGAGAGCAATAATATGTGACAAAGATAGGCGTACGTTGCATGGTAGACAAGGAACAAAGTAATTATTAGTACCACCATTTCACCGTTACGTGCTGATAGTGTTTCAGTGTTTACGATTTGATTAAATTTTTATTTACAAAAAAAAGGCTGATCAAAAGGATCGATGTCCAGTATGGACTGATATCCAATGTTTCATAGTTATTTAATTTCCAACTTTCTTATGACATTTAAGAAAGCAACTTATAATGTAATTATAAATATTTAAATATATATCAATAATAAATTAATTCATTACATCGATTACAGATATATAAATACATATTTCGTGGAAATGATCGTACAACATTAAGAAAATGAGACCATTTTATTACAAAATTGCTGTACAAAATATATTTGTAAAGTATTTAACATTAATAATTGTAAATTGTTAATTAAAAAGTTGTTAATAAATTAATTCCCCTTGCTTCTATTAATTATATATTCTCCTTTGTTTTTAATAGACTTCGCCTCTTTTTGGTTTGCATTTTCCTCACTATACTTTCCATTTTTATTTTATATTTTGTATATATTTCCCCATTTATAATTATAGTAGATCTTCGTTTATTCAAACATGTCGCGTCGACAGGGATCGTTCGGATAAGGGAAGCTGACCAACATTCTCTTATTTATTTATTTGGATGATGAGAGATAGTAGATAAGGATAACAAAGGTTGATTTGAATTATGAGTTTACATGTCTGAAGCTCAACATTAACTGGTTTCCATAAACGAGGTTTGAATAAACGAAGTTCTATTATATATTTCATTTATGTACCGTGTATTTCGTCGCTGTATACTTTATCCTAATATTAAATTCTATTATATAATATATAATAGATAATATAAACAAATAAAAATTATTCAAATACATCCTATAAATATATCCTCGTGATTTTAAATTTCGCACTAAGCACCTATATTCGTTATGATAACACGTAATTTATAATACGTAGTTCAATTTGCCACAATTCTCTTACAGAGGCATACTTTTCAATTAAAATATTCATTCATATTCATACATATAATATATATATATTTATTTATTTATTTATTTTTTATATATTAAGTTTAAATACTTTTCAATTCGAATGTTCCCTGTTCTCGCTCTATTTAGCAATTTAATTCAACCAACGAACACACTGCTACACCCCTTGAAATATTCCACCACGATAATTATTCCCGAAAGATACAATTCTACAATTGAACTCCAGTTGTATTTCATTCCTTCTTGTTGTATTTCTTATCAATTAAATAAACAGCAACACGCACGATCGAAACTTTTGAGATTGCTACGTTACGGGCTTATCGCCTCCGTAAGTAATAAGTAGCGTGATTGTGCCATTAATGTTGCATTAGTGTGTTGCACTCCGTAGTTTCGGTGCATTAATTTCTCTACCCACGATGCGATAGATAGTAGCGCGTAGAACGCGTCTTGACAAGTTGCACGGCCAGAGAAATATCCTGCTGAAATCGAGATATTCTTTTTTCCTCTTGCGCCGTTTCGAGCAGGATTTCGAACGATCGCAAACACGCACTTGTAAAGGTTAGACATAATTAGGAAAGAGGAAACCGCACAGCCATATAGTTCGATGCAGCTTTGATAAAATAGATTGTCAGGCTTGTGCGCAGGGAGTTGAGCAAAAGGCGAAAATGGATAGTAGTAAAGCGGATGACGAAAATCAACGTAATATTAATGATGGGGACTGGATTTGTCCCGACTCTCAGTACGTAGCTTTTTTAGAGGCAACATCGCCGACCGAAATCAGCTTTCAATGCTTCAATTTCATACATGATCGTAGGATTTTGTTTCTAATTTTGTTCAATACTTATTTGTTTATACTGTCATTCTGTCAATATACGATATTTATTTTAACTGATAACATAGATTCTGTAATAAATCATTTGATATTTAATATGTTGTTTGTTTGCAAAAAATATTTATTGTGCGAGTATGTTGGTATGGGATAATATTGCCCACACTGAAGTTTTGTTTCTGTTGTGATAAAGGAATATTACATTTGTCAGAGGAAGATGAAACAAGATGTTTAAAATTAAACATGTTATGACTTTTTTGTATTTTAAGATATTGGTATCGAGTCTGTAAAATGCTAATATTAAGATATATAAACATTGTATTATACATACATATTTGTATGTATCTATTATATTAAATAGTATTTTGATACTGTTTAACATTTTAGATGTGCCAATGTAAATTTTGCAAGGAGAAACTCTTGTAATCGATGTGGAAAAGGTATATAAATGTCAATATGGTAATGTATAATTTTTGTTATATAGTAATATGTTTCCTTGCAACTTTCTTTAATGTTTATTAGTATTACGGTATACTTTATTATATACAATAATTAACAAAATGTATGCATTTTTATGCAGACAGAGGAGAATGTCCTAAAAAGAAAAAATTGGGGCAAGAAATTGGCAAAGCAGCTGCAGAGAAAAGCAGAGGGTTATTCAGGTAAATAATAGGAACAAAAAAAAATGTGTCATCTATTGTGCTATACTAAGTTCAAAAATAATATTCTAAAAATGATACATCCAGAAGTAACAGCACAATATAATTTTATCAGTTTTATTTAAATGATTAGCATTTTCATTTCAGTAATATACAGAGTTATACAATCAAACAAATTGTATATCTTTTTTTAACTTTCAATATCTTAATATTTTTATAAAATATTTACACAATGAGTAAATATTATAGATACATGAATAGCAGGACAAATGAACGATCATACGCTATAACATGACGTCTTTATGTTTAGTGCTGATGATTGGCAGTGCAGTAAATGTGGAAATGTAAACTGGGCACGACGACAACAGTGTAACATGTGTAATGCACCGAAATTCGGAGAAATTGAAGAACGTACAGGATATGGAGGGGGATATAATGATCGAGGAGTCGTTGAATACAAAGAAAGAAGAGACGATGATGACGAATATGATGAATTTGGACGTCGTAAAAAGAAACGGAAGATTGAAAACCGTTCAGATGACGATTCCAAAGATTCTAGGTATAGCAGCCCACCACGTAACAAGTCTAAGGACGAAGATGAAAGAGATGAAGTAGATGAAGAAGATCAAAATGTAATTGAACAAGCAATTATTATATGTCGATAATTCAAACATGTTAAACATATATTAAATTTCAGAACGAAGATGAGGAGGAAGACGATGAAGAAGATGGCGATTTATCAAAATACGATCTTAGCGAATGGGATGACTTCGCAGTTAAGAAAAAGTAAATTTTTTTATGATTAACGTTTTTATAATGGATATCAATACATGGTGTTAATTTTCAGTACAAATGGGAGCACTGCATCTTTAGAAGAGCAACAATCAAGGTAATAACAACAATAAAAAATAGGAGACCTTCATAATCAATTAGCAATCTTTTCTTTTTGCTATAAAGAAAATCGATAATGATTTTATTATCGTCAAAGGACTTGTGAAAATAATAATTGTATCGATGAAAACAGATAACAAACAATTTATATATGAACATGTTTTCTTTACAGAGATAAAGATGACTGGCGCGATTCAGGAACATCCAGTCAATGAAAAGATATTGCAGAAGGAAAGGTTTGACATGGGTTTCGGGTATAAAATTGATTGCGACAATGAATTGCGATATTAATCGATAAAATTGCTAAACGGCACTTTTGTTTTAAACCTCTTAGAGATAGAAATATCCCTTGTCATGAGCCAGTAGATGTTTAGAATCATAATGGCATGGTTAAAAGGAAGATATAGATTTAAAAAAGCCCGAAGGAAATCATGGTATAATACTCGTTAAATAAATGATTTTTTACAGGTGAGAAGAAATTCCATGAGCGAAAAAAATTGCTCGACTACTAAGAGATATAATACAACGCAACAAATTTAGTGATTTAGTGAGCACCTTTGGATAAAGTGATGGACAATATACTTATTACAAAGGGAATCGATTAACAAATATGCTTTACATTTCGTGATTGAACTCAAAACTTCGTTTGACTCTGTGAAGAGTGAAATGTAGGTTACTTATTTGCGCAATATCGTATTAAATATTGCATAGTAAAGCGAAAATTCGTAAAATACTTGGCGCAGGTAGAATATTTTGCCAGTAAATGAAAACAAGAAAAAGAAAACACAAAAACAGAATGAAACCTATAATTCTGACATAACTTTGTGGATGATGTGTTACACGACTCGTTGTAAAACCTCTGAATTACGAACATAGATGAAACCTTATTTCTAATTCAAAATATAAAGTCTTTGAGAAAGCTCTCTATCATCATGTCACACTTTTAAAAAATTTTTTCTATTTACGCTATCACAAAATTTATGACATTTTCGTTACCGCTTCACTTTAGTTCGCTCAAAATATTGCTCAAGCTGCTTCAAATAAAATTTTTTTTTTCTATAGTTTACTTTCCTACCTCGCTCTTTCTCTTACTTTCTCGCTCACTCTCTCTTTCTTTTCTCTTTTTTCATGCATGATGTCTAATAATTAAATAAACATAATATAGTATTAAAGAATCATTCCCTAATGAATATGGATATGTATCGACACCTTCAGAAAACAAAAGATACATTTTTTTTTGTTTTGACTATCACAGATCCGAGTAAGTTGGAAGCAGCCTGTTTTATAAACTATTGAAAAAAAAAAAAAAATCGCCACATAGTGTTATTATGTCTGAAAATCTGTGCTCGGTTCTCGACAGGCAGAACAAAATATATAAAGTTATCAAAAAGATTTTTGTGACGCCCATTCTCTCAAATAACTACGAAACTCATTATCGATCAATTCTGATACTGACTTCTTGTAAATATCTTTATTTTTCATTTATAATAAAAATCATTCATCAACAACATAATTGTTCTTAGTCAATTATTCTTTTTTTTTTTCTTATAATCATTATACTACGTGGGTCATGATTATGCACAGTGTTGGTCACAAGGGGAATCGGTGAAGGGAATAAAAGGGACGGGCGATACTGTTTTAAGGAGTATGTTGCAACAGGAATATATATCGTATATATGTACAATTATGAATTTGAGCTTGCTTGATTGCGTTTTTTTTTTTTTTTTAATTAATTAGTGATAAAAGGAAGGATGAGTTGTTCAAAGTATGAGGCGTACCTTCATGTCGTTCCTTCATCAAATAATTCATTAATTCTCGCACAATTACTTTATCACGAGCAATTGTTCGAATAAAAAAGGAAGAGGAGACGTATTTAAATCGATTTTCACTTTTGTTTGTTTTCACATCCTTTCATTTCTTTTTTTTTCTTTCGATTCACGAAAATCTCTAGCAACGATCACCGTATATTCCGATCGACGAAATAACGATTACTACGAAGAAAAATCAGATTTTACATTAGTATTTACATATCAATCGCGTAATACTGCGCGATATTATAATATGGTTCCAATTTACAGAGAGAAAGAGAGAATTGTGATACGAAAATGATATCCTCTAAGACGATAGAACAGATTTTAGAGACGCGAAAGACATTAAAAATTCTTTCAATGCCGTGATTTAAGAATAAAACGCTTATCGATATAATAACACATAGATAAACAACACCGTAAATAAAGAATTGGACGAGAAATCTCGTTACCATCCGTCACGGTAAACTATTTTACGGAAAATGGCGTTACCATTAATTATTCTCCATAATTATCCATCACATCAACATTAGAACCTTAACAAATTTGACTTCTTTGTCCTTTACAAGATCGCAATAATTTTTATATAAAGTTTTACATTATCCGAAAAATTCGTGTTCGTTCATTATGATCGGAAATTGTCCTCGGATTAATAAACGCAATTGTCAAAAAGGACACAAAAAGGCCACCACAATCATAAATCATCGCCGTCGCGACATCTATCTCTGATGAGAGAGATCATACGGTAGTTTTATTTCGGCATGAAGAACTGCTGATGCGAATGTGAATTCGGTGGCGGATGTAAATTAGGATGTGGTGGACCACTACCCCTTGTTCCTGTAGCATAAAGCTGTTGTTGGAAGTTATGGAATTGTTGAGCATAATTCGGATCCGACATACTAGGTCCACTACCGACGAAGGGACTGTTCTTGAAATTACTAGTAGCACCACCCATACTCGGAGGTAATGGCTGAGTCGCATCCGGGGGAGGTCCTAATCCCATCGGGCTGCCTTTGCTGCCAGATACGTACATGCCAGGATTCGGTTGATTGGGAACTTGCGATACCATGTCAGGTGGGAAGACTTTGTCCGGATCCATCGAACCGCCTGGAAAGACGCCGCCACCAACCATGTGTTGCATTCGCATTAAGTTAGGCTGAGGTCTCATATTGCCAACAGGTCTCATCGAAGGATGTACACCAACTGATGTATTCATCGATTGTCCATCCATCCTTGGAGAGCCTCCCATGCCAGGAAGTCCACCGCTCATGGTTGATGGCATGCCACTATGTGGGCCCATACTATTCGGTACACAACCGTTCGGGAAGTACTGAAGATTTACAGACGGTGTGCCCATCTTTGATTCTAAATTAGACAATGGATTTGTAAATCGTTGGAGGAAGTCCAAACTCGGTGGCCCTCTAGGCGTATGACCGACATTGGGCCTTGCTGGTAAATATTGTATCGTGTTCGGAGCACTAGGTTTTACTTGAACGTTCGCTCCGTTATAGGGGCTCGGCCCAGTCACGTGGCCTGTCATTAATCTCGGCGGTGGTGCGTGAGGATCACCACCGGGATAAGCGCCCGCCGCATTGCCCGAGTGACTACTCATCATACCGTGACCCATGATGGAAGGATGACCCATTTTACTAGGTACACCGGGACTTCCCGTGTGTGAAGTTGTCGGGCTGTAGCTGGTCGGTGGTCCTGCTAAACCCATGCACATTCCCCCTACCTCGCCTGGCTCACTAGTTGGACCACCCATATGACAACTTCCGTTCATCTCACCGCCCATTTGCATCATGTGCATGCTGTGCGGATTCCCAAACTGCATCATCCCGGTGTTTCCAGAATGAATAGGTCCTTCGTTACCTAATGAATTGCTAGCTGCCGTATTAGTAAGTTGCTGGCTCATCTGGGCTAAGGAAGTTATAGGATCGAAGTGATTTGTACTCATTGCGGTTAAACTGCCGAGTCGCCCTCCGATATTGTTGGGATTAAGAGGCACATTGTCTGAAGGTTGACTCACGTTTATAGACGGTCTTCCGCAAGGGAAGGAGGCGCTTGGACCTCCCAGAGGAGGTACCACTGTTGCATTTCCCGAATTATTTGGATTTGCAACTGTAGACTGTTGTTGTTGTTGAGGGGGCTGTTGCGGTTGTTGTTGAGATTGCTGCTGTGATTGCTGTTGTTGTTGTTGCTGCTGTTGGGGTTGAGTTTGTTGCTGTTGAGTATCTTTTGTTGATGGCGGAGATGTGTCGGGTTTTGTAGTAGGTGATGCTGGTACTGTTCTTGGGGGACCCATACTATCTGGTATATTCGTATTGTGCGGTGCTGGACTACTCTGTGCACTCGCACTAGACTTATTTCCGGGTTTTCCAGGATCAGCTGGAGTATGTGGAGCACCGTTGCCTGGCGTGTGTGGAGTATGAGGAGTATGTGGACTGTGCAAAGAGCCTGTAAAACCGCGATTCATGCTATCCATCTGAACAGGACTTGTACCCTCGGATCTAGCAGGAAACTGATTGCTGTTGTCCAAAGTTCCTGGCAAAATTCTGTTTGGCATTTCTGTATTGCTGGCTGTATTCCTGGAGATATGAAATTATATAAAATTATTGATCTATATTAGAGAATCATTTTGTTAAAAGTATATTTACGTGGATAAATTGCCATCCTTCAGACTTGTATTTGGTTGTTTCTGTATAGTCAATTCCTGTCCCTCAAAGGTGTTAAGATACTGAATCTGTTGAGGACTTGGAACCGGCATCAGATTCGCCTCCTTCACACCCGTTGCATTCACTGCTCCAGTATGTTGCTGCTTTTGCTGGGCTAAGGATTGCAGCGTGCGGCAAAACATACCATCCACTATGTTGTAACATATAACACGATCAATTCACCGCGTAACGTTTTCAAATAATGAACTTTTAAAATATTTTACGTAATAATTATAATGATCGTTGTTACTTAGTTGTTGCATTAAGATCCTTCGAATGCGACTCAATGTTAAATATCAAACAATATTTTAAGAGGTAATATGATTATAACAATAAAATAATTACTTTATTACTTGGCCTTACCATTTGGAGGCTGGCTGGTGGGAAAATCTAAAGATGAATCTTTTTGAGCAGTCGTTCCACTAGGACTAAGCGTCGAGATGTGTGAATGAGAAACAGGCGTTCCCGGGTTACTATGATTAAGTCTCGTTGTTGATACGGCTGTTGCATTTCCAACTGTCGGATTCGGGGAGTCTTGACTCGTTGGACTTTGTCCTGGTAAATGGCTGGTTCTCTGATTACTGAGTTGAAATTGTCTATTGCAGTCTGCAGGTGAATTTAGAGCTGAACTTGCGCGAGGTGATGGTAGAGATAAATTACTGGTTGGATTGTTAGGTGAAGAAGGATTTGGACTTTGTATCGCGATTGGCACACTTGCAGATCGCGTTGTTTGATGGTATGGCGGTGGTGGTCCTTGACTACGAGGTACTGCTACCATATTAGCACCTCGCAATGGAACTCCAGTTCCAGGACTTCCACTGGTCTACAACATAAATAAACATCATATCAAAATATTTTGCTGATTTTTAATTATTTTCCAAATATAATTTTTAACTTTTTACATATTATTTTACCTTATTTTTTCCATCAAGAAATTGATGTTGTAATTTATGCCAATCCATAGTCGGAGGACACTGAGTTGGAACAACTGAAGGAACGTTCGTTGGAGGACACGTTGATACAGCGGTTCCTTGTGTTGTGTCTAATGTATTAGCAGTTTCTTCCTTGTGCTCAGGAAATAACATCATTTGCATTTTCCTAATAGTTGCTAACTGAACTTCTCGATGTTGCCTCTGTTGCGGCGTTAAGTTTTCATCCGGAACTTTGACACCTTGCAGTGATGGCTGTAAACTGCCTGGACCTGGACTGGTAGTACCTCCTAATAAATTGGGACTATGGCCCATTGTAGTACTATTAGGAGGTTGTGGATTTGCTGTAATAAAAGGTATGCTTCTAATGGCATAAAGTGTACACAAAAGGAAACTTGTAAAAAAGAAAAAAAAGATTGGAGACATTTTTAACTACAGTACAAAGCACAAATGTAACTACATATTACCTGAGTTACCAGGTGAATTTGGTACAAGGCAAGGCACATCTATATTTGCATCATCCAATGATGGTTCAGAATTACCAAGAGCATTACCACCATTTAAGTTCCTCAAATTAGGTTGTTCATTCCAGAACGGAGGAGCATTAGGATCGAGAGCTGGTAGATCTGGTGGTTGTTCATTTTGAAAAGTATTGTTTGTACCTCCTTGGTGACCTTTTTGTTTCATCATTGCAAGATTATTTAACCATTGCGCAGGATTTTGCCGGAATTGGTTTATTTTATTTGGATGTTTCTAAAGCAATAATATCACGTTAGCAAATATAAAAATAATGTAAATTTCTCCTCGCAAAATTTTACTATATACCTCTAAATATTTTTTAGTGCCTGGTTGTGCACAATGATAAGCAATGATCGATGGATATTGCCCTTGTAACACTGCATCTGCACCTTTATTTGCTAATGTCGTAGAAAATACAAAAATTTGACTTTGCTGTTGCATATACTGAGCTTCACCACTTCCTGTGCTAGTTCCCATCTGTTTTCCAAGAACATTACTAACTAGTGGTTGAATACCATCTGCAGTAATAACATTACCACTACAATCTAAAACAAAATGAATGAAACAGATAAAATAATCATATGCAAAAGATATATCAAACATCAAGAATATAAACAATTGACAAGAGCACAAGAATTAAATTTAGTCCTACCAGGTATATCATCTGTGGGATTGTTATGATCACCTTCTTGTTTCACTGAGTTTAAAATTGGTTGATTTGCACTATTATTTTGGTTCTCTCCTGACAGGGTACCTTCCCCGTTCGAAGGATCCAAACAAGGATCCCTGGAGCACTCCGTAGTGTCTTCTCCAGTTGTATCATCGTTGTTACCACCAATACCCTCCTCTTTGATCTTAACTGGATCTGTATCTGGCTCCTCTTTGACAACAGTGCTCGGTACACAACTTGGTTCAGTGGGCTTCTTTTCTGTTTTCATCTTTGAAACTATGCTGGATGAATTATCCTGTCAGACCTTGGTCAGGTGAGTAAAGAACAAACACATGGCCACTATCGTCCGCAACGTGCGGCGTAACAACGCATCCGAACCAGTGGTAGAGGTTAACAACGAAAATATCGTTGACCGGTACCCGTGCCGAACGTGTCCTTAAAAAACGGTATGCAACAGCACTCTCGAGGAAGGCATGTCTCTCCGCATCTCTATTAAATTTTCCGATAATAATACCTCTGGTGACCGTCGATTCAGCTTGTTTTCAGTCATTTAAATTGGCTAACCGCGGAATCGGATTCCTACGCATGGAGGAATCACGGTTGTCAGCGGGCGACTGATACAGGAATACGAAAGTAAGATACCAATACCACGGAGGTATCGGGACGAAGAAAATATCCTAAATGTCAGCCTCGTATCCGCGGCGAGTGCATAGCGTACCTCCGGCTTTAATGTCGTACGTAATACCACGTTGTAACCGCGTAAAATGTATCCAAAACATAGAACGGGGGCCAATGCACGCTGCACTCAAATTTCCTTGCCATTCACGAGCATTGTTCTCCAACTTTATTTGTCACTTCATGGTCGCTTTGATTATTTATTTCTTTTACGCACGGCTGCCAACTGCCCGTCGAAAGTTAGACATCGTTTTAACGCGCCTCGAGAAGGAAGCGTTCATACCTTTTCCCCGATAAATAGAAAAAGATGGAAAGAGCCTACCACCAGGCGTACTTGACTCGTTCCTTACACTTGATCGCCTGCAGGGTTACTATTTTCGTCTTTCTTTCCTTGTATTTTTCACCAGTATTTCGCAGCTTTTAAACGTAAGTATTCATACCGAAATACGGATATCTCTCTTTATTTCATTTGGTTAAGCGAACCTTTTTTATTCACGGCAATATCTCCCTAGACAGAGGCTGCATTTATTTAACGCAGAATCAAAACTCTGTAAAATTAAATTTGGAATACGAGAGACCAGGGACGAATCGAGTGATATCGGTGCCTACGTTCTTTAACTTCAGTTACTTTTTTACTTTATGTGCATATAATGTACGGGTTCCATATATGGATATACTTTCCAGGCGGTATTTTTAAAATGTAAAATAACGCTGAAAAAAATATTACAGGTTCGAAGAGAACGATAATGCATGTTCGTGCTTTTTTTTTATGAATATTTAAGTTAAATACAAAACTGTGAATACCTCGGAGGTGTTGCTTGAAAGAAAATTAAACATTCTTTTGTGAATATGCGATTTCATTAAACACGAATGAAAGAAGTGCTTTCTCTGTGATTCAAATATGTGATATTTCATATTATTTAAAGATTAAATACATTATGTACTTACATCGCAATCAATATTTCTAATATTGATTGATCATTCTTCTTTCTATGAACTTTTTACGGATAACAAAGTAAATTTAGTTTTGATCATTGTATATTAAAAAGTTGAAGCAATCAAGCATAATAATAGAATAAATCGGTAAAATAAATATAACCTAATAGTTTTTCTTTTTGAATTATTTTATTTATACTCCAACTAATTATGGCTTAAATATTGTATTACATGGATTAAAAAAATTCAGTATTGAAATATACTTTATATATTTATTATTTTTCATACTTTGCAGATTAAAATAAATCAAATAAAGATGTCACAGTTAGAGCTAGATCCTCAATTTACACAAGGTTTACACCTTCTACATTCCGCTAATAAAGATTCTGCAGAACAGCTGCGAGCACTTCTAGATGAAGCAATTAAACAAAAATATGGGCCGTCAAAGATGTTATCAAATGTATTACACAAAAAGGTAATTATATGACAATTAATTTAAGAACATCATTGAGGGTTATCAAGAATAGAATACTTCAACTAAAGTGGTTTATATTAATTAAGCTATTATACTTACAGAGTTAGTTCTGATATCAGGGCACTCATGAAGCATAGGAGATTTCATTCACGTAAAAAGATATCTAGTATTTGATCCCTCTGATCTAGCATTGTCATTTATTTTTTGGACTTCTATCTCTTGGATTTTCTGTTTTTAGTATATGATGGAGGAACCGGTACTGAGCGACCATAGTAGCAGCAGTAGTAGTAAAAAAAGCAAAAGCTCCTCTTCTTCTTCTTCCAAACATTCAAGTAAATCAAGTAAAAACAGTTCTCCTGTGAATTTACCAACTCGTGACACACCACCTGATATTATTCAGACTGATAACACTCTGGCACTGGAAATATTAGAGGATGATTTGACTTGTGTTATTTGCAAAGGAATGGATGTTGGAGCAAGAAACAGATTAGTTGAGTGTTCAGAGTGCCATTCCTTGTATCATCAAGAGTGTCATGTTCCACACATTTTAGACTCTCAGATAGATGTTCCAGGACTGGTGTGGTATTGTTCGAACTGTTCCAAGTCTCAGGTGTGTGTATTCACTCACATTATAATTTATGATATATTTTCCGGATTTGAAATATTTTGGTGATTCTTACTTACTAAAAAAATGTTAGAAAACAAAAACTATAAAGTAAAAAGAACTTTTTCTATTTATAGATCTCAAAAGAAAGGAGCTCTCCAAAAACAGTGATAGAAAGCAAATCTAAAGAACAAAAAAAGTCTAGTTCAAGTAAGTCTCGTGTATCTTTAAAACATAGATGTTATTTCTTTTTTAATTAAAGAAGCAGTCATTATATTGTTTAATAGGTGGTGGAAACAAAGTAACACCAAATATTCATATTATAAGTGCAGATAGAAGATTAAAGGATATGATGAAAAAAGCTAAGCAAGATAAACGAAGCACAAATGCTACTCAGAGTTCAAAGAATTCTTCGTCAAGTTCACCAGCGATGTCTTCAACGAAATCTCAGGAAAAATCACTACTGTACAAAATCAAGTCAGGCGTGGAATGAAACTCTGCTCATACAAATATTGTGATAATATTTTATAATATAAAAAAACAAATTTTATAATTTGGACACTGTGAATTGAAGGAAGTAACCACAATCGATGTTAGTATATAACAAAATCAATACATTTTGCCAAAGAATGATCTTTAACCAGATAATATTAATTTTATACGCAGCAGCGGTTTTCAATTTTGTGCCGAGAAGCGAAGATTTTTACTTTTTATATTGTTACGTATTTTCATTATATAATTTTCTTTTTTTTAACATAATTTATTGCGGGATATAACGATGCGATGATAAATTTGATACTGCAATGTTTAACTAAAAAAAATATATATATATAATTTTTGTACAAATGTACATTAGTTTAAATATCCAAGTATATGAATGTGTAGTTGAATTTCTGTAAAACATTAAGGATCTCAAATAAAAAGAAAAAAAAAGAACTCTTCAAGGTGTCCTTTGAAAGAAACGTTACGAGTACGGAGTTCATTTATAATATCAATATATTTTTGCAATTTTTCAAATGCTTATTTGTTTGTCCCTACGTCCCATTGAAAATTTGGCAAGAGTCATTTCGTTCTCGAGTGTTACTTAGATCTACTTATATGCAAGATGGGGGGTTGAATTCTATTTACATTGGGCATCTCAAGGGGGTTGCATCTATCGTACATCGATAGATGCACACTCACGCAGCAAACGCACAAGTAAAGCAGCAATTGTCACAGTCACGCATGTGATTGCATTCATCATTACATACACGCGTATTTACGTATAGGCTATACAACGAGAAAAGATACATTCAAAAATTCATGGGAATGAAAATGAGCCCGTTTTACATTATTTTCTTTTTTTTTTTTTTTCGTACGCGTTCCCGAAGTTGAATATATTTTAAGTTATTTTCGCAGGGAACAATCACCCCCCCATCCTTTTTTTTTTCCGAAGCTTAACAAAGAATAATCTTAAACTCGACACGACGTTTGGAATCGTCTATACTACGAAGCATGACATTACTAATCGACTCATAAACCGCTGAACATTTCCTCCGTTAATTACAATACAATACATACGTTGAATGCAGAATTGACAAGCTTTTCAGATGGATGGAGTCAACTGTCGAGCATACAAATTCTTGAGAAATTCTGTTGCACCATAAGCAATTTTCAATACTGTACTTTTCGTAAGAATGCCAGAATTCTGCCAAAAGTTTGATTCTGGTACCAATGATCTATGGATCCTAAAATTTAAAAATGAAGTCAACTTTTACGTGAAAAATTCATTAGTCAAAAATCTGTCGAGACAAGAGAAATTGCCATTGATATCTGCAATACTAACTCCATATTCACCAAAGAGAGTAATATATATTCAACGCTTAAATTTCCATTTTCCCTTCCATTCTTCAAAATTAGCTTTTTTATAATTCAAGTATTTCGATTGTATTTAAAAAAATAAATGCAGATGAATAAAAAAAATTATTTCTACCAAATTGACTGTGTTACATTAAATTTTAAATAGATAGATGAACGATTCAAGTAAACAATGGCACTTTCGATATGTTTAAAATTATTTAAACCTCAAAGTTTAATATTTTCATTTTTTTTTCTTTTTAGAAAAATTTGGACGTTTTACGTTCAGACACTTTTTAATGCTTCGAGAAACAGAATTTCATCGAGATTTTGCATGTGCGCGATATACATTAAAAAGTGTAGCATGTTACACGGCCTTCCATCGAATTGCGCTCAAACGTATGATGTACTTCACGTACCATACAAGATATTCTACATGAATTTCTGAAAATGAACATTCTAATGAAGATGCACCACACACCTGTCAAGAATTCTCTAACTTCGAACAATAGAGACGAGACGTATGTATATACGAATATGTGTGCAAATATATTAGCGTACATCAATCTGTGCTATATGTAAAATAATATAAATTTAAAATAGTCTCGTGCATACCATTATAAAAAACATTGACCTTTATATTGTGGACGTTACATAATATTACTCGAATAACGAATAAATCTACGTAAGTATATAAAAATGCAAGTCAATTTTACAATTCCAACAGCTTCGTTAATGTACACTGTTTCTTTTCTTTTTTTTACTAGCTCTTCCATGTCTCGACGTTATAAAAATATTGATATTGATAATATAATAGTAATATAATTAACATTTTACGGAGTATATACAATTGGAACCATATCATTCACAATTCAAGAACCTGCAGTATGTTTATTCAATTGTGTCCAACGTATACGTTTAACAATTTAATTGATTATGATACAAAACTATCACTCTTTATCGCCAATCTTCAACGTATGCTTTTGTATAACAATGTATTAATTTAATCTAGTGGGTAACTTAAAAGAGGCCACTACAATTTCATATATATTCCGTTACGCTCATGTTAATACATTACAACAATCGGTAAAATATATTTATTCTACAAGTTTTCACTTCATTTTATTCTAATACCAATAAGTTAATAAAATTTAGCTTCTTAAAAGATATTTCAGAAAAACTTCGCAATTTGCTTTAGTAAATAATAAATACTGCACAATTAAAAATTTTTAAATAATAAATTGCACAATTAAAAAAATTAATTATGTTTTTACAATTCAATATTATTAATGTATGGGTACTATGTTTTTATTTTCAAAACACATAGTAAAAACATTCAACATTTACCTAACGAGATTAAGCTTCGTATTTAAATAATAGAAATAGTAATTTTCAGTCTATTGATATCATTTTATTTCATAGTAAACAGTTTGTTAAATTAATAATGTCCTGTAAGCGATAAAGCGTGATAGTAATATAATGGTAAAATTAATATTATTGAAGTTAAATTGTATATATATATATGCATAATGTTTAAGTTTAATATAAATACTTTTGTCAACAGTAGATTTATAAAAACAAATTCATTATTTCAATCAAAATTTTGTTCTGGAAGACTACATACAATAACTTCACATGATCATATAAAAGTAAATGCAAAACATCATTCACAAAAATGTTCTATTTTGTATGTTTATTAGAAAAAGAAATCATTGTTTTCACAAAACAAGTTTTTTCTAATTGTTAGAAAGATATATACGTTCTGTATATATTTTCTATATAATTTTTTTCTATATAATCAGTATATTTCTCTTTCTCTAAGATATTTTGTAAATGTTATTACTACCGTTTAATATTTTTATTTCATTATTAGAACTTTTATAGAATCATTTGGACTAAAAATCTTACTTTGCAATGTCTCTAATTCCAAAATAAAAATAATCTTTGCTATAAATTCATTGTACAAATAAAATATGTTCAACAAATAAAAATACTTGGCAAAATAATCCTTCTAATCTTATAATACGTGTTTTCTTTTGTTTTTTAATTCAATATACAAAAAAAAGTTGATCTTAATTCCATAGAAGATGGTGTTATAAATATATAAAATAATGCGCCTAGGACATTACAAAAAAAATGATAACAGAATGAATGTATAAATAATCAAACTCATTGATATTTTAAAATCCATTAGCCATTCTGTTATCATTTGTTTCATATTTGTGACCATCATATTATATCATATGAAATATACATTGAAAAAAATATGATATACACGGAATTAAATTATTACATAATTTCGATTTGGATCTGTATCATTTTCAGATGTTATATCGTTGTTTTATGAAGACGAAAAATCAGTAAAACAACTTCGTGTTTCATAAAGTTTACAACACGTGTATCGACATGTATTAAGAAGAAAAATAATATGTTAAATCACATAGGACAGATTGACGTACCATTTTCTATATAGATAATCCAGTTGTCGGAATATAAATAAATACAATACATATAATAGAGAGATACATAGGTTGATGGTAATAGACAGGGAAGCTGAGAGAGCTTGTAGAGCAGATAAAATATACACAGTGTTAATTAAGTACACGAATAAACTCAGCTTTCCCCGACCTACCATACACAAAATTATCAAACCATTATTTACGCGATTCAATTAAACGTTAAGTAAGTCTGTTCCAGTATAACAGTTCCTAAAAAAGCGCATGGAGAAAAATTGGCAGTGCGCAGTGGGCAGTGAATTGAACTGTTATTAAATATCTATATGTTGGAATAATGAGTAGTATCAGGGACAATTAAATGCTTCCCTAAAAAAAAAAATGCAATTTTTCAAACTGAGGCAGTCTTAGGTAAGTAAAATGGCGATGTAATCCCAAGAAAAATACTGTTTATCGTTGTGTTTTGTTAAACTCTCACTTCTTTTTCGATACGTTAACCACGATATTATTGACCAACTGGCGAAAAATTCTCGAACATCTAATAATCGACGAAAATACAACCAGACATGTATAAAATTTTTCCTTCTACTGTGTTCTCTTTTTTTTTCATTTGCATTCGTTAAGAACCTAGAAACTTCCTCGCCGGTATACAATATAAAAGATCTTTCTCATTTTTTGCAACTATTATGTGATTTTTTATGCTTAACAATATATCATAATAACTATTGTTGAATAGAAAATTAATCAATAATTGTATTATATATATATATATATATAATACAACTTAATCGTACTAAGAATAATAAATGTAATATAGCTCATGTGATGGTTGTAAAATCATTATATGATCCACATAGAGACCGTACGGATCATAACAACAGTCATAGTTATATAAATATAATCGTAAATAAAAACAAATTCAAATAATGAACAAAAGACTCTAATAAAAAAGAATTTTTCTTTCATTTCTTTTACGTAATAAATATACGTAAATAGGCCTAGAGTAGACTGAGCTGCTCTCATAATTTTTAATTCTCCATTTCTTTTTCTTTCATTTAACATTATTTTAACTGTCTTAATTTAACATCGTTTCTTGCTCTCTTATGCTCACGCTCACGCTCACGCTCACACTCACGCTCACGCTCATGCTCTCTCTCTCTCTCTTTCTCTCTGTGTCATTTTTTCTCTGCAAAGGGTTCTTTACCCTCAACTTATAATACATATATAGACCCTCTCTAACTAGCTCACTACAATCCGTGGAGGTGTATGTTGCGTGACCTTTGCTTTATATATTTTTTATGTATATATATATATAATATATAACATATTAATAATATATATCATAATGAAGATAGTAGGCATAGCCACTCGTGCTCGGATCACAGACTACTTGCTGCCGTACTCTCTTCGTACAGACAGTCTGGTGGACACTATGGCTTTTTCTCTCACTTAACTTTTACACACGTTATCTTTCGTTAGATGCATTACGTATACACGTATAGATATTCGGCCAACAATGAAGTTGAAATTAATAATTTTTATCCTTTTTTCCTTTTTCTAATAAGTATTTTTTGCACGAATTCTGCACTTCAAATCCTTAAAACACGTGTTACTGGAAATATAATTTCGATCATACGACAAACTATATCTCCTATCAACGAAGATTCCACCAATTGCATTGAGATTCCCTTCGTCATTTTTCTTATAATTTGTTATAAATATTAATAAAAACAGATCAGGATACCTCTAAGGGTTAGAGTTCACCATTTTCCTTTTGTTACCACTTTACTAACATCTGTACGTGTGTACGAGCGTATTTCGATACGGCCATGACATATAGACGTAAATACTACAGCCAGGATTGATTTATCCTGAGAAAAAACTATCGCCTGACTAGCCTTAACGAAATCGCACGTATTTTTTTTACGGCATTGTTATTCACATGGTGTGTAGATTTGTACATATGTAACGAGGTGTATCTGATGCATGAAATGGAGGCACTAGTCAGTGTTTCTGGAGAGATTGACAGGTCCTGGGATGGCAATGAGGAGGTTGTGTCAGCAGGCACTGGTTTCCTCTCCTTCGAGTGTGCAGGCGACATTCTCCAGCCTATGAGCTAGATGTAATTTACGACAGCCCGCGTCTGTCTCCAAGGCCTCTAGGATCTACATAATATTGCAATAATTATTATCAACTAGAAATTTCTACAAACTGCAGTATACAGAACGGTTTACACAAACGGTATTCCTGATCATGACTCTGTTATCAGTACAGTTAGAGGAAAATATGAAATGAACGAAATAAACGGACCACTCTGTATATTAATTATTAAATTCTGCTTTAAGGATACTTACTTGTTCATAATACTTGCTGACATAGATGTAAAGTTCTTTCAGTGCTGCAATCACATCAAACTCATTCGCATGTGACGCACTTAGTTGTTGCATGGCACTAGACATTTCTTGATCAGTGATTTGTGGCAGTCTTTGTACATCTGTGTAAAAACGACCCACTTTCTCTCGGTAGTGCGGTATATCCTTAGCGAAGAGCAACTTATTTGACGGTGAGTCTTTTCCCAGCCTATGCTCCGTCATTGAACAAGAGTCCATAAACGTTTGCGCTATTACAGAAAGGCTTGAGTCGACCGTTGTGGATTTATTAATATCGAACATGAAGTCTGGATTCTTAATAAAATTCACCCAAAATCTAAGCGGCAAACTGTTCGACTTCCATGCGTGCGGCACTTCGGGATCAACGATCCCGTGTTGTTTCGCAGCATCGTCCAAGAGATCAAACAGCCACTTTACAGCACTAGGTAATGCTTCGTTCGCTGTTAGTATCGTGTTCAAGAAATCATCGACGAACTTTTGAACGGTGCCCTTCGTCGATAATAATCTCGTTAGGAATATTTCAGGGATGGCTTTATGTGTTCGTTCTGGATGATGATGCTTGCTACTGGTAAAACCCATGCCCGGTGGATAGTGACTTTCTTCTATAGGCCTTACCAAATGATACAATCGTTGATTGCCTCCACTTTCTACGTCGCCATTCGCCGTTATGATCGGCGGCGAATGTTGAGATTCGAAGTATAAACCGCTAACAGGATGATTGTACATTACAGGACTAATTAGATTGTGATTAGGCGTGGATGGAAGATGCGTGGACGAACAGTGATTCGCATGACGATGTAGGTGGTGATGATGTGCATGATGGTGAATGGACTGCTGCTGATGATGATAATGCGATGGTTTACAGTTATGACATGGTGGTTTACAGGCGACGGAGAAACCGTCGTTCTGTCTAGGAATCAATGACATCACGGCTGATTCTTTCACACCGTAGTGCGCCAATGTGTTGATCTTTTTCCATTCGCCGCTACACTTCGACGTAAGATCTTCATCCTGAAGAGTTAAATGCCCGCCTCTACCGTGTCTCCATTCCAAATCTACGTCATGAACGGACGGCCTCAGTGAGAAAGGAGTATTTTTATAGAGAGCATCTAGGATCTTGGACTTCACTTGATTTATAGTATCACAATCTAACACCTTGCACTGAATCTTCTCATCGAGATCATCTTGGACGACGTGCAGAGTGACTACGCTGTGCTCGATCTGCTCACGGAGCAGCCTTTCTTCGGATAACGAGTATCTAGCGTCGTGGGTGATCACATCTACAGGACCCTTTTCTATCTGGTGCTTTATTGCCTTGAACAATAAAAATAGAGAGGAACCTGCGTAATCCTTAAGGTAATTGTACATACAAAGTGCCATCCAGTTGGTTAGCATTTTCTCCACCACGGATTCGGTCCTTCTAAGCATCAGCTGAGGATGCTTCGTATTTACCGCCTTCTCGATAAGTCTTAATAAAAGATTCATAAGTATATCAGTCGCGTATTCCATCTTACCCATCAGCACGACCATGAGTAACGATGCAACGTTCACTTTATCCCTAATATTAAAGTCTTTCTGAGCCTCTAAGGTTTCGATGAACGTTAATACGAAGTACTTATTATTGATCAGTTGTTCAAACTGGATCATGGCAGCATCATAATTCGTACGAGACACATTGCTACGTGATCTAGGATCGTTCAATATGGGATGATGCGTGACACCAGGAAAAAATACTTTCATAATATAGTTCTTGTGATCCAGAGTCGGAATACCAGATGATTCCAAGTCAGCGGTCAAGTCAGTCATATCGGTTTGTAGTTCAGCAAATGCCTGCTTGCATTCCATCCTAACATTGCTTTCCAGAGTGTCCATCTGTATTTGTATCCTTTTATATTCTCTTTCTGCTTGCGTGCTCTTTCTTCTATATATTATCAACACTAGAACAAACAAAAACACAAGACCAAAAGTACCAGCAGCTATTCCAGCTATTGCCTCTGGTGGAATTGGATAAGATTTAATCACTTCGTAACGCAAATAACCAATAGGAAATCTGAGGCTGCGACCCACACGTACTACCACCAAGGGTAGACCATTTTCAGTTTTAATTCCGAGCTCATCGGTGTCGGCTGGCTGTTGATCAGGAGGAATGCAAACCAATTGAGTCAGAGCAAGTGATGTCACGTTACACGGCATTGTTCCAACAGTAACGTTTACGTCAGACTCGTCGCTAGCAAAAATCAAATTTTCCCCCTCGATAACTAACGTGTCGCCTTTATACAATTTAATGTTACGCGGAAAGGCCAAAAATTTCGGATCTTCCACGTAAAGCAATCGATTTCTGAGACTTTTAAAATGTTTCTCCAAGTCCCGTACACTCTCGACATTATCCATAATAAATGCTATTTTCAAGGATAATTGAGATTCCTTTAATTTCAATGACTGTGGAGGTGTACTTTGGCCATTGATAGTAGCACGCTCGTTACGTCGAAGAGTCATGAAACGCTTGGCAATGCTAGGACTCGGACATTCCATCTGCGTCGGGTTTAATACTGTACAAACAGTCCTATTTACTGGCAGTAGTTCATTATCGAAATAAACTTCCATTTCAGGTTTCTGGATGGTATCTAGATTGGTGCCGTGAACGGTGATCATGCGACCACCAGAAGCGAAGCTTGTCAGTGGCTTAATCTCCATAATAGTAGGATCGTGAGTGTAGTTATAGGGATTACCAACTAGAGTGCGATTCGCACCGTCTATGCTAAGTGTCAGTCTGTCGATTCTTCTTACACGGTCGGATTTACTTGTTACACAAGTCAGTCTAGTGCTGCTCGCTTGCGTGGCATTAACATGGCACGGTAATTCATCCAAATAGGCTGAGATAGTGCTACCAATATTCAAATACATTCCAGTAATGGCAAGTTGCGTGCCACCACTTTGTGGACCAATCGATGGATAAACACCAGACAATCGTATATCCTTATAATTAAATAATACTGCGCTTTCAGTATAACCAGCATCATTACCAACTACCACAGAAGCAGTGTCTGTTGCCTCGTGTCTTCCTGTACGACAAACAATGCGCACGGATACTTCATAGTCGACTAAAGTACACGGTGTGTCACCAATATGTATTTTTCCGTCTACGTCGCTTTCTTTCAGTCCCAAATTACTACCTTCGATAGTAACCAACGTTCCACCTTCTATCGGCCCACTCAGAGGTTTAATCATGTCAATCCTTGGCTTCGGACATTCGGTAAACGGCGAGTGCAGGCAAGAATGTCGGTACACGCAACTATTACCGCACCAAGTACATTCGAAACGCGTATCTCTAGTCACGCAAAGGGAACAATCTGCGTGCTCACGATGTGAACCCAACACTTCACACTTATAAAGGATAATTGTGGTCTTGTCCACGTGATGGTTAATGTTCCAAACAACTGTTACTTCTGCTTCGTATTCACCAGTGACAGCCTCGTATGAGTAAACTGTTTTATCACAAACTATAAAGCGACTGCTATCGACACGAGCCTGTACCTTTAAATTGGCACCTTCGATCGAAACGATGCATTGAAAACCACTGTGTCCTACTTGAGGATGTGGTAAATTCTCAACCTCGAGCACTATTTCTTTGGGTACACTATTAGGTAACATTAATGGTTCTTGACGTTGGACAAACCTTGGACAGTATTGTGCTCCATGGGCTGCTAAATTTGCTTGGTTCTGTAAATATAAAGTTACCTTTTTAATAATAATCGATAAACTAAACTTGACTTAAACTTTATTTAATGTACTTACATTTTCTCCCGAAATGATACCTTGACAGCTTGTGTTATGTGTACATTTATTATCGTATACACACCAACTACAGGCCCATTGGGATTTTACACACTCTGTGCACACAGTATGCCTAGAGCAATCAAAAAATGCAAAATTCCGTGAAACAAAATCTTTGTTTGTTTCACTAGAACGCACGGATAGAGGTACCAGAACATGATCAGCTCCGTCTGGTATATTTGGTCTTTCAAGGACGGGTGGTGTAGGACACGACAATCCAAATCCGGTCATTAATGCATCTATAGGCTCCGCGTTACCAAAAACACATTTATAATTTGCGCCTGCTGGTAATTCGGGTAAAGTTCTGATTGTTAAGTGAACTGTAGTCATTTGATTGATAGGCATACGATCTGGGAGAACTTGCTCAAAATCGATGCACTGCTGTCCCGTACCTAAAGATAACCATCGTGGACTACTATGACTCGCTTTCTGGCAATCTCCTCTAACTGTACATCTAAAAGTAAATATTAATATTATAAAAAGAAGAAATGAATATTTATGCGTAGCATACAAGAAATATAAGACATATTATATATTTACCTTTTTTCCAATGAACACCATCCGCAATAAGGATCTTTCGCGTCAAGACAACTACTACAATTAGTATAACTACTGCAATGTTCAACTTGCACCTTGGAAATTTTAGAACTCGACAAAACGTAAATATGCTCTCCATCCGGCGAGATTAAAGTATCAGGCATCAACCTGTTTCCTTTATCAATTACAATACTTTCGTAAACGAATGCCTCATTTCCAGAAAGTAAAACTTTCTTAAGAGAGCCGTCATTAGTACCCAAGAACGCAACAGTGTGACTTTCTGTATTAGCTATTGTTACAGAAGTGATAAATTCATCGGGAAAATGTAGGATTGCTTGTCCTACAATCGGCGACATTCCGGAGATTTTCAAACCCACTTCACAAAAGTTCAAAATGTTGCCTGTTGTCTAAATGGAAAGATAGAAACAAATTAAAAAAAAGAAAACAGAAATGTACAATATTTTTACGTGACAAAAAACGTTTGAATATTATACTTACTCCTGCTGTAGGACATTTACCATCTTGTATAGGACCACTGACATAACCCATGTTTCTATATTTAGTACTACCATTGAAACACATGTGAATATTTTCATCGAATCTTGTTTCAATTTCTTGCAAACTATACACACAAAGTGCTGACCGCGACAGCGGTTCATTCGTGATTCCTCTACTCGGCGAAAATACAGAAACAAAAATGGGATCACCAACAGAAATACCTAATTGCATGGCTATATCACTGCCAGCTGGTGCAACTTTCGCGTCTTGCACTAAATTGTAAGATTGCGGTTTTCCATCTCCCAAATTAACCGTACATTGCAAAGTCACTTCTGTATAACTATCATAATTCGGATCGCTGATACAACTTCGAGCCAATCTAGAAATATAACCCTTTTCTTCTTCCTCGGGAAGATGAGATTGTTTTTGTACTAATACGAAATACGCGTAATCGCTGGCATTGAAACCATATACATATTTAACCAGGAAATGATCTCGGTATTTTACGTCGATGTATACAATCGACTGTTTATTGAATGTATACTCAGCGAATTCTAAATTGTGCAGATTTCTACTGGAAATGGCAGGCACATCATGCCTATAATCTCCTCTGTTAGTGAATGTAGTACCAACATAGAGTATATTTGTTTGTCCCCAAGCATTGTATCTTTCGGGCCCGATAAAAGCATATGTAGAAGAGTTTTCATCATTCGCTGCTACACTATGGGGAATGAATTCTGGCTTGATAGATATGTTTGACATTTTGTACTTTTCACAAGCACCTTGAAGAAGGGAACCACACGCGATCAGTGTTTGTGATTCAAGATCAGCAATTAATAATTTGTTTACATTATCCATTAAAGATGTAGTTATGTCTCTGGAAGGACAGCCTGTTGCATGGCACTGAGGATTATCCAATCTTGGTCCTAGAAACAACAATGAATAACAATAACAATCTTTTTTGTTTATAGAACATATAATTCATAAAAAGGAATAAATAGCTCACCTGTGGAAACATATTCCTCCAGCCTGAGATTAGAATCTAATTGTAAAAGTCTGTTGATGGCACCTGCATACAATCTTCCTGTTGCAGGATCTATAGTGAGATGATTAAATCGAAGGACACCTTCTCTTGTTGTATTTGGATCTAGAGGGTAAAATCCATATCTTTGACCATCACCCGTCGGAAATTGTGTTACAATCTGTAAGGATCTGTTTTCTTGCATAGACGGAGCAGTACTAGCAGGTGTATCTATTGCTGCAGTTACCAGTACCACCAGGAACCAGGTAGCAACAGACATGGATGAAAAGGATAATCGATAAAGTGATAGCAATAGTTTAGGTGGTAATACAGTAGGTGAAGTGGGAAATGATACAAATCCCAAGAATCTCATGTTGTGTAGACAATAGTTGACAAAGCACGTGCGCACACGCTATGCGTGTGCGTTTGTGCATGTACAAGTCTAGGGTAGGAAGCTTAGAAAGTATAATAAGGGTATTCGTCCCACTGATAGAAGTCTAGTATTGATACAGTACTACCAATTACACATGTATCCAGGCACTGACATGATGCACATTGCCTGGCACCTCTGGAACATTTCAAAAACCACAATTGCAATTAGTTACTGGTTCTTAAAAAAAAAAAAAAATTTGAGGAACAGATTCATAAATGTTTCACCAATATTTACTAATTAAACTGAAATAAAAAAATTTTCCTCAAATTTCATTTACATGAAAAAGACTCGATAATTTTCGTACAAAATGAAAACATTATGAAAGATAAAACGGAAATGTCGAAGAACACATCAAAATACATTATTGAAATGTCTCAAGTATTTTGTCAGATTTATGTTGTTCATTTAAATTATATGAACATGCACGACCAAGCGACACAGCGATTGACTGCAACAACTGAAAAGAGTAATTGTCAAAATGTAAATAATGCATCACTAACCGATTTCTATTACTAAAACATTTCGACAGCGATGTCAGGCTAGGGCAGATGGCTCCACACTTTTTGAGTAACACCGTTGCACGCACCGCCCTTCATTAGTGCAAGCAGCATAGCTGCACTTGACAGTTAAGATCACTGTCTTCGCACAAAGGCAAGGATATCTTACTTCTTGTCAATAATCGTCTAACAAAACACAAACGTACCGAATTACTCGATATACTCGATACTGAAATATTCCAGAAACTCGTAAACACGTCTGGCAACACTCATGAAACACGAGGAGGATATCGTCGAGCAATTACCGAAAGGGAAAAAGGAATTTACCTTCACTGTGAAAAAAGCTCGCAGCTTCAATTCGCTCGATCTGATACGATCATCAGTCGGCTCGTGTTAACTTCCCTTTTTTTTTTTCTCACCAGCAGCTCACGCAAATTGCTATATACACTAAACTAAAATAAAATGAAACAGGTTCGATTTGTCATGTAGAATTGACCTTTCTCATGAGAAAGCCAAAGCGTACAACACGACTATACATGATGGAATGTTCGTACGCCAGAGTCGCTACGACACATCGCGGATATGCACTATGTCCTTGATACAGGTCTTTAATATAGTCCTCGCCTGACGAAACACCAAGACACTCGCTGTTTAAACTCGGTGGAACTCACTATTATTCCCTGTGGTAACGCATAGAGAGTATATATACCGTTTCGTTAGCTGATAATAACACTAAACAGGGAATCGGAATGAGCCGCCATTAAAATTCGACCGACAGCGACAGGCTGCACGAGTTTAGAGCAAGTTGGGGGCCGTGGCTATGGCATGCGCCGCTTGTTCATTATCTTTCTCTCTCTGTTCCTCTCGTCAAGCTTTTCCCACGGTTCAGTGTCTCTCCTTGACTAGTTCTATCACTCTTTCCTTCCCAACTTTCCTTTTCTTCCTTATGATTATGTGTGTATGTGTACATACGTGCGGGATACTCTCTATCAGACTTACAGATGCCGCGTCCTCCCGTGGCTAAAACCCTGTACTGTTTATTTTAATGGTAAACTGATGTGCTTTCGAATCATCGACTTAGCACTGGACGTTCAAATCTTAACTATGAAACGATTGCAAAACGTTTTTAATAACGGTTTATTTTCTAGAATAGCAAATTTGAAAACGTACCAAGTATGCAATCCCACTTAGGAACTCTAAAATTTCAATTGTACTATAAATTTAGAATATCGCTCTGTATGAACTTCAAACATGATCTTATTGTTAGTATTAAATAAATAACATTCGGTTAAATACTTGCATTTCATTTATGTTTTCTTCTATTTACGTGATATGTATTATAGATAAAGATAAATAATGTAAATGAACCCAAACGTTTCAAACCTTCGTTAAGAAAATTCTTGCTTTACTTGAGAACATTTGTACTGCATTAAAAAAAAAATATTAAATAAACTTACTAACCTCCTCAAAATTTTTAAATCTGTTCTTGCAAAAAACATTGCATAGCCAAGAGTTTCAGGATTTTCAAGATATCTAAGCTTTGAATCATATTCAAAATGACTCGGAAAGTTTTAGATTCTATTACATGAACTGTTTGAATCGATTCGAATAAAAAGTAAGAATACTAATTCTTTTATTGTGTTTCATTTCAAAAATGCGCGTAATTTAAGAACCTATTACTTTATATACATAAAGTTTCATACGTAATATCCAAATACAGTTGGTATTATTTTAATAACAACAAAATGCTTACAATGAAATTTATCTCATAACTTTATTGAGTTCAGCACCTCTCATTTTTTCTCTTCCATGCTTTCAGTGATGCCCAACATTTTCGTTGGCGTTGCGGCAAAAAGGCTTCGATGTAAGATAGTGCGCATATTTTGTTTTTAATCTCCTTTGTACTCACATTCTTTACACACTGCGCAAATAAAAATCCTTTCTAGAATATCTCGTCATAAGTCGATTGATTTAAGTAGTCAAGTCTAAAGTGACTTATATGTCACGATTTATTATTGTAAATATCATGTTATTTACACATATACCTAAGCTTCAAACAGCTTTATAACGATTTTTTCTTTATTTTTCCTTTCGTGTTTATGAAGAGGGTTTGGATCTTTTGGCTGTGATATTTCTTCATTTTACATGTAACAAATACAATAGATAACTAATATATCAAGTCATAATTAAGAACATGATGATCGACGTACAACGTAACTATGTAAAGACTGGATTTACCCTATTTGTCTCTTTGAACGTATGTATCGACCATTCTCTTAACTCGTTATACAATATATATATAAAGTTGTGTATATCTGTGTCTGTGTGTCTCTCTAATATTTACTTAAATGTTAACTTCTTACAGATTGGTTACATCTTTGAAAGGAAAAATCTCTATATACTTCTACATAAGCCAAACTTAGCATATACCTAAGTAGACGTTTTTAATATCAGAAATGTTTTCTTAAATAGAAATACACACACTTCTTTTTAAAAGTCTCTTATGTTTATGCACGACAAGTAACAACTTGTCAATTACAAGGAAGGCTTCTCCAAACACCGTATAAAAATTATAAAACAGAAAGAATGTTTAAAATTTACCGCCTAACAAGTTATTATACATGTGTTCATAAGAGTCGGTGCTATGGCCAGCCTCCTTAGGCCTTTAATATACGACATCAAAATTAAAATCTAGGCTTAACTGCCTCACCTCCTGCCATACAGGTGGATTTTGTTTTGTTTGTTTATTTCCCCTTGGAATTATATGTTTGACTCAAATTTAAGCAACTTCAAACTACATTATGTAAAACGAATATCTTTTGATATTTATATTCCTGCTGGTCCGCTTAGTCCTTCAGCCATATTTTTTGTCTAATACTCTAATTTTATGATTATTAAACAAGTTCATAAATATCCAGCCTTGTTCATGAACAAGCATTAAAACATAAATTACGAACGAACTGTTATTACAAGCACGAAAAAGCACCATGATCTAAATTGTTTTTTATTATGCGAAATTAGACATGATAATATGTCGATATATGATTTATCCAAATGAACAGTAGCACTATCAACACATTGGCATAAAATTATATATCTATATATTGGCATGTTCAACATCGCACGATAAAAAACAATGTAGATCATAATCCTTTTCAGTACTTATAATAATTCAGTTTGTTTTCATGCTAATTCATGGATGAACGATATTAAGAACAAGACTGAATATTCATGGATATATATATAATAATCATAAAACTTGAGTCTGTAAATTACGTATCTCATTTTGCAAGGGTGTACTGTATTATGCATTAATAACGTTGTCACTGACGCAAAAATGTTGATAGTAATAATTTTAGTATTAGTAGTAATTTTATCTGTGGTAATAATTTCAATGTTAGCAGAAATGGTGGGATGCTGTATTGTCGACAAACGAAACCACCTATCCTAATGAAGGAAAGTCATTCTCGTCATCTACTTTCGGTGCATTTTGACGTCCTCGTGGTGACCTTTGCTCAGATTGTGAAGTCTAGAATTACATCAATTAATGTTCATTGTGCATCTATGTACGCTATATTTCAATTGAAAATGAATAAATTCAAATACTTACAGGACCACGTGAGTCTCCATCTCTAGGAGCTCCACGATTACCAAATCCACGATTATTCACTCGTTCTCCACGACCTCGTCCCCGACCACGTCCACCAGAACCACGTCGTGAATCACTGAATTGAATTTCAATACCTAAAACGCGTTTCTGTCTTCCAACACGCTGAGGATATTCAGCTGCTGCGTCATATTCTTCTTCTTCCTCTTCCTCTTCATCGACTCCCTCCTTCTTTCTTTCCAGTGCGTACATTTTCTTCCAGCGTGTTAAATCCTCGCCTTCTCCAGCTTTACGCAAATTATATTGAGGCTTCACTCTATTATTACGTAAAGCTTTCCATTCATCTAAGGTTAATTCGCGTGATTCTTCTTCGACTGGTTTTTCTTCTACTACGTCGGCAGGTGTCTCTCCATCCTTTATCTCTGTGGTTGTTTGATTGGCATCTCCATCAGGTTTATCGTTAGCCCAATCTTGATTCTCTTGGTTTAAACTTTCTCTGAAAATAAAATATGAACAAGGAATTAGAGCGTAAATTTTTTCTGAATTTCAAAATATTCTGTTGGAAATAATATTTACTCAATTTCATCATTGTGTGTACCCCAATTATGGCTACCAGCACCATCTTTCTTATCCACAGGTTTAACTCCCCTGCTTAACATACAAACAATGCGTTTATTAATACTAAATAAACTTATTAGAATTTAATGATAATAAATGAAAATTTACGTTTTGTCAGAGCCAGATTGACGATCGAATTCACGTTTTCCACGATAATCGTATCCACCACGGCCACGTGGACCTCCACGTCCACGCACCATTCCACGCATTCCACCACGACCTCTGCGCTCTCCATATTCTCCACGATTATCATTAGAATTCCTAAACTCTCGAGTTTCACGCCCTTCGCTGAAAAATTAAAAAGACAATTACAAAAGAGAAGTTAGAGACATTATCAATGCCTTTTTGTTCACTAACTGGTTTATACTAACCCAGGAAGTCCTCGCCTAACTTCTCCCTGATTGCGAGGCGTCCTTTCACCATCTTCACGATTACGTCTGTTATTACGCTCTTCTCTAGTTTCTCCAGAGAATTTAACATTACGATCTCCACCACTGTTTCTTGATTGTGGTGGTTTTTTATCTGGTACTATATGAATGAAGATCATTATATCAATAAGTAAAATAAAACAATAAAATAAATTTATTAAAAATTGGTATCGTATAAAGCAAAAATGTAAAAAGAATTTATATATTTACGAATAATACAAATTTATGATTAATAGTGATTTACATTTATGTTATAAAAATTAGTTTTTTTTAAGATTTATAAATTTTTTTTAACCTTTAAACTGATGAGCTCCAATTTTCATCTATTTTTTAAATTCACTATCTAAATGATTAATACTTAATTCCGTGTCTTACAACAAACAAATTAATTATTTCTATAAATTATTTATTATAAAAATGGTACATATAATGGTAACTTGCAAACTAAATTAAAAAAATATATTTGAAAAATAGCTATATATCATTACTTTTCTTATTTATGGAGTTGATCAATGTGGTTTCTGAACAGCTTATTTGAAGCAGAAAAGCATATACATATACATGTTGATATAATTTTAACATAGTATATTGATTATTTGCAGCAAAAATAATAAGAGGCCTATATAAATCATTAAATAACAAAATATAATCCTCAATCATCTATCCATGCATCAATTATTTTTTTATTACATTACACCAATGTCCCACGCAGTGTACAATTACTTAATAACCGTTTAAAAATTTCAAAATAAATCGCAACGGCTCGGTCGTAATTATTTGTTAAATAACACGTGGGGTCATCATTGGTAAATTCTATTTTTATGATATGGAAACACAATGCGGCATAAAAAATTCTCAAAAAAAAATTACAAGAAATATGAACTTGGTATAATGGAATTTACATAAATAATCGGAGTTTAGAGGGCAAGAATAACCGACAGAATGAACACGAGGAAATGATCGGCGAAGAGGTGAGAAAATCGTTTGGTGTTGGGCGAAATATCAAAAGCACATGGACCCACGAGGGCTGAGGAGCGACGGCCATAATACCGCGCACGAGGTGAGATACGAAAAATGAAAAATGACTAACCTTGATCCTTCTTAGAGTCTTGCACCTTGGCCGGTTGTTGCTGAGAATCTTTGATCACGCGATTCTTTTGCGTTTTATTACCAGTCCCTTTCTGCGCGTCAGACTGCTTGCTCTTATTTTCTTTCTCCGAGAGCTTCTCCTTTTTTCTGGCTTCTTTCTTAAGCTCTTCCTCTCGGAGTTTTTCGTGTGGATCCTCATCATCACCCAACGCTAACGAGAATTTGTTTGTCACAGCAATGCTGTACATACTTTCCATACTTATCCTTATCCTCTCTTCGTCGAGGATCACACGAAAATTTCACGGCTACTCTTGAGCCCTTGTGTAACAGAGACATTCAATATTTCAATATGGCTGAGTCGGAGAATAGCTCACCACGAGGTCTGTGCTCAGGGAGGGACCGCATAATTGTCTTGCACCCAGCGCGCCACCTCCCCACCAATATTATTTATATTGTCAATTTTATATTGTTTTAAACCGTAAATCGTCATCTAAAATTGAGTTTTTAATTTTCACCGTGTCGCATTGTTAAAATAACTAATATCTAACAGTATTGCGGAATAATTCTTTGCGCTGTCGTTCTCAAAGAAACCGGCATTATTTCCATGAATTACTTAACACGAACCGAATAGATTTTCTTATCTTTTACGCTTTATCTTATTGCCTTACAATAATATTTATGCACCAATCCGCTATTTTTGGCTCTATATCATGTTTCATAGCGTTTGAATAAAAATGTATGTACATCAGCTGTACCTGAATATAATGCTTGATGATAATTGAAAATCTCCTGTGACAGCATATTATACAATAATATATTTAAGTTTTTCTTAAAAATCATTTTTTTAGAGTTATTTTTACATTGTTCAATTCGATTCTAAGTTACTTACATACTTAGCTAACATAAATATTAATATTGTATGAGTTTGTTATACGATGTAAAAATGAACATATCGAATTTGTACATATGTATTTGAGAGCGTACATTTGTTTGCAATTTGCTACATACATGAAATGCATATACATAATTATAAAATAAAGTCATTATTACTTTTATTTTATCCTTTCTTTTTATTAAAAAATAAAGGATACAATTGGTAACAGAATTTCAACTTTAATTTAGCATTTGCTAAATGCAATAAATTTTAGAAAGTGTTTTTAATTTTTTTAAGTAAAAGAATATAAAAGAACTTTTTAAAAATATATAAATTAATTAAAAATTTTTATTATTTTTCGACATGAAAGGTATAAAGTGATGTCAGTATATTCTTTGACAATGTATAAAATGTTCATTTTTCAACTTGTATTTCATGTATGTATACTGTAAAGCTTAAACCATTTATAAAATCCTTATGCCGCATTTCCATGTAGAATAAAAAACTGAATCATTACAGCTTTAAAATCGAAACGTCCTTAACAATAAAATACAGTATTAATACACAATAACTTTATGAATGGAAAGGAGGATATTTTTTTTTCCAATATATTCTCATTTTACATTATTTTTTTCAATATATTCTCATTTTACATCTCCGTTTTATATATACGATACAATCTTTTGTTTCATAATAACATGTTTCAAATCTACAAACATTCAATTACAATGATTTTTTTTATATATTGATCTTCCTCTCGTTTATTCAAAAAAACAACGCAAAATATTTTGTAAAATACATGTTACGCACCTTCCCTCTCATGAAAATATTTAAAAATTCATTTTCATAAATATTTGGCGCTCAAATATATAATTAAAAAATATTCATAAAAAATGATTATCAATAATTACGATTAATAAATCCATTATGCAGGTAACAACAATAAATTAACTTTGTATTACGCGTCTTCTTTTGGCGCACTTCTGATTGGTCGGTATGTTGCGCAGAAGAGGATGCGCGCGCATCAGAATAAAGCCGCGTGTAGAAAACAGTCCGAAAAATGATGCCAACAATACAAGAGCTGATGGAAATCGCGTTTCTACTTTCCTACCTTTCATCGTCTATTTAGTGAAAGAAATCTTATAATCCATTATTCCAGCAGTTTAGGAAATTCGAGGTTAACTCTACTTTATTGCTGTAATCTTAGTCCATACATATTTATATATATACATATATACAGATCGAACCGGGTATGTATTACGTTTTGGCGGTTCACTAGTTGCACGCGGTATACGCAGTGGCAGAAAGAAAGAGAGAGAGAGAGAGAGAGAGAGAGAGAGAGAGAGAGAGAGAGAAAGAGAAAGAGAGAGAGAGAGAGAAAGAGAGTAGGTGGTTATATTAACACGAAGACTTTAAAGTGGCGGGTGAGAAGTATACGCAGAGTGAGGTGAAAAACGTAAAATGGAATTGCACACGCCGAAGCGCGAGATGCGTCCTTTAACGGAAGCGTTGCCGTGCAGTCCACCAATGTGCGATAGTATGCTTTATCCGTGGAACTGGGGCGACGAAGCGAGAAACGTAAACCTTAGCCCGGGCAGCTCGTGCTCGTCTCCGGAATGTAGGGAGCATAGCGTGCTAAACACGCGAACTGGGACTAGATCACGTTCAGGTGGCTCGGAAAGTCATCGCCGTGGTCGACCAAGAGCCGATGCTCTTTCCAATCTTATGATGCAAGGAAGCACCTCGCCGAGCAGTATAAAATGTACTTATTGCAGCCGCGTATTTCCACGAGAGAAGAGTCTCCAAGCACACTTACGTACCCACACAGGTATCTATAATTTGTAACTTCAAGCGGTAATCCGTTCGTTTTTCCATGTTTTATAGAAAATAGAAGCAATTTTAGTGGAAGTTTCTGTGAAAAAAGTTGTCACATGGCACGTTGATAGTTCGCAGGGCCTTTAACGGCTTGCTCGACTTCGTATGGTCACGCGTCCCGCCAATCGCCATCATTTGCACTTTAAACAGTTAAATGACTTATTTGTGAAAATATTTCGCATGCGAAACGAACTAATACTACATCATTAAGTACGAGATTTTCGTATCGAACAACAAATCTACTATTTACAACAGAAAAATGTACATATTTTCGTCGCAAATTTCGAAGTATGCTTTGTTTGGAAAAAAATAACTCGAGGCTTTCTTAGTTAAATTGCTTTGATTCTTTATATTTAGTTTATTTTGTAAAACATAGTTTCTTGACATGTGTCGTTTTTTGAAGAAATTTAAATCTCTGCAATTATAATCTTACTAATTATTATTTGTGAATTTTTATTTAATTTATTTAAAAAATATTTCATAAACTATTTTATGTAGTGTTAATAAGTGCATTTTAATAATTCTTTTTGTCTACCAATTTTATATAGTTATAGGATTTCCAAATATTATTTTTTCAGGTTTTAAAAAATGAATTTTGAATGAATAATTTTTATTTTAGGAGAGCGACCATACCCGTGTGATTATCCCGGATGTACAAAAGCCTTTACACAATCAGGACAGTTAAAAACTCACCAACGATTGCACACAGGAGAGAAACCTTTTTTATGTACAGAACCTGGCTGTGAAATGAGATTTACACATGCTAATAGACATTGTCCGGATCATCCATATGCTACTCTCACACGATCCGATGATTTTGTATTGAAACCAGTATCGGAGAATACCGAATTACCCCATGATGTGACTAGATGGCTAGAGCGTTACAAAATGTCCAGAGAAAGAGAAGATAGAACACCTACAGGGAAAAATGAACGTAAGAAAAAGACATGGAAGAGTAGTTCTGAAAATCACAAAAGAGTTAAATCTAGAAAAGGTCTAATGATGGATGCAACAGGGGAACAAGAAAATCTAGACTGCAAACAGCCTAATCAAAGATTGTATTGTGGAGAGAGTCAAGATAGTCAAGAAGAAAGTCAAGATGAAGAGCCAGCAGTATTACAAACATCTGAAGATGAAGAGATATCAGCAAAGTTAGCAATTACACCTTTAAGAAGACCATTAGATAGACTTCAGCCAAAGAAAAGATGGTTACGCGAAGCTTGTTTAGAGCAGCAATTAGCTAAACCTTTAAATTGGGATGTCAAACCTGTCAATGTATCTACAGGTACCTCATTTAAAATTAATAGCAATCAAATGCAATGGAGTTCACCTGTTGATAATTCATCTGCCTTGTTAGATAATTCATGTTTAAATGCATGTAAGGAAATTGAACTTACAAAGTCAAAAGCAGATCTTCCTTATGCATCTGCACAAATATCTTGGGATGCTGAAAATGAATCTCTAGAACAATCTGCAAAGAAAGAATCAAAATATATGTTTAAAACTTCAAATACATTATCCCAAAACATTTGGAATTCCTCACATCATATGAACGATTTTGTGAAAAACACGAGCCAAATAAAAACCGATGTCAATCAATCTACTTCCAAGTCTTCCAAAAGTCCGAATCACACGTATTGGGACAATAACTTAACAAACGAACTGCCTATATCTCCATTAAATCAGTCTAAACCAGAGATATATCCAAGAAAAGATATATCCAAACAAAATACATTTATGAATTCTCATATTAGCGAAAATGTAACGAGACCGACTGTTTTAATGTTAGCTGGAAGTTTTAATAACAACAATAATAATAATAATAATAAAGATACAATTTCAGAAGTATCTCCAATGGAATCCGAAACAGGATTAAAAGTAGTCGTTGTTAAGCAGGAGGATAATCTTATTAAGTTACCAATTCCTGAAGATAGTCAAAAATGGTTGGGTGCTTTAGCTTTGATGGAATTAGCTAAAAATCAAGAAGATACAGAGAGAGGTATGAGTTTTAAACAGAACAAAGATGAATTTTTTGTTAACACTGAGCTGAATTATACCCACTTGTAGACTGTGATTAGTGGCTATTGTAGTTTCGTAATATTTTTGTATGGCAAGAAAAAAAGACAAAAATAAAAATGCATTTATTGCCATAATACAATACGTTTTTGGTCATGATAATAAGAAATGTAAATTTGTCTTTCTTATTATACAATCAAGAAACATCTTTTACAATTTTCTTTGGATGTTTTTCTAATTACATTATAATGTTACAGTTTATGTTGACCATTTATTTACATTTTACTACAATTTTAAGAACAATGAAAGATTGGAGGTTTTTCTCCTTCTGGTTTTTCTTTTTCTTTAAAAAAATGAATTAATATGTACAAAAAATATTTTATGTTTATAACTCTGTTAAGTTTTAAGTGTGTATTCACATGGAACTTGAAAAACTATATTTTGCAAAACATTTTTTACATAGATACTTCTCATTGTCAGTCACATGCATTTGTAAAAGTAAACGCATTTTTTTTTGTAAATGATTTTCTTACAACTTATGTAAGCAATGAGAATATACTACTGTAATATTGAAATATGTGAAGAATATTCTTTGTTTTGAAATTTTTTGTTATTTTAGTAACAAAGGAACAAAATTATTATATTGCAAAAAATTAAATGTTATATTGTTTGTAGTTTAATACTTAATGATATGAAATATTTTGAAAAAATTGTTTGAATTTGTAATATAAATTCTTAAACAAGATGTTCCAGGTCTCAATCATCAAACTTTGCCAACATGTTTGGGAGGTCATTTTGAGCAGAAAATGTTATATATGACCATGAGGGTCAATACGTTTCAGTTTTTGAAATATGAAAGAAGTAACCATAAGTATAAGTATAATAAGCTATAATTTAGGCAGCAATTAGATATGATGAAGCTACTTAACTTTTAATGATTAACATTACAAATTATTTCTGATTGATACTGGTTCATACAAATTGTTAAAATGGTAAACACGCAAATAAGCGTCCATGGATCACATCTACATATTAGCAAAGTCGTTATTGACGGTACTAGCAACCTCTTTGATTTTTTTTTTTATCAACGTTACAAGTATTGGTCTTTCTACTGTAATTGTATCGTCGATTTCATACAGTTCTATAAAAAAAAAATCTAATAAGAAAAGTTCAAGTAATCAAGGAGGCCATGCAGTAGTTAATTTTCTATGATTTTCAACAATTTATATAAACCAGTCCGACCAATTTCTGTAAAGAAATAATTTGAAATAAAATTAAGTAACTTCATATACTAATTACTCATCTCGAAATGAAGATGTATATACCTCATGGTGTATATAACATTTTTTGCTCAAAATGATGTCCCAAACATGGCAAAATTTGATTGAGATCTAGAACATTCATTTTCAATATATATGAAATGAAATATAAAAGAATTTGCAAACAGAAACATTCATTAGTTAAATTGATTTTTCTTGATTATTCTTGCATATTCATAGTTCATTTAATAACTGTTAACTTTTTAACTGTTAAATATTTCATAATAATTATTTAAAACATTATAATCTTCATACAATTGTAATAGTTTTCAATATTTGACTTTATTTTATAAAACAGAATATTACATTTCTCTAGATAATAATGCAAAAATTTATTTATTATTATCGGCCATACTATGTAATGATAAAAAATTTATGTGATATTTAGAATATTAAAAAAATTTATAAAGAAAAATTTTGTATCGAAAACATTGAACAAAGTTCGAATGAAGTTGAATGAAGTATTTAATTGGAGTAAATATTATTTGTAAAATGTTATAAAGAAAAAATGGATAATTGATAAAAAAATCTTTCATTTGTAATAACATTAAGTAATTTTAACTCCTATTATCTTTTTACTAGATGTGTACATATGTGAGATATTTTAATAAATATTTTTAAAAATTTTACAAAATATATTTAAATACTTAACAATACTGATACTGATAAAATATAGTAATTTAAAAAAATTTTTTATATAATTATTATTTTTCATAAATATTTTTTTGTTGTGAATTATGTTTATAAAAAATATGTAATACCAGTCTCTACATGATTCAATATTTTAATATTTAATATAGAATATTGGCAGTGTTATATTACTGAATTATCATAATTTTTCTTTTGATTTTCTAGTTCTTATGTTATATGACTCTTTATTTAAAACACTGTGTTCCGTACGTTTTCTTGTTATTTTTAATTTAGTATTTTCACTTTTATATGTTTTTTCCAATTTATCTAAATTATTTTGTTCTAAGTTATCTGTCTTTTCCTCATTATTTCTATTTTGTTTTTTGTATGATAAAGTGTTTGTTTTTACAAAAGATATAGATTCTTCAGACGTTACAGTTTCTTTATTCATCGGATCGTTGATGACAAAATCTTTAAATAATGCGATCACTTCATTAATTTTACTACAGTCATCTGTATTTGCTTTCTTTGAATGTCGCGTTTTTCTAGGATTTTTTTGCGAAATTGCATTTACTTTAAGATCTTTCATTAAATCGATTAATTTCTGTACATTTTCGGTGGTTGCAGGCTCGTCTATATTATCTACTTTATATAAATGTTCTGATATATCTGGTGCCAACAATTCGACTTTTTTGATTATATCCTTTATTGAAATATTTGGATTATGTTCCTTTGTATCGATTAATTCCTGCAACGAGAAGCTGCTTTTGGATTGATTTGTTTCCTGTTCGGTGTGACTAACAGTTTCAGAGTATTCTTCATTTAAGATTTTCCTTTTTATTAATTTACTATGCGATCTTGTTCTTCCATATCTGGATGGCGGTGAAGAAGTATCCTCATCGTCACTGAAGTTAATACTAACTTTGGTTAATTTTAAAAGAGGCGGAGTTCGATTACGTTGAAGAGTAACAGGTTTCTTCGATCGAGTGTTGTTAATAGTTGGTGTTATACAAATATTACTTTCAGTGTTCGATTTTTGCATGTATTTACTTATATCGATATCAAAAGGATCAGGAACTGTAAATTCTGTAAAAAGAATAAATGTAATTTTGCCTTTCAACATAGATAAGTCCGTTTCACATAATGCTTACATAAATACTTACTCGAGTAATCAGAAGAACTAAACGTACTTTGAAAGCTATGATCAAGCATCAATTCATTAACCGTCATATAAATTGGATGTCCCTTTAATTTATTCGTATCGCATATTCGAATCGCCAACGAAATGATATTCCTTATTTTCTCTTGCTTTGTATTAAAAAAACTTCTCAGGAAGTAAGAAAAATTTATTAATAACAGTACATAGTCTATAATATAAAAACGTTCTTGCCAAGGAAGATATTTGATAGGCATACATAATGGTATGTATTCTTTCATTTTTATCAAGTTCTCTTTTATCTTAAACGCACCATGAAAGTGCTGTAACGAAGCTGCGATATTTTTTTGGAATGCATATAATTGCGCTCTGATGTGTGTGCTTGTAAACACTAAATAATGATACGATATATTTTGACAAAAATAACAGTTACAATCTTCATGGCGCATAAATTCAGGTAAACTGAATACTTTGTTTTGGAGAACTGGCGAAGTATTATATTCAGGAAGATCTCTAATAGGATCTATAACCCGGGTCGGCGTTTGTAAAATATTACCCGAATTCATTTTTGTAAGATTACTGTTTGTAGATACTTTAAATGTTTCGATACTTAGAATATGCTCTAATCCTTGAAGTTTTACTTCACAATCGTTTAGCTGTACACGTGATAAATCAATGTAACAGAGAGATTTTAAAATTTCAGCAACCCTTATAGTTGCTCCTAGAATTTGCGCACTTTTCAATCTGCGCACTAGATGGGCACTAATTTCTTGAAAAGATAATAAACTATTCATTCGTAGGGATAAATTAACGGTTGCAGATAATAGTATGTCGAATCCAAAAAGATACTTGTCTTGAGGTTTCCCTAAAAAAGCATTGGATTATAATGTTAGAAGCTACAAAGCATTAAAGAATATTTTTTTATAAATAAAAACTTCACATTTTCTTGCAGAAAGTTCCTCGTTCAAATTAACCAGAGTATACAAAATTTCAACAATATATCGAGTGTACTCTTCGTGTTTGATATTTTCTTTGTACAAATAACAATTATACAAAATTCTATCGAGACTGTATAAATATACAGCTATATTTTTGAAGAAAGAAATTCCTGGTAGTTTCCTGGATTCATCAACTAATTTTCTAGCTTCATCATACTAAGAATAAAGTATATGAAATAGTTGTAATGTTTTTCATTATTCGTAAATAATAAACTTACCATGTTGCATTCAAAATAAAAATCTGATAAACTTATCCAAAAAACAGCGATTGCGTAAATTGTATCTTCATCATTACTATCTTTCAATTTGATGGCAAGCTTTTTGGCAATAGTAATCCATTCAAAATTAATATATCTCAAAGATATACAACGTCCAATGACTAAAAAGAATATTGGTAATTTTTTATTAATATAAATGCCCCTGAATTTCAAATTGAAAGAAAAAAGTTCAATATTTATGTACCATAAATAATTGTAGAATTATCTTGCAATTCGTATGCTAATGCATGTGCAAATTTCCATATATTAATTTCACATTTTTCATACCTATACAAATGAGCATATTCACCCGCTATAATTAATGTATGTAAGGTCGTCAATGGTTCATATCCTTTTGCAATTTCTTTCTGTTAACATATATATATAATTAGAGTTAATCTTAAATAAAAATACACTAAGCTGTGATTAGAGACTCAAACTTACAAGATTTTGCCTTAAACATTTTTCCCATTTTTTTAATGCCTCCTGCAAATACATCATATGTCTAGAATCTTCCTTGATATTTATCATACTATAAGCTGGTACTACGTCACGAGATTCATTTTCCCCAATTTCGTTTACTTTTGGAGCGTACAATGCGAATTTCATGTTTTCAATTTCCATCTCAATTTTTTTGCTTACAGAACGTAATTGGGTGACAAAAATGTAAAATTCTAAGTTCGCTTGCAAACATAAAATGTTGCAATCCATTTTAATTTGTTTCAAATTTGAAACAGCTTGCTTAATACATGCCAAAATATCTTCATCATAATCAAAATTTAATGAATGATATACTAACATTTGAACCATGCGAGCGTATTGTATTGGATTTACTTTCAATGCTTCCAATTCGCTGAGAACTTTCTGAATGGCGACAGATAGATTAACTTTTGCTTCTTGTAAACCTTTTGCTTCTTTTAAACATATTTCAATGAGATCATATTTCGATAAATCAATAGATAATCCTAATTCTTCTATCTTTGATTTATCTTTTTTCAAGCAAGCTAGCATGGTCATTTCCGTAATTTCCTTGGAACTTACAGACTTATGTTTTATACTTGCCCACATACGAAATGCTTTCGAATTTGGATCATTGCAGTTCAATAGGGCATTTAATGCAGTCGCAGTCATTGCTTCTCTGTACATGTTATGATTATAATGAAGAGTACTTATTTTATGTAATGTGAAACCAATAGGATTTTCAAGATTGATATGCTTTGATTTCGATTCAATTCCATCAAATTGTACAATAGAGGTAAATAATAGAGAAAATAGAGATACACTTTCTTCATAAAAGCAGTCAGATATTATGCCTAAGTTATAAATCAAGGCACTAGAGGTAGACCATAAATGTATCCACCACTTGCATTTATATTCTTTCATTTCATAGATCAATGCTATATTTTGCTCCAAAAATATTTTAGCAACTACACAAACATCTTTCGATAAATCGTTTTTAGAAAACTTGCTGATTAAATTAATACATCTAGTTTTTATAGCTACTGCATTATATATATCTTTTTTGACCATACAATTCTCGCTTTGACAAGAGGTACACTTGTTTGATATTTGTTTAATAAAACATATACTCAAATATCCAACTAGTTTCATTGTTTCCAACAATAAATCATTTTTTATGTATACTTTCTTCTCAGTTTTTATACATGTTTCCCAATATATAAACAATGGTTCTAAAATCTGAACAATACTGAATGTGGCCCATTTAACAGATCCTGTATATTCATATCTTTTTATAAGACTTACATAGTTGTCAATCAACTTCTCAATCTTTTTAACAACATTTTCCGTTAAACATTCAATTGGTTTTACAACTACAAGGCACATAGATTCAAATAGTAAAAAACACTGGTAACATTCTTCATCCTCGACTAAAATCTCCTTAAAGTAATTGCTTATAGTATTTAGAACTTTTGTTACTGACTTAAGGCACTTTTCATTAATATTTTCACATATAATTCTACTTGTTATCTGAAGCATATGACGACATATGATGTATTTTTCTTTAATACTAAATAATATTCTTGTCTGGATTAAATACTCAATGATAAATATAGAAAAATCATTAAAAATTGATTCTCTTGATTCTCCATTTATTGTTGCAATTTTGTTCAAATATGAACTAATATTTGAAAGTAATTGTTTTGTGGAACTTCTATGTACAATCTGTATTATTTCTAATTCATACTTTACAATATTTTTCAATTGTAAGTTATTTTTAGAATTCAATGGATCTTGTTGCAGAATAAGAAATTCATTATTAACTGCACTATGCCATAAGTAAGCTATCTTCGCTAATATGTCACTTGCATTGTCATTAGAACAATCAGAACGTAATGTTTCTGCTTTCAAGTAAGAACATACATCATATGCTTCATCAAACATCTGCATTGTTAACAAACAACGAATTATATGAAATAAACTAGAAATAAATTTATTGTTATCTAATATATTGGTTAAAATTGAACACAGTGCACAAGTTAACTTATAAATCTCTTTTCCTATAGCATAGTCTTGTTTATTGCATTTGTCTGCAGTATGTGAAAGATATAACAATAGCTTAAAAATGTGTTTGTTAAATTCTTTATTTCTACCGAATACGGTTGCCTGAAAAAAAATGGAAGATAACGTTCATTTCTAAAAATGTGAAAAGGAAGTCTGGCAAATTTCTAGTTTAATGGCTTTCTCCAACTTTTTTATGGTAGAGGTTAATAAAGAGGTTCTCTTTGTTTCCATTTCAAGTGTTTTTATTCTAACACAGAACTGACTGTTCTAGAAGTAACATAAACAAACATTCAAAAGCTAACGACAAGTACAGCTATTTGGTGTTTTTCTGATAGCTTTTTGCCATTTGCTAATATTTCTGTGAAACAGTAGTAAGCAAATAGAAAAAATCATCAATATGATTCAAAATATCTTGTATTTCATTCCATTTTATCTGATAAATTATCATGGACATAACGAAATATTTTTAATACAGCGTTTAATACAGAAGAGTTACGTGACTTTTTCGATTCTCCCCAGTTGATTTTAAAAACGAAGCAAAACTTTTCAAAAAGTGAAAAAAGAATCTGTAGTCAAAGTAGTCAAAATTGGGAAAAGCCCCAAAACTATAATAAACTAAATATTCATCGAAAATTTAAATTTTAAATTTAATACAAAAATAAACACAGAGAGGAGAAAGCAATTTTATTAAAAACATTACAAACCTGAACATCTTCCGTTACACCGGTCAGTTTTTCCATTTGGATCAATTCGATCCATTTTTTCATTTTTCCTTCCACGTTATTCATTTTTGTGATTAATATATGCTTTTCCAACGAGTTGTGTACTCTTCAAGCCGATCACGGTCATCTCATATTTATGCGGCGTAAATATGTCATAAAGTAGATATGTACCAGTTCGTATAACCTATATTCAAATAGTCCGCCAAGATTTTTAATTGATTATGGCGGCCATTCGATTTCTTTGTCATTACTACAGATGACCTCCTCTGCGTCGTTACTAACTCGACTCGTAGAGCGAAGTAGTCTCATATCTATGTTCTTTTATATGTTTTACTTGTTCAATTATAGGAGGCGTAAGGTTGAATTCTGTTCAACCTAACCTCGGGCGAGTGACTGAAAGCATATTGTGTGAAAAGTTACGCCAGTATTAAGTTTCAATTAAAAATGAATTCGAGAACCCAGACCAGAAGAATCCCCGAGGTAGAACCTCGGATAGATTACGTGCAATGCGATGGATTAGTAGTTATGAAAATGGTGAAGCATTGTCATGAAGAGTCGATGAGTAACATGGATGTTGCTCAAGGTGCTCTGCTTGGTTTGGTTGTTCAAAATCGTCTCGAGATAACCAATTGTTTCCCATTTCCCAAAAACGATGAGATCATGGACGAAGAAGAATACCAGCTTGCCATGATGCGTCGCCTTCGTTGGTAAGTAATACTTAGTATTAAAAACGAAACGAAATAAATAAACGTGAGTCTCCTTTTTTCAGGGTAAATGTTGATCACTTTCACGTTGGATGGTATCAGAGTGCAGATGTTGGCAATTTCTTAAATGTATCTCTGTTAGAGTCGCAATACCACTATCAAACGTCCATCGAGGAATCTGTGGTGCTCATATACGATACAGCCAAATCAGCCAGAGGTTTTTTAACTTTGAAAGCTTACAGGCTTACCCCCCAAGCTATACAAATGTATAAGGAAGGTGAATTCACACCAGAGGCACTACGTACTTTGAAGATCGGTTATGAGAATTTATTTATTGAGATACCAGTTGTGATAAAGAACAGTAACTTGACTAATATAATGATGTCTGAATTGGAGGAAATGATTCCCGAAGAGGAAGGTACAAAGTACTTGGACCTTGGTACAGCCACAGTCTTGGAGAATCAATTACGTTGTTTGATGGATCGTGTGGACGAATTGAATCAAGAAGCTATGAAGTTTAATAGATATCAGCAGCTAGTCGTTCGTCAGCAACAAGAGAAGAACAGGCTTTTAGCTAAGAGAGCTCAAGAAAATGCTGCCAGAGCTGCTAAAGATGAGCCTCCGCTACCGGATGATGATATTAACAAACTGATGAGACCTTTGCCTGTTCCACCTAGACTAAATCCGATGATTGTCGCTGGACAGATTAACACATATAGTGAACATATTTCTCAGTTCTGTGCACAAAGCTTAGCAAAATTATACATTACTCAAAGTCTACAGAACGCCAAGGAATCAAAATCATCTCATTAAAACAAATCCAACTGTAATCTAAAAATTTCCAACATTAAAGATTAAAAAATGACATTCAAAACAATAAAATTTTATAAGATTGTGATTTTAACTTTTGGTTTTTCTTTCTTTTTATCAATCAAAAGTTTTTTCATTTTTATATAATTATCATATTAAACATTATTTTCACTAGTTGTTTATTAGCCTTTAGACGCACATATTTAAATATATTTAATAAACAGAATGTTTTTTTCTCTTTGATTATACATAAGTAATTAAATTTAATATGTAAAAGATGTCATATAAAAAATTGATAATGAAAATTCAAGTTGAAGTACGAATTAAATCAAACTTAATTTTTTTTAGTTTTATACATTCTAATAATGTGTATAATTTCTTGTTTTAATTCTTCATTCACAACTATGTAACTGATGCTTTGGTTCGTTTGAGTGTAAACACCCAAGCAAAAATTTAATAAGCGATATAAGAGTTAATTCATAGAGGCGGATCCAAAGTCAGTGACGGATCGTGAATTCAAGTGCCCAGCGCTTTAATGTTTCTAACCTCCAATTACAAAATAGTTTCTTTCATTTTTTTTCTTTTTTTTTCTTTTTGGTTCATTGAATTACGTTTTATCGAACTGCTCATTCTCGTCATCTAGAATCTCCTTTCGATTCTCGAAATGAACGTGTCTTATACATAGAAAATACATCGTTCTCTGGAGTCATGAAAGCGTATTATATTTCGCCAACGGTAGTGGTACAGTCGTTTAAATTTTCCATTTATGTGGCACAGAGGCGCACACACATTAAAGCGCAAATACGTAAATGTCAGTCATACGGCTAAGCAGATCGGTATAGGTATGTGACCGGGTGTAATCAAATAATTTTGAAATAAGGAGGCGAAAAACTGTCACACCAGTAATTACAGTTGAAATTACTATTAGTACATGTACTTACAATGGAGGGCCACCAGGTGCGTAAACCTCTTAAAAAAAACAAAAGTGATTGGTATATAATTGTTTGATATTAGAACAGTTCTGTGCATTATGACTCATTCTTTTGTGTGAATTTTTCAAAATAATTTTTTTCCGTTTCGTGCGTATTAACATCCAACATTTGTTTTTTCAGGTAAGGGCGTTATACGATTTCACAGGAGAACCAGGAACAGCAGAGTTGTCTATCACAGCAGGAGAAATGTTGACTGTTATGAGAGATAATGTAGGCGATGGATGGTGTGAAGGTTTCAATCAGAGTGGAAAGTCTGGATTATTTCCAGCAGCATATGTTCAAAATGTCGACACTACTGCGCCAAGTATATTTACTTTGCTTCACTTTTTTTATTAGATATATTGATTCAAAATTTGCTATATCTAAATTTTCTTATGCATTAGATGCAATGACGTCATCACAACAGAGTTCAGGAGATTACTGGGACGATGAATGGGACGATGATTCCGAAATCGGTCAAACACAAGCGTATGTCCCTCAACAGCAGCAGCAACAACATATGATACAATTGCCACAGCATCATACTGTCGATTATGGGGATTCAGTTTCTATGCATACTATTCATTCTGTGATACCTGAAAGGCCTATACCCAACATACCAAAGAAAAACAATAAATTTTCTACATTAATAAAGTCAGGAGAAGATAGTTTTTTATTAGGAATGAGGGTAGCAAATGTTCCTGAAAATGAAAAAATATATATCGAAGAAATTGAAGGTGGACATTATGGATGGTCTTCAAGAGGAGAATCTTATAACTGTGTAGTTACATCTCCTAAAAAAGAATCCAAACTAAAGGGTCTTAAGAGCTTCATAGTTTATCAACTTACGCCAACGGTATTTAATTATTTTTTATATGTTATATTCTTGTAACAATAAATCAGAATTATCGTGGATTTCTTTGTTTTAGTTTAATAATATTCAAGTTTCAAGAAGATATAAACATTTTGATTGGCTGCACGAACGTTTAGAAGAAAAATATTGCTTTATTCCTATTCCACCATTACCAGATAAACAAATATCAGGGAGATATGATGAACAATTTATCGAACATCGACGCACACAGCTACAAGAATTCGTTGATTACGTTTGTAGGCATCCTGTGCTGGCACGTAGTCGCGTCTGGGAACATTTTATAACTTGCACAGATGAAAAAAGATGGAAGGCTGGGAAAAGGCAGGCTGAAAAAGATGAATTATTAGGTGTAAATTACTTTTATGCCGTCCAATGCCCTGAAACAATTTTGGACGTTATAAAAGTGGAAATTCAAACTGATGCTTTTAGTAGATTTATAAGTGGACTGGATCCAGTAGTTAAGAATTTTATGGCTATGGCTGTTGATCAAACAAAAAAAAGTCTTCTTTACAAGAGAGAATTTCAGAAAATTGGTCAAAGCTTTAGCGCATTAAGCCACGCATTAGAAGGCGACGATAGAAGTCGAGGAAGATTAACTTATGCGTTAAAAATAACGGGAGACGCTTATAACGATATAGGCAAGTTATACGAAGAGCAGCCTAAATTTGATTGGGAACCTCTATCTGATAAATTTCATATTTATAGAGGAATTATCAGTAGTTTTCCAGATGTAATTAGCATACATAAGGTAACCGATAAGAAAAGTTTTATTCTTTTAAAGTATAGTCTTCTATAAGAAATTTTAACGTTGCTAATATGTTCTGTTTTTTTTTTCTTTAACTTATTTAGACTGCTGTACAAAAACGGAAAGATTACGAAAAGCTAGTAAGTGAACACAAAATGGAGCCACAACAATTGCGAGATTTGTCTCATCGAACCGATGTAATAGCACGAGCTCTTCTCGCTGAAGAAACGCATTTTCAGACGGAGCAAGAGGTCCATTTAACTCAAGCAATGAAAACGCATCTTGCGGAGCAAATCAAATTTTATCAGAAAATTGTAGATAAATTACGAGAAGCGTTAAATGCATACGAGGGTTAAAATATGTGTATTTAATGTAATGTAAGGTTGTCTCGTTTATCATATCTTTTGGTAAAGTATATAATATTCAAAATGATAATTTAGTTGAAAATGCATGAACTGTATGAGATTAGAAGAAACACTTTACGTTGAATTATTGATAAGCGTTGATTACAGAAGGATTATGCAAATTACATAGAAGGGGCCAACAGTTTATTTCCAGGTATTACTACCAAACACCTAACATATACAGAAATTTGCAAGTATATTTTCTATGTATAGTATTTTTTCACACCTGTTTTCAGTTGTATAACTGGATGTGGTTAAGACAACCAATCAAAGAAATGATATTAAGCTCGGTTAAAATAAGAGTGAAATACAACTTCGAGAAATAAAGAAGTTAATCAACTAAACGATATTATTAACGATGCATAGTAATATATTGAATGTCAATGTTAATATTAATATTAATCATGTGGCTGCTATTCGAAAATTTGTAGAATCATTACTCAATTTTTTTTTCTTCGCATATTTCAATTATTCTAACTTTTAATTTTTTTTCTAAATACATTTATATATATATATGTATATATATCATTTGTATGTTTCATGGACCAAACCAAATTTTAAATTACATTGAAATCAACATGTATTAGGAACTAGGTTCTAACGAAAGATTACATTACATTTTATAATAAATGTAAAATCTATTATTTTCTCACTCTTTTATAATTAATAAATATTAATATTATTTGTTAACATGTATTTGTGAATTATGTAATTATATATTATTGTATTATAAATGAATTTCACAGATACATTGCCATGAATTAAAAGAATAATACAAAGATTCGTATTATTATAGATAAAAATTAAGTAAAATATAGATAATTGTAGAAAGATTAATTCCTATAATGTAATGTAAATTTTTTTTTATCAAATTATTAAATGTATTTATTTATTAAACTATTCTTGTTCTCAAATTAATTCTCTTAAATTCGTTTAAAGGAAAATACATGATTCATGGATAATTAATTCATAATTTCACAAAGGCAGCGTCTGTGTTAATAAATCATTAATATAAAATATAATAATCATGTAAATTTCCTATTCCATTTATATTATATGCGAAACTGTTACACATTTATTAGTTAACAAATTATAAGATAAGATATATAATTGTTAATGCATTTAAAATAATTTGTATAAAAAGATAATTTAATTTTAAGCACAAACATACGCAATTTTGTAAATGTTATTATTATAATATCATTATTATTATTATCATTTGCATCAATCATGTGTTCGTTTTCCGAAAGAAAAAATTTCATTAAATATGCATTAAATTGAAGTGTGATTAGTTTACTTATTTTGTAATTTACAAGCATTCCAATATTTTTATTTTATTTTTAACAATCTTACAACTGAAGATGACTGACTGGTAGATTGCATTCATGTGATACTAAAAAAAATTAAAATCGCAAAATATATACATATATGTATCTAGTATGATAGTTCCAATGATAATGAAAAATTATCGATAAACTAATATAAGTTTGTAAGAAAAAATCATACTCACTGTTTCATTTTAAAGCGTGAGGCCTATATTTTGACAGGCATAAATTCGTTTTTTTTCGAAGATGATTTTACATCATGTGGCAAGTGGGAAAGTGAGGATACTTTTTTTCAAAAATTGTAAAAATTCAATTGTATGTACAAACATTAAAGAATTTTTTTCATGACGAAATTTATTATGATCTTGAAGATTGAAATGTTCTCTTTACAATAAATCCTTAAAACCTGCCTGATTCTTTCCTATCAATTTATTAACCTTTGAATATTAGGGTAGATATTGTCATCTAACCCGAATGTTCAAAGTTCAATGCTGGAAAAAATCGCTTCGCTTTTCCCACTGCCTACATAATGTAGATTCATCTTCGAAAAAAAAAAACGAGCTTACAACTGTCAAAGTATAGGCTTCACGCTTTAAAATGAGACAAAGTGAATCGTTATGTTATCTTTTTTCTTACGAAATTATATCAGTTTAAATTATCGACAATTTTTCATTGTCATTGGTACAGTTATGCTAGTCATAACTTTTTATTCATCACATTTTATGGAATAGTAGTATCGAACATTTGTTGTGTAGCACCAAAATCAAGTTGAAAAAGATTAAGTTCGAAAGGTTGATCTATAATCCTCGTACTTACAAGCGAGCTTTTTATTCTTGAACAAAATAAATTACTGTCTGAAGCAATGCATTACTAAAAATTTAATCGTTAAAATATTGGCTATTCGAATAGAGTATATAATTTACAAAAATTTGATACTTCATATATCTTGAAAAAACAGCGATTTCAACAGCGTTTTAAAATCGTGGAATACATTGGCACTGTAAATTATTTTAATATATTCTGATTTACTAAAATTTTCTGCGGGGTTGATAAATTTTTTCTAATAACATTGATCCTTCGTATCAAGTATAATTTTAACAATGAAACGTCTGATAATAGTCGTTTTCACATGCACAAATTGTAAGCATAACAATTGCAAGGCTTGTGCAATGAGAAAAGTTACACTAGGAAGAAGTTATTCCTGTAATCAGTTAGTAAATGTAAATTAGTAATGTTACATTAATAAATGTAAAAGCGCAATAACGCTTAATTTATAGGCAACTTTCTTCTTTCATTCTTTTTCTCGTTCATTCCATGCACACACTCTTATCAGTCAGGCATATTTTGTTCATCGAATAAAACTGCAGTAACAAGTTGTTCTTTTCTATTTAAAATCAGCTTATTTTTATAATCACATTTTGCAACGTTCCTGCCGATATGTTTATTCATGTGGCACGGTCTTATCTTTTTCTTGTCGTATCTTCTTTTTTCTGTTTTTTTTACTTTGTTTCTAAATAAAGCTAAGCTCCTTTTTTTTATATTCCCTTCTAAAATTTTTAAATTACAAGCTCATTGATAGCACACAAATATTTAGCATAAAAAAATGCTTATTAACGAACCTTTCTTATTAGATGACACGATGTTGGTTCCAAAAAATTATATTAAAATTACATAATTTAATTACTTAATTTACATACAAACACATGAATTTTAGTACTTTTTATTAGACATTATAATTCAAATAAATATAGAGATTAGAACATAAAGTAGATGTCTATTTTCTAACTAAAAATGATTTTAATCATTGAAAAGCATATATTTTTGAGTTTACTTTTCTGATATCCCATCATCGTGTTATCCAAGGCACTTCAGAATAGTATGTTATTTTGCGCAATGAAAGACCTGTTTATCAATTGAAATTTTTCATGCTACAAGTTTCGACAAGAATAAATGATGATCATTGCATATATTTTAACTTCCATCGTATGCGCCATGTTCTAAATCAACTTATATGTATTCTGTTTAATTTTATTAGAACAATGTCTATCTTATAATTAATATAATTATTATCGATTTCAAAATTATTATGTAGCATTAACATGAAACTCTTTTTCATACAGTTATTAATTATACGAATAGTGCCCGGTACACGGACGGATATCTAATATGATAGTTCAAAGTGATTATCATGTTTAAAGATAAAGAGAAAGAGAGAGTAATTTATGATAAAAGGAGTGCCCGCTCGATAAACAGCAATAATTTTTTCTATTCGAATGTGTAATATATGATTCCTTTAGATTTCATTAGATACAATTTAGATTTATTTCAAAAGGACATTGAAAAAACACTGAATCTTGTCGATACAATTTTCCGCATAATAACACGCAATATATTTTTTTCATTTATATAACCTGGAAATTTAAATAAAACAGTTCGACACATTGAAATCGAATCAGCATTGTGAAAAATTGTTTGATACATTTTCGATTAAAAGATTTCATTTCTATTTTAATGCAAATTCTCAATATTAATATTTTTATACGGATATACTACTGAGTAAGAGACCATAGTAACATCATTATCACAAGATTACAATATGTACGGTAATTGTCTGCAATTATTTGTAAAAAAATAAAGTAATACCACCGAATACTAAAAGTATTTTCAAACATTTCGTTGAAGTACCTGTTGTAATTCAAATACTTAGTACTACATACGATTCACTGATCCTTCACATAATAATAAGATACAAATATAAATAGCTAGATTATATTTCAATCAATTTTTTGGAGCTTATGCAATGATGTATGATCGCTGTACTCTACGATAAAATATTAAATATAAAAATATTTATATTGACTTGTTCGTAACAGATTGAAAATTCTTATACATTTACATCAAGGAACATAATATACATAAATAATATGTACATTTTTTTACAACATATAATAAAATATATAAATCATTATTTCTTAATTAATTAAATTCATTTTTGTGCTTCTACCAAAAACCAATTTTATTTTATGTTATTCAAAAAAAGAACAATAAAAATTACCAGAATCTCTTTAATAGAACAGAAATATAATAATAAAAACTAATTAGATCAGGAAAAATTGCAGTGTATAAAAATATAACAAAAAACACTATAACAAAATTAAAAAATTGGACACTATATAATTTGCTTTTTATATTTGCATCTTGCAAAGAGATGATTGAGGAATCGTGTATGAATTATGTACATTTTCTATTAAATTTCAGTGCAATATCGATAAAAATATCAGTAGAGCAATATACATTTGTGTATATACATATTAAATCTAGTTAGTAGATTTCTGTTCTGGAATTCTTAAAATGTACTAATATCACTATATAACAGAACAAGTATTTGTGTACACAATATCTTGTAATATAATGTACTGTACATGACTCGTATTATATTTTGCATTTATATCGTAAAATAAAATATATGATTTAATTATCGGAGAAACATAAAAACAAATATCGATAAAAATCAGATCTCATACAATCTCACAACACGATTCCATATGGCAAGAATTTCTTTTTTTTCTTGTCCGAAGTGATCCATAAACTTACTTTATTTTGTCTTTTGTTTCATGTTTCTTGAAAAATTGCTATTTCAAAAGATGTTATATTTTATCGTATCGTTCTTTCGAAAAACTGGGTAAAAGGCTGCGTATCAGTTTTTGTGAAATTTAAAACATATTTTACCAGAATATACTAAGATGTTCACATTGCAAAAAATCATCTAAACAGCTACTATTCATTACACCAAACCTTATAAAAGATAAAAACTTGTCGTTGTACTGTTCACATTGTTTCTTTTTTCTTTTTTTTTTATACATATAGTAGATTTGATCGAGCAAAACCTTCCTTGTGTCAAAGGATTTCACAATCTGCATTAGATATCTAAATATATTAACTATGTCTTTACTTGATCAAATCAATGCTGTTAACGTATCATCATTTAAAATCATTATTGACGGCTACAGGATTTACTACTCTACTGTGAAATATGTATCAACACAGTGAGATCTACTTAAATTGTTGAAACAAAGCCTGCAAAATTGAAAAGGGCGATAAAACATTCAGGAAATCGCCTTATCGTACGGGCTGTTTATATGTGTGTTAAGTGTGTATACGTGCGCGCACTTGCGAGCGTGTATAATTTTGTAATATACACGATCGGTGGTAACCATGTCACAGGAGACCACAATAAAGCAAATTAGCTGAAATACAAGCTCTTACCATTATTCAGATAATAATCATCGGTAAGAGAATAAACTCGGCCATCCGATAACTCTGATATTTTTCATTAGAAGAAACGTAGCAGCGTGACTCAGCTTTTCTTATATTTTCTTTGCTTTCTAAGATACGATACATTCGTTTGAAATAGAATAGACAGAGCAGTGCGTGTGCTACCCCACAGCTTGAAGCGTTTGTTGCGTAAGTAGAATGGTAAGTTTGGAGTGATCGGAATGGGAATAGGATTCGAGGCCACCAAGTTTGACACCGGCAATGGTGACTCGCGTATTTCCTTCAATTGAGGTTGGTCTGAGGCTCCACTGATCTGGGTTGGTGACTGGGGTTGGATTGCGATTGATCGGGGTATGGCGTGGGGTTGCCGCTGGAGGGGTCTGTTGATCCTGGGCCCTGCTGCAACTGGCCGCTGGTGAGTGCCAGCCGTTGCATTTGACGTATGACCGTGGCTGCGTGGTAGGCTTGCTGCAACCATGAGAGAAGAGGAAGACTTTCCTACGGAGCCTGGCGAGCAAACACATACAATCAGCAACATGATAATCATCTAATTATACTAACCTTCCACCTTGATTTGGCGAAATTTTTTTTAAGTTGTTCCGATACAGTACCATGGATATTTTTATTGCTAGCTGCATTGCCGGATATCCTGAAAAAAAATGAATTTGCACGATACTGCACGTACTTGTACGTACAAAATATATTTGATCAAACGAACATTTATTAGTATAAAATATATTCAAAACTAAAAAGATATGTTACACAAAATACATATTGACCGATTTATATTGTGTTAAAATAATATGTTAAAATATTTGTTTATAAAAATTACTGAAAATTTTAATATGAGAGATACTATTATATACTTTGGGACATTTATATACATGATTCAACAATTAATTTTGTAGTAAATTAATTAATGTGTGAAATTAATGTAATTCTTCTACTTACTTAATCCATATCTATTTTATTATTAAGAACATCCATATCTATCTTATTATTATTAAGAAATTCAGTTCCTGTAATATCCTTATTATTTGAATTTTAAAACATGACTTTTCAAAAGTTATAAATATCTAATCTAGAACACGTTTGAAATATGTATTGCGAATTGCGATTTTTTTTCAATATCACATGGAATATAAATTTATGTGAGAATATTTCAAATAAAAAAAATTATATATAATATTTGAGCATAATAATGATCTTACCAAGGATGTGCAAGGGCTTGTTTACAAGTATAGCGCTCCTCAACATTGACGCACATCAATTTGTGAATGAAATCCTTTGCAGAGTCACTGATATCGTCCCAGTACGGCGAATCAAATTCAAATTCACCTATAACAGTCTGGTTAGCTTCTTGCTATAGAGTAGACGATTTTATTATGATTTACTTGATTTTTGAATGAATTATTTTGGAAAAAGTATTGTTAGATTTTCACACTGTGTAAGTGTAATATACAATAAATTACAATAAATTTGTTTCTTGTAATTTATTTAAACAATGCTGATAGTGTGATCGAATTTTATGCTAAGTTTTGAACATTAGACAAAGAATTAATGACTTTCACAAAAACCGCGGACACACACAAATGATCATTTACTTACTACACTAGTATGTATATAGCAGCATACAAAAACTAGAATAGTACCTTAAAAATGAAAATTTCAAGTTAATGTACAGCTGCATGTGTTTGTCAATTCTAAAAGTAGTACCTAAATTGAAGTGATAGTATAGTCCTCCCAAATGTTAAAAATATTTGTAAAGTAGTATTATTACCTTTTAAAATTTGTGCAAACAAATTCGCATCACTTTCGTCGTAAAATGGAGGATAACCACATAATAAAATGTAAGAAATGACTCCTATACTCCATACATCTACAGCTTTTCCATATGGCTTTTGTGCTAAGACTTCTGGAGCTGTAAATAGAAAAAAACGTTTCAATTTTTCAAAAAAAAATTAGTCACATATAGATATATCCAACATAACAAAAGTGAATCATACCAACATATCCTGGAGTACCACAAGCAGTTGCCATAACACCAGAGTCTTCCATTTTTGATAGGCCAAAGTCACTAATCATAATCTTACTGTCTTCTTCTGGACTATAATATAAAAGGTTTTCAGGCTTAAGATCCCTGTGCACCACTCCTTGATCATGCATGTAAGCAACAGCTTCTAAAACTTGTCTTATTAAACCTGATGCATCTTTCTCTGTATAGGAACCTTTTTCAACAATTCTATCAAATAGTTCTCCACCAGTAACCCTAATGTAAAAGAACAAATAAAGATTAAACATAAGTTTATAATATAGTAATTCATCAGCAAATGAAATTACTTACAATTCCATAACTAAATAAACCTTATGTTTATCTTCAAATGTCTCCAATAGTTGAACAATATTGGGATGTGTTAACCTAAAAAATACAGTATAATTTACAAATACTGAAGGGAAATTCAAATAAATTTATCTGCTGGAACTAAATGTTTACCTTCGTAACACTCTTATTTCATTTTCTAAAGAGTCCTCTTTCCCTTTCAATGCTTTCTTATCAATGATTTTCACAGCAAACATTTGACCAGGTTTTTCTTTACTTTCTGCCAGGCGTACTTCAGAGAAAGCACCCCTATACAAACAAATATAAAAAAATATAAATAAATAGGTATATTATATAAGGAAAATAAGTATATATTGCATTTTAGTACATGCAATAACATCACATGACTTATGCACTTATATGCAATTACTAATTGCTATAATGTGCCAAAACATTTGTTGCCCAGACTTTTGATATGGTAATAGACAATATTGGCATGTGCAAGTGTTCTGATAGAAGAATAGAATTTTTAATTACATACTATAGTGTAACATATTGATCAATACCATATATATATATTTCTTTTAAGTACTTCAGATATTATGACTAGGAGTACAATATGTGAAAAGATAGTTATATATTTATCGTTAACAGAAAGTATTTCTTTTTCTCAAACTATTATGAAATATCTTGTAACGTTACTAATGTAAATTAATATAATTAAATCAAATTTTAAAAAATCCTTCCTGAAAATCCGAATAAATTCAAATTTATTTAATAAAATTTAATATTTATTTTTATTAATAAAAATATTTCTTCAATAATAATTTATAGTCATTAAAAATTATATTTATAATGCACCGACATTGATTTCTATTCGTATTTAATGAAACAAATAGCAAATATAAAGTACTAATCAAGTTTTCGAAGCATTCGCTATTTCATTGCACGTAATTTAAATTCTAATTTAAACATTTTAATGTATGTACAGTTAAAATAAATGTAAGATAGATGTGAATAGTTAAATTCGTGCCAATAAGTGGTAGTAATTTTTAGATCCTGCAAAACGAAATCTGCTTGAGAAAATTTTACATCCATTGATAATACTGATCTTTCTACAAATCATTAAAAAACATTTTAACTTTAAAATAAATATAAAAGAATTCTTGTCGATATGCCTAACTTCTCTCTTCGAAAATGATTTAATAGAAATATGTTCGAAACGTTCGAAGAATGTTTGTTGTTTAAAACAAAATCGAAATTAAAGGAAGACGTTCTTAAAGGAAAATGGCATTGACAATCTTTCACGTAAATTCCAATCACAAATAATAACGTTTAATATAAATTTCATGATTTTAAGAACATACCCCCGAGTTAATTCGATTTCGATTGCACATATGTATCTAAATATATTCGGCAAAATCTACGTAAAGACCTATTTCGTTTATTAAATAGTTTACCAAAAACTGTATTTCGAGTATTCTTTGCAGATTCTATGCATTTTTGCATCGTTAAATTTCCTATACATCCATCAAAATCTGTATTTCGAGTGACATTCAAGATGTTAATTGAGCAACATCAAATAATTTGATAACAATATGAGAGATATGAAATACAAAAATCCTGTGCAATTGATTTTTATTACTTTCCAATACACAGTCCGTAATAATGTATAAGTACATACGTTCCAAGTAACTCCTTTAGGATGTATTTGTCCTCAACAGACGGCGATTTGTCGTCTTTCCCATCTTTCTTGATTTTTTTGTTCGAATCCTTCTTACCGAAGAGCGGCATCTTCGGGTTGTTTTATCACTATGCAGTATCACTGTCCGATCCACAGAATTCTCCTTTTCAATTGCAAAATCTTCCTGGATGATATACGCAGGAATATTCAATGCTGACAGGTTATAACCACTGGTCAACGAAATACTCGTTTAAGGAGAGAGACAGATAGACAGAAAGAGAGAAAGAGAAAGAGAGAGTAAAAGAGAGAATGAGAAAGAGACAGGGGGAGAAATTCGTCGTTTTGCCTATTAGTAGGTTTTGATCGTTCCAGGCAGTGATAAATGAAGGGAGGGAAAAGAAGATCGTCGTCAAATGATGAGTAAAATCATCATTTCATGTCAGTGAATTGTCATGAACTCTTGACCTTTTCGCGAACGAATGATCGCGAATGATCCGTGGACCAATGTTTGACACGTATTCGTTCCGCGCACTATTCCGCTACCGAAACGTATTCTATTCCGTGTATCGGGCTCAGGGTCGCGACCTCGCGCCCTCGCGGTATGATTTGTACTATGTAGCAGAGATAGCTCCTCCGGTGGTCTATGCGCTAAATCCTCTCCACTCTATCTTCTGGTCTCTCTCTATCCCACTTTGTAGTATCGGCAACTATCCCTTTTATCTATTTTCTTTCGATACTGGGAGATTAACATCTGGATTGATCATGATGCTCAGTCCTCAACTAAAATCAACGCATCTCTTACTCGATGCTTCTCTTTCATGATACTGTCGTACTACGAAAACTGTGCGTACGTATGCCCGCAATTGCATCACACGAACATCGTGCATCCGTCGATGATAATACAGTAAAAGTTGCGGCAATACGATGCAACAGTGATTCTCACAACCAAGTATATCAATGCTATCACAGCTATGCTTTAGTTGGCCACGCGTAGAACTCTTACTATCGCCAATTGTTACTGAAGCAGGCCTCATATGTATCTAGAAAATTCCTAAAGCTATTCCACTCTCTCGTAGTGTGAGTGTGACAGAAAATTATCTGAAACATTCGTATTTATTTTGAGATTTTACAATTTCAGATTTTTTTCACAACTTTTGTGATAAGAATAATGTGTCATATTTGTAAATTAAGACAGAAACGTTATGTCTTTGACATAGTTGCACTTGGAACTATCATGTTTCTTGTGGTGCAGGCATTTTAAATTTTAAAGCGCAAGATTTGTTAGTAGATTGATATTTTACTTGCAATTTTTTTATTAGTACGTTTTTCTTAGTAATTGCATTGGAAAGAATTAACCGATAATTGTTAAATGTAAGAACAGAAAGAAATCGAGTTAACGTACGAGCCTGAAAAAAGCTTGAGCCATCTCAAATATAAGCGGGAAATTTGAATGAACATGACTCCATACTTAAGTTTGACAATTTTGATAATTCTTATACAAGATCTTGTATAACGTATCAAATATATTTCAAATTTTCAAGATGACTTTATAAGAATCTGCAAGAATTTTTAAGTATTGAATCATATTCAAAGTGATTTGAATCGTCGTAGTATCAACAATCTTCAAATCGCTCTGAAATTGAAATTGAATTGAAACGTTTATCACTGGGCTCGAAAAATATATCAAATTTCAAATTTTCATCTAGCATAACAATAGAACAGTCGGTTCACGAAATCAATTTTAAGAACTGGTGAGGATAATAGCGGTCAGATAACAAAAAATATGATCTCGGCTAATTAATGTGATACTGCTATAATATAAGAAACTATCAATTATAATTCTATTGATTTAGTTATATGATAAACGTTTGGTAAATAAAAGAAATTTATAAAAATTATTTCATGTATTTTATCTTTACCTTTTTTTGACGTAATTTGAGAAACACTGTAGAAACCGTGAAACATGTTTCAAAAATTTTGTAAATGTTATTGGTTATATTTTGTAAATATATTTCTTCATCAATTGCTCAGTTATTTTAAAGTGTGAGAATATTGCGGATATAAATTACTATAAAATCACATAAATAGGGGACGTCTTTTATATATTATCATTATAGATATGAAAATTTGTCTTCAGTTTACATGTAGTAACGTATAGTTGCTTTATATATACGTATTTATTAAATTAGTTAAAATATTTTATACAAATTTCATCTACTAATTCAAAAATAATTTTTAATTCATTTATAAAACATTAATATTTAAAGATAATTATAATTATTAATAATCTGAAATTTAAAAAACGCTTGTGTCTATTGCAAAAATAAAACATGGTTTATAACAAAGAGCACAAATTAATTTTGCAAACAATTATGCACGACGGTTTTCTATCCGAAAATAAAGCAAAAGAGTTAATTATAAAGTTATTTAGTAAGTAAATTTATATTTAATATCAAATACAATTCAAATGTTCATGTACTTATTTTATCTGATATATTTTATATAAATGAAATTGTTTATTTCAGATGATAATAAAGTTGTACCAGTAATAAATCAAATAAATGAAAAATTACAACCCTTAAACATGTTGATCAAAAGAATACAGTGTGAAATTACAGGCCAGTTGTATTGGGTTTTAATAAGTACGGTGCTTGATGAAGTAACCAGGTTTGTATGATTAATATAGTCATAAAAAATATTTATAATCATTTAGGATGTTTAATTTTCTTTTTTCTTAAATTAAACTATATAATATTAGGTTTATAAATAACTAGAGATATCTTCATTTTACTTTTATGATTTGTTAATTAATAGCATTTGTAGAAATTTTTCATGAAGTTTATTAAAATTTGTATTATTTTATAGGTTTCAAACTGAATTTTCAAAAAATCAATTGGCTTTATTAAGAATTATATTTTCTGAAATTATAATATCGGACAATGGATGCATACAAAGTACAGTGTGTTTAAATTTATGCTCTTCTTCAGATGTGAAAATGTCAAAAGCAGATGCTGAAAATTTTCTTGAGGATATGGTTAATAGAAAATGGTTAATTTATAAGGTACTAATAAAAATTTGTCATCTGAATAATACTATTTTATTAATTTTATATTTTTATGATATTTATAGGATGGTTATTACTACATGGGTATAAGAAGTATAACAGAATTAATGCCATATTTTAAAGCTACATATGAAAGTAACTTAAATACATGTTACCTTTGCAAACAAATTCTTTTTCATGTATGTTTAAATTAATATTTCTTTTTCATGTATGAAAATCAAAATTAATATCTCTTTTTATTAATCAGGGTAAAAAATGTACTAATTGTGAAACCTTCTTTCACTTGTATTGCTTGAAGAAATTCACTATGGTTTGTGATCCTATGAAATGCCCTAATTGCAACACAGTTATCTCAGATGTTGATCTATCTGGTAATATTTTTTATCCATTTTGTTTTTATAACAAACTTTTATTTTATACTTTTTATAACAATGAAATTAACATATGTAGGTATACAAGATGATTCAACACTAGCAGAAGAGGATACAAGTAAAGTAAAAAAATCCAGCAGAAAGGTTTTAAGAAATAAAAACTAGATTTAGTTAAAATACAAAACATTAATTTATTTCATCCATAAATTTTTTATAATTATGAATAGGGTACTGGATCATACATGTGCATATATGATATATTATATCTACAAATATATACAGTAAAACGAAATGAATAGATTTGTAGTGCTTCAAGTGTTTTGATTTTTCTCAAATTTTTCTCTTAAATACTTGAGACCAGCTGTTATACTTGCTTCATCTATACTTCTGTTTTGCTTCATCTGATTTTGTACAATATTACTGGATTTGTATAGTCCAGGATCAATTGATGAAGTAGAATTACTTTGATTTATTGTTTCAATCACATTGTTATATCCAGTATTAGAATTTGTGGGTGTACTTGAGCCAGGAGGAAGTGGTATATCATAAGAATGTATATCTATTTCATTTTCTGTACCATCCTGTTGATATGGATGAGACTTGATATCATTATGAATACTCAAGGGTATATCAGCATTTTCAGAATTTAAATAGCCAGCACTTTTGAAATTTTCATATACTGGTCCAAACTCAGTAACTCTCATTTTCCTACATTTCTGTACCCACTCTTCCTGAGACATTTCAAACCAATATTTTCTTTTGCCTAGAAGTTCTCCTAAAGCTTTTATTTTATTTTCTTTTTCTAATGCTTTATTTTTTTCTATAGTTTGGTTATCATTATTTTCTCTCTTAGTTTCTTTAACTTTGATTAGAGTTTTTTCTGTATCATGCATATTTTCTGATGCATTTTGACTATATTCACTGTCATTCTTTTCTCTAAATTCTTCCTCTATCATATCTATAGGTAATCCTGCTCTAATACGCTGTCTAATTTTAGCTGCTTTCAATCTATTATGTTCCATTTTCTGTCTCAATTCTTTTAATTCATTTATCTCCCTCTGTTTCCTCTCTGTTTCCTTTCTTAAATTAAACAAATTCTCCTGTTGCTTGACTCTTTCTTCCTCATCTTGTGAAAATGCATAGTAACCAACACCATGGGTTCTAGCTTCATCAAATAAAATATCCTGATAATGTATATTCACTTTATCAGCTAGTTTCTGTGTTTGTTCCTCCCACTTTCTCCTCATGATTTCTATTTCAGGTTCTTTCTCTTCCTCCATATAATTTTGATCAACAGCATCATTCGTTTTTGGATCAATTCCTTTTTTATTTATAATTTGTTGTTTGATCAATTGATCCTTTTCTTGCATCAAGGGCAGATCTTCCCGTAAACATTTTCTCGTACGACCAAAACAATCTTCATATTCGACCCAGTCATCCTCATTTTCTAATACTGCATCAGTTTCATCTTTTGGTAGTGGTTCCTCTTCAGATTCATCTGATTTATTTGTAAAATCAACAAGAAAATTCTCATTAATGGTTCTGGATTTTTTTAATCGTTCATATAATCTTGCTTTTGCCTCCAGCATCAATTTTGACTTTTTATGCATATTAACATCCTCAATATACTGTGGTATTTTTGAATTTTCCTTTTTAGATTCCTCTTCAACTTTCTTGGGCTTTTTCCTTTGTAGCTTTGGTGTTGTATGATTTATTTCTGATTTCAATTTTGCTTCATTTACTTCATGTTGCTTTTTCAAAAGCTCTGCTTTTAAACCAACAAGCGATGAAAAATTTACATTAATCTTTTTCGTGTTATTCATTTTTAAATACTTTTATTGACAGTGATATTACGAATTCACAATTCAATCGCACTTGGTGTATGTCAAATTTAAGTTATTTCAATAACTTAATATATTTTTTCTGATTTATGTCCTTTAGTTTACAGGAGAGTGTAATCAATCGAATATTTTATCATTTATTCTTTCTTAAATGTCACTGTAAAATATCAATTATAGGTTATGGTATTAATATTTGCCTTCAAAGTGTATTTAAGGCATAAATTTCAATTTGTATAATCAAGTATGTGTTTATACATACGTTAAAATAAGTATAATTTTAATTTGTTTTAAAGAATCATAATTTCAAGTAACATGGTTAAAAATTTCCAAATTTCGTTCATATGAAAATTGATACAAACGAATCTTTCACAAATCTTCATACCAATATGTCAAATCGGTAACTGGGAAAGCTACACATACACACGCACACACACACAGATATTTATCGTTGGATAAAAGAAATAGAAATTTTTATTAGAAATATTAATCAAGTAATTATTACTTGTATTATTCAAAAAATTATTTTTATAAGAATTAAATATAAATAAATATGTAATATCACTTTAATCATTGAAGAAATGGAAACGGAAGAATAGAGCAAGCATTATTTCTTCTGATTAAGGATCACTGTTAAAAAAAAAAATAACTACGTATAACTGATGCTTGTAAATAAACCTGTAATGTAAATTTTTTAGTTTTATATCAATAAATTCTAAATATGTATTACATATAAATTTTGCTCATGCTACAAGGCATATATGTATAATATTCTTTTAATCTTTTGTCCTTATGAATATTTAATACAGTAAAGTATATAATAATAAAATGTATTTTGAATAATATTTAAATAAAAATTATATTTAATTATGTTTAAAAATAATCAAGATATCATATTCCTTAATGATTTATTTCATTGAAACTGCTATTAAAATGTAATATAATTTCAAAATTTATTAAATTATACACGACTTGTATTACACGAATTAATTTTTCTTATTATTATTAATAATAATTTTCGTAATTAAATATTTTACTTCATTAAAATAATTCAATTAATAGAAAAACATTGAACAAGATTAGGGGGTGAATGCGTGATATATTTCATTCCCTCGTACATTACTTAAAATAAAAATTATTTTATGCTATAATATCGTAAAATCCCATCAAAATAAACGTTTAAGCAATAATAAGTCAAATTTCCATTGTACAAACATAAAAATTAACATAAAAATGCGAGATAATAAATACAAAATGAATCGGAAATCCTCTTTTTTTCTATCTTCAGTAAATCGAGTACTCCTCCCAATGTATTGATCAATTGTATAAAAATACTAAGAAAAAGTTACAATACTTACTGATAGGAAGAAAATTAATAAAAACGTGAAATTATTACAATTTAATAAAGAATTCAATAGCTCGAAAGGGTGTAGAGCTTCGGGCCTTAGGCTCGATTCTTAAGAATTGTAACAGGAAATTTCATAAAAAAAAAAGTCGGTTTACTTAGTTGCAAACTAAGCGTGTAACGTGTGGCTGCGTATATTTGGGGAAATTGCGATTATTAGAAGGATTTCATCCGTTGATATTCGTCGCCATTCGTCAATCTGAAAATCGATTGTCGATTACCAAGTCCGTCCGAAACCTGAAGCTGCCGATCTGTTACTATGTTAGTCATATAATTTGCGGGCACCACCAGTTAATGCAACGAACACGTTATTGCACGTTGGATACCGGTAAGTAATCACGCGGCATAACGAGCGATATGTCGGTTTAGTTATATATACTTCTTTGAATATATACATATATATACATATATAATATGTACATGAAATGTAATAGAATAACTAAGATCGTTAAGATCAGGTTTTAGATAATTCTTGGGAACTCGTAAAATCTCGTAATGGCACCCCGTAAAGCTGTGAAACATACACAGGCAGAAGTAGAGAGAGCTCCGGAAACCAATGATGTATCGCCCTCAAAGAAAAAAAAGACCGTAGCGAAGGCTGCGAATAAAATCGACGAAGAGAAGCAAGTTAGATTGCCGAGGGCCGCGAAATTGACGAAAATCGAGCAGACAGAAGGCACACAGACGACCACAACGGTAACTAAGAACACGAAAACAAAAGTCAAGACGTCGCCGACTAAGAATGCTTCGGTGACTACGAAAACGAATTCCAAAGTCAAGCCTGTGCCGAAAAAAAAAAAGGAGGCGGTGGATAAAGATGATATCAAACCTGTGAATGAGCCGATTATAAAAGGTGCCGAGAAAACTGAAACGAAAAAGACACGCGCTAGAGTAACGAAAAAGGCGGGAATTGATGTGGAGGAAGAACGTGCGTATTAGAAAATTTTATATAAGTTTTTAATGTTGTTGTTGATGCATGTTCTCTGAAGAATTTATAGTCCGTGAAAATATGGATGGTTTGTTTATTAAATTTATTATTTAAGATGATATGATAATTACAAAGTAATAAATTTTAGACAAATTTTGTGAGTATGTACAATTGTGCTAGAAGATATTGAAATTTTCTATTGTAGAATATATAAATTTAATATAAATATTTTTACTGTGGAATATTGTGAATTTTTTAACAATTTATCGGATATGTTAACTAAATAGTATGTATATAGTACGTATATAATGTACATTAGATATTATACTACAGTACACATTGAAATACATACATACTAATATACATTAGATATAAGGACTACAACAGAAATTAATAAGGACTAGAGTTTTTGTTTCTCATGTAATCTCAAATATACATTTACATATTATTAAAATTATTTTTTTGTTAAATTTAGTTATGAAGTTCTCTCGAAAAATATAAAATATTGATTGCTTTTATACTTTTACAATTTAACAAAATTTTACTTATATTTTTCTCGTGTAATCTTCGTGTTAGACATTGTATGTCTATATTATATTATATTGTATATTATATTGTATAATAAATTAATAATCATGTATTGGTTTTAGCTAAGGGAAAGTCAAAGAGAAGAATTAAAAAACAATCTGTTAATGAGAATGCTGAAAATTCAGAAGCATCACCTGCAAAAAAGAGAAAAATAAATGTTGAGGTAGAATCAAAGGATAGTAAACCAAAACCAAAAGCAAGAGCAGCAAAAAAAAAACCTGATATGAATAATGATACGAAAGATAAAGTTAACAACAAAGCTAAAGTTGTTAATGATAATGAAACTGAAAATGATGTTAAATCAGGAGATGAAAAATTTACTAAAGTAACAGCACCAAGAAAAACAAGAGGTCGTAAGAATGAATCTAATTCAGATGACATAACAAATAATGATGAAACAACAGAGAAATTGTCTTCTTCAGAAATAGTAGACACTAATGAAAGGGAAGAAGCTGAAAATAATGAATCAGAATTAGCTCAAACTGTTAAAAAAGGAAGGAATGTAAAAAAAAAAGAAGTACCACAAAAAAAACCTACTAGAACGCGTGGCAAAGCTACTTCTATCGAAGATATAGATACAACAATAGTAGTTAAAGAAGCACAAAAGAAAACAAATAAAGATGCATTAGTTACTATAAAAAGAGTTCGAGGCAAGGTTATAGAAAGTGCAACGGAGGAGAAGAAAGTATTAAATTCGTCAGAAACGTTAAGTAGTAATAATAACATACAAAAATTGTTAGAAGATAATGATAAAAAAGAAGATGCAGAAAACGAGGAGACAAAGCACACCAAAACAGGAATGTTCAAAAAGATAGATGATGTGATTATAAGGGATGAAATAAATGAAAATAATGTGATCACTACATCGGTAAAAGAAGAAGAAAATTAAAAATGTATGTTCTATTTTTACTTGACATGTTTCTTCGAAAAAATTATATCATTAATATTTTAATATATTTGATAAAAATACAAATGTCTATGAGTATTTCTATATCTAGAAATACTAAAGAAATATATACATTGTAAAATTTCAATAATACATTTTGGTTACACATTGTTTCAAAAACGGTTATTTGTATTTTCTATAAAGTATTTTACATAGCATAGTTTTACAAACCTCTTATTAGTGTATTTTATGAATAAGGTATATATAAACACTTAGTATATTTAATATTTCTACAATATTTAAAGTTGTTTATTTGTTTTGAATCACAGAATTACTAGTGTAAACAGCATTGAGCATTCCATCAGTTACCTAATGATAGATTGAAAAAATAAAATACGTTTTTTAATTTTTTTACATTTTATGTAAGGATAAAAATTGAAGAATGTGTTTGTGGTTACAAAGCATTTACATATAAAAAAAGTGCCAACAAGTTTCTTACTTTATAATGTTTTATGCTGTATTAAGCAAACATACTATCATTCTAAATAATACTACAGTGTTCTTTTCTGTATTCTTTATTATGTTTTATAATCATTAAATACTTTCTGAAAACATTGAAGAACAATAAATTGAAAAATGAGTAATAAACTCATTTTATATTGGATTATTTTGAGTTTAATAAATCTTTATATTCATGTTGATATGATTTGATTATGATTAATTGTTTAAAACATAATTTACTTATTTAAATATTTTTGTATTTTCTTTTCTTAAATTGAAGTTATTCTTAATGTTTGACGAAAATATATAATTGTTGTTATGTCATATTTTGTTTGTATGCATTTTTGTTTACATTTATGGTTACCAAATTATTTTTTAATATTTCTGAAATTTTCAATAATAAAGTTTTGAATTACGATATAAAGTTCAGTATATATGTGTTTATATATACAAATGCACAAATTTAAATATAATACATTTGTGAAATACTTAGATCAGTTGCTTTTGTTAGAAATTAAATTGAAGTGTTCCTACTTTAATAATTAACATTTAAGAACTCCTATGATACAAAAAAATTTTTCATTATGTTATTCTCTTTATTGATTTATTTTACATTATTCTTAATCTATTTTTAGTAATTATTACAAATGTATTTGTGGAAATTAACGTAACCTATAATAATTTATGTTTCTATTCCTGTAAAAATTTAGGAATACTTTACAGGAATATTTTATAATTTTATTTTATTTGGATATTAATAAAATCAAGCAGTGTTCTAATTTTTGGTTTTCTTGTATTTTTTCAAATGTAAATATAGAAGTAGTCACAGATGAATGAATATATACACATATACATACATACATATATATATATATATATATATATATATATATAATTAAGGTTTATTTTAATAAATAAATATAGTAATATAAAAAAGCTTATAATAATGTAGATTTTCAGAATCAAAGTATGAAAAATTATTATTTTACTAAATTTATTTGCACTTTTAAATTAAACAAAATCGCATTACGCATTACAAGATTATTTCAATGTTCGCGCCAAAAGTTTAATTTCAACTTCACTCTGTTTCTAGTGAAACTACTTTAATTACTAGAAGATCGATTCGTTATAATTATACATTATCACAAATTTCATATCTTTAGAAAAAAGAAAAAAAAAAAGAAATCTGATAATCGTAGAAAATTAAAAGCTACTATAAACTATAAATCAAAGAATTCGTAATTTTGCTGAATTCGTTTTACATCCTTTCCACTATTCGTATTCATCAAAAAATCATCAACTTTACATGTAAAGCGATACGCTTTTAATTAGAGAAGAAAGAAAAATTTTACATTTGGAAAAAAAACATTAAACTTTGTGGATGCTGCTTAGCGATAAATTTCTTGAACGAAGATGGCGCTCGATTAATGGAATGCTCGCGCGTATAGATGATGTAGTGCTATCTATAAGATTGTAGTAAGTTAGAACGCTCTCCGTTGTGGATCAAGGAAGCAGTGAGAAACAACGGCGGAAGTGGGGATCGTGCGCCATTTTCTATTTTTGTATAGCAGTGAACTAGTGTTGTGTGTGTACATTTTGTGTGATAAATCGATGGATTATTAAATAATTGACGGAGGACGTGTCGATGTAATGAAATGATATTCGGTAACACGTGCTTCGAATCTCATGCGAATAATCATTATTTTGCGTTTGTCTTCTGTATAACCCGTGCGTAAACCCGTAGCTCCCTGTATCACGTAAACACTTTTTCTTCATTTCTCTTTTGAGCTAAGTGAGAGTGGCTTTCGAGAGCTATCGGTTCATTAGAACTATTACCTGGCGGATCGACATTGAAATTATATCGTTTTGCCCTCCTCGATTGCGGGATCCTTTACTCGCTTTTAAAGATAAAACTTCGAGATATAGAAGGGAAAACCAGTCTGTGATACTAAACAGTACTAAGGTATATAGCTAGAATATAAACTCTACAATTAGATATATACGTATATATGGCGTATGAGACGTAGATAGATCTAACATAAAAGATCTAGAAAAAATCTGTATAGTGTGTGCTGTGACTTTACCTTACTCGAGGGATAAACGTGATAAAGAGCAGAATGTCTCAGGAATCTGTGACAAATGACAAGCAACTGCCAACTCCTAAAGATAAAGGTATGAGATCTAGTTTACATTATATTACATTAATTGTATGTCTGTATGTGTATATATAGTTAGTAAACATTAATATATGTATGTATATATATATATGTATATATATATAAACATTAATATATGTAATATATATGTGTATATATATATATATATATATATATATATATATATATAAAGTGTATATACAAATGTATATTTATTATTATTTTATTGTATTATTTTATACATATATGTATTTTATTATTATGGGATCATATATATACATATATATATTATATATATATATGTATATATATATATATATATATATATATATATATAATATTTTATAGTTATAATTTTTTTTTCAATGTATAAAAAATATGATTATAATCTGCTTAATTTTATGCATTCGAATAACCTACGCTGGCTATATTGTTACTATATCAACAACGCCTATAATCTCCTTTGTAATATATATGTGTTTTTGATTTTTGATAGAAAGTAAAATAGGAAAATGCAATAATGTAATAGGAAATGCAAATGTAAAGATCAGTGTGTTCATATTAATAATATTTACTGTCTTTCTTCATGATTACATGTAATTATCTTGTATAGTCAAGATATAATGTAATCAATATATTTTTTCCTATTACAATTATTCAGAAAAAGCAGAAGTTTTGATGAAAATTTCAATATGAAAATTTGTTTGAAAATTGATGGTGATAGTATATATTTGATTGTCATTGAAATGTGGATCAAGAAATTCAATGTCAAAGATGTTGGTATATATATAAAATTGTATGGTAATGGTATATATATATATAAATAATTGAAATTGATGTTTTTTTATGCATGAAAATGTTAAATAATTTGCAATGGAAGGAAAAGATTATAATTTCTTATTCTTAACGTTATAATATTAGAAAGAATGTTTAATGGTTGGTTTGTATTTGTATTTGACTATTATTTATATGTTTGAGAATAAAGAATTAAGTGCAAGTAAGTTCAAGTATAATAAGTTTAATATAATGAAACACGATAGGCTAAGAAATTTATATCGTTTATTCTACAGCTATTTCTAAAGTATACAGATATTTAATAACATGGTATCTATAAAATAAATGTATAACAATGTACATTCTCAAAAAAGGTGAAATGCTAGTTAAAGATATTAATATTTGTATTAAAATATATTGGTTTGAAGATCAACTTGTTTATGTATCTTTTGCATTAATTGACTTATGCATAACATCATAATGGTACATGAATACGGTATAGAATATTTTTTTAGAATTCATTTAATGTATTATAATTTTTAAATATTGATCATTAATATCAATGTTAATTTTTTAATCTTTATTTTAAATATTACTTATCTATTACTTATGATAAATATCATAATTTTAATAAATAAAATGACTTCATAAATAATTTAATAATACGTATGTGTATATGTACATATATATATATATATATATATATATATATATACATATGTGGAAACATTTGAATTTATTCAGAAAATATCAGTTACAAATTATGTTCAAACGTACTTAAAAACAAAACCAATAAGATATAAAGTTGACAACAACGTTCTTAGGGACGTACTTGATTGGATTGTAAACTTTGTTCGCCTAAAAACCAGCCGTCGGTTTAGCCAGTTTGTATCGTGCTGTACGACATGCAGTATCTATGAAAATTTAAGAATTTCATTTCTTAGGCGCGTGTTATACAAACGTAAACGTATCTAGAAAAATTCGTAAAAATTATCAGAGTTGAAAACGATATCATTCGGTTGTGCCGCAAGTCTTATGAATCGTTTGTTTAAAGTAAACGTTTTACGAAAATAATTTTACACTTGTCGCGTGTACCTCGGCATTTTTATAAATTATATTGTTCATTAACGTCGTGCAGTTTCACATCTCGTCGTTAATTTCGCCGTTAATTTCCTGAAGTGATTCGAAACTGAAGTGACTCCTCTCGTCCGTCTCGTCCTTTATTGATAAATATTTGTACGACTGTTCGATACGGTTTCAATTGGCGAATTAAATCCTATCGATAAAAATATAGACGAAATAAATTCGACGAAATTAAAATGAAGCTAGACTACAGACGCAGGATTGCTAGTTCGAATTGGTATCGGCGACCACGGAAACGTCCGCTAGTAGGGCCAACAGGATCTCCTCTGTTAGACGCAACTCTTGTTATGCAAACCAGGTCTTTCCGATGGTTTCGCAGGAATAAATCTGTCAACGTTACAAAACGGGTTACTTTTCGTAAGTACTTCCCCAGTAAATGGTCGATAATCTTGTTTTGTCGTTGAAAGTTGGAAAGAACGTATTCACACCACGCGTTCAAATCTTCGTTAATCGTAGGTCCTACTCCAATGGCGAAAGTTCGTTATCCTATAGAGTTTGTACACATATTCAAGTAATCCGATAGCTTTCAACTAATTTGAAATTGCACACGGTAATTTAGATATACGATAAGTTTTATAAACTTAATTTTCTGATAGAGAATAAAGAAACTAATTGGTGGATGGTTTATATAAAAATATATAGTTTAATTTTAAGAATAGGACAGATTTTGAAATCCTTGAAATTGCCTTCACGTTACTGATATAACCGCATATAATGCATCATTAGTATCATTTAATTTTGCCAAATAAAATTTTCCTCTGCTTCTTAACTGTTATGTATATCATGTTATGTCATGTTATAAATGAGAGTAAATTAAAGATTTTTCACAAGAGCAACAAGTGTTTGTACTTACTTAAGTACTATATTTAATACAATTCTGCTTGTATATATGTATGGTATGAATTACATATAATAAGATGCTATAAATATTTTATTTTTAACATTCTAAAAAAAAGTGTGTGTATAAATAGATAATACATAAATTTATATTTATTATTTTAACTATTTTTTTTTTAGGAGATGAAGCAATTATATCTATGTCTGTGGCTGGGGAGGTAACCGACACTTCAATTATGGAAGTAGGCCGTTCAAGACCTCAGTTCCAGTATTCCCGGGTACGACATGTATTATTGTAAAATATTTTGCCAAAACACCATTTACGATTAAAGACCACTATTTCGATTATACTTTCAAGATCACTATAATAATTCATGGATTAATTTGCAGGAGGAATTAATATTGATAAAGAGCTTGCCATTATCTAAGAGAAGGCCCGATTTCTTAGATACCTCATATAATAAGTATGTTTCCAGTATTATATAAATACAATATTTATTCTACTATTTGTATTTTTGTTGTTTTAAGATCGTTTAAATTTTATTATTACTTCTTGCGAATTATATTCGTTTACTTTTTTCTGTTCTTTCTTTATTTGGTTAAGTTCACGTGGTGTGTGGGATCCTGAACGTTGGCATTCGGATAGGAAGAGAAGCGATACACCACCGAAAGACGAAAGAACTGGACGTGGTGATCAAGTTACTGAAAGTCATAATAAACGTCGGAACGGTGATCCAAGGGAACGGATTCGTAAGGAACAAGACGGCATAGTATTGAGTCCTCAGCGTAGAAGTTTTAATTCAGGTTGTTTTGTCAATGTGACTCAACCTTCGAATCGACGTCCTGAGAGTCCAATAGGGAAAGCAGAGGTCGTGGTAATTTATTTAAGGAATAACTTATTATAGAGAAATAGAGTAAAATTACCGGATTGTTTTAATAAAATGCATGACAAGCTATTTACTTACAGGTTAGCCATAGGGAACCTGTTCGCCGAATTGGAAGTGGAAGGATTTTAACTCGCGATATATGGGACTTTCGACCTGAGAATGAAAAACTGGAACCTGCTTTTCGGTCTGGATCAAGTGGTGGTACTTCTGTGCGTGATCGTGACAACAGGGATACTCGCGATGGAAAGGACCGAGAGAATACGAGGGAAAGAGATCGCGATCGCGATCGCGATAATTTGCGTGACCGAGACGAGAGGAACGAACGGTTCGAGCGAAGATCATTTGGTCGTGATTATGGTGACAGAGATAGGGACCGCGATCGAGAGAGAGCAGCAGAACGGAATGATCGTAATCATCAATCGGAACGTGATAAGGATCGTGGTCGCGAACGAAGATTCAGTAATGATCGCAGGCGAATATACAGCGACAATCGTAACGATGCGGATGAACCAGAATGGTTTAGTTCTGGACCGACATCGCAACATGATACCATTGAATTAAGAGGTTTCGAAGACATCCCTGAGGAAAAAGCAGTAAACAATAACAGTAGCAATACTAAGAATAAAAAGCAAACTGCGGTTCAGAAGAAGCGTGGGAAAAAGAACTCGTTGGAGAAAGATGAGAAGCAGATTGAAAATTCAGCAGGTCCGAAAGGGCGAAGTACACCGACTACGATGGATCAACCAATGAACGTTGTCGCTGCGCCGCATTCGCCGATTTCAGAACAGAACGAGTCGACGTCTCTCACACAAAAACCAAATCATGATTCCAACGAAAGCACTGTAATTGAACAAAGTTGCGAGACAATGGATAATTCTAGCACCACTAATCAGAATCAAGAAGATAGCCATCCTGATTTTAATCTAGATGAATTCTTAAAATCTGATACATTTCCTGGCGTACCTGGACTTTTAACTGTAAGTCTTATTTTGTATCTATATATAAAACGATATAGTATTTAATAATTTGCATATTATGATGTATTTTATTTATATATAGAATGGAGTTGGTTCAAACGGAGGTTCTTGTTCCCGATTTAGTCAATGGTTTAAGAGAGAGAGTCCTGTTCAACAGGTGGATAGTCGTCGAACTTCTATACAGGATGATATACTGAACAATCTTCTTAATGATATCACCGAACCAAATATTCAGATTCCATCAGTGACAGAATCTAATACATACTTTGCTCCCATTTCTCCTGCTAATACAACAGCAAATAATACTACATCAACTACTGGCGTAAAACTGCTGGAAATGCTACAACGTGGAAACAAACCAAATCAAAATGGACAAGGGGACGTAGTTGGCACTGTAATTCCAATGATGAAAAGCTCATCTATTAAAGATATGGGTGAGAATTTCTGCTATTAATTTTTATTATTATTATGACGTACGATAGAACGCTATATGTGACTGAAACTTCTTTAGAAGTTGGTGGAAAAGTTGTGCATAGTCTCGAAGAATTGGAAGCACGCATGCGGGGTGGTGCTCCTCCACCCACATCTTCGACTGATCAACCTCGTGTAAATAAGACTGAAGAAGATCTCTCTGCGTTTAAAAAATTGGTAATATTATATATATTATATTATCAATAAAATGTTACATTTTTGTCCTCTTTTTTTTATATACATAATTTGTTAATTTAGCTTGCTCAAGTGACTGGAGGACAGGCTATACCAGCGGCAAACGGTCCTATTTCGCAAAAACAACCTGTGACATTAATACAAGTAAGATAATTTTCTTTCTTTTCACCTTTTTATTTGACATCGAAATCACAAGATATTTTATTACATTTGAGATAATGCGTAATTTTCTATAGTTGCTTAACTCACAACTGAAAACACAACCAATTGCTCCTCAGCAATCGGTCCCAGAACCAATGCAAACATTTAATCACGTTGGTTCTGTTGGACCAACTCAACATCCGCATCAGGCACAAATGCAGCATGAAAATTTAATGAAAGTATTACAGATTCAACAGGTTAGTAATATTAGTAGTTCTAACTTAGAAAAAAGAAAAAGGGAAAAAAATTATTATTATTAAATTGTGTTTGTAGCAGCAACAGAAACAACAGCAGCAGCAGCAACAACAACAACAACAACAGCAACAACAACAACATTCAGATATGTTGTCTATGATGATGGGCCAACGAATGTTAGGCATGAGTCCCGTTCCACCGGAAATGCAGATGATGTTGAGTAATGCTCCAACAAGTCAGGAACTCCTCCAAAGACCAGAAGCTCAAGCAATTATTCAAGGTCTTCAGCAAGGAGAAATAACTAGACAACATCTCATACAGCAGTTACAGGTTTGTTTCTTTAACTAGAAAAGAAATTTATGTTTAAATCTTGTTGTTTTTAATATATCAAGCTATAATAATAATATGTAAAATAGAATCCAGCAATGCAGCATCGTCATAGAGAAGTTCTAGTAAATATTTTGAAAATGTATGGTGGTACTACACCACGTACTATAAGTCCGCATCCTAATGCACCAACTCCTCAAGATCATATTTTGCAACAGATGTTGTACCAACAACAGCAACAAAGGATTCCATCTCCTATGAACAATGGTAAGTTACATTCCTTGTTCATTTGTATTATTGATAGAGTTTAAACTTTTTTAAACTAATTATTTTTGATATACAAATTTTTACATTGCTGTATAACAATTAATATAAAGATTGTATGGTTAATTGGGAACTATTCTTATTATTAAAAATAAAAGTTTTCATTAAAAATATTGTAGATTAATGATATAAATATATATGATATTGTTTGGGATGCAGCTTATTGTCCACCTTCAATAATATCTCCAAATTTGACTGCTAGTCCCAGTACATTAACAGTACAGCATCCAGGTAGAATATAAAAAATAATAAATTCTTTTTTCTTTTATTACTTTGTTCTGTTATTATATATGTGTAAAATTTAATAATAAGCAAATCGCTTAGGAGATCTAAAATATCAAAATACGTATCATATTTATTTTAAAGAACTTGTGATCTTGCTTTTAAAAATTCAAAATATTTTTTTTTAAATCATAAGGATAACGATTCAAACCGTACTTGATTTTTTACTATTTTTAACAGTGATGCAACATAGGGTTCCTTCGCCGCGGGAGATTGTCATGCATGCTCAATCTATAATGCAAAGTGCTTTAATTAAGAAAAAATTGGAGGAACAACGTGAAAATTTCCGAAAACGACAGGATCAACAACAGCAGCAGCAGCAACAGCAACAACAAGCTCAGCAAAGAGCATCGAGTCCAGTTAATTCGCCAGCAAAGCAAACCATGAGTCCAACACCGCTCGCTTTTACTCCAACGTCAGTGTTACGTAAAATGACTGCTGATAAGGAACCTGAGGGTGCGAATCGCTCTAATCATCAATTAGAATCGAATTACTTACTTCTGTCTACAGCTAATGAAAATCGTAATAATATATATCGTAACACATTTAATTTCAAGAGAAATAGTTTCACGCAACAATCCGCTTCTTGTGACAATGCAATTGAGTTTATTAATTATTCAAAGCATGGTAGCATATCTGGAAAAGATACCTGGTTATCGTTGCCAGTTAAGTTGCCTGACAATGACAACAATAACGGTGATATAGAAGAATCTGCATTAAAAGATAATCATAATTCCTTCGTAGTGGCTTCTATGTCTTATGAACAACAAAAAAAAGATAATGCAACTGAGTTGACTAATCATAAAAAGCATGGTAATATGTCCGGAACTGACGCTCGATTATTGTTGCCTATTAAATTGTCTCAAAATGACAACAATAACAGTGATGTAGAAGAATCCGCATTAGAAAACAATCATAATTCCTTTGTAGAGACTTGTATGTCTTATATGCAACAAAAAGATTGGCAGAATGATTTGATTTTAAAATTAAAAAAAACAGAGAGAACAATTGAGAAGAACAAGCTCACTTGTGAAAAATTATCGAACGAAAATATCAACAAAGAATTGAATCTAAGTGATCGTAATAACAATAGCTCTCTTATTCTTGATAAATTATCAACAGAACAATTCGAGATCGAAACGGTAATAGTCGACAATAAAAAGGCATTAGAAAAAATAGAAGAAAATAAGATAGCAGTTTTACAAAGTGATGAAGTTGTTATTTAAATCATTTGGCATCTCGTAAATTTCATACATGAAAAAGATTCATAAATTTGTGACTATTATCCGATGTGTAACATTACTTTTTTATTTTTGTATTAAAATGAGGAATGATAATTTTGTTTCTTTTCCTTTCTGTTTGCTTGACACCTTTAATGTGTTTGAATATAATTTGTCTGCCTTTTTTTTGCATATTGTATACGAAAATGAGTGTTTTAATTTCGAATAAAAATATTAATCTTATTAGAAAGAAAGCAAAAAAAAAATCAACTAACAATATAAATTACATTTTCCTTCGTAGACACTAATAAACGAACATATTACAAAAAAAATATGTTGAAATAGTTTTATAATAAAACGCTTTATAAATATATATCATGCTTTAAGTTTCCCTTTACATTTTCATTTTTCCTTTAATGGAATGCTTTGAGATAATTTTCTATTTTAATGCATGCGCTTGAAGTTTTGAGGCTTTTACTTGATGTGGTTAAGGGAACTGTATTTATTAACAGAATGATATTTATGTAAAACTAATTTTTAAAAAATAAGCGTTTTTTTTAATTTTCGTACATAAATTGAATGAAATGCACATTGAACATATTAATAATTCGTCTGTTTCTTTAATCCTTATTTGTTATTTTATTCTACCTAAGAATTAATAAAATTGTGATCTTAGCCTAACAATTATTTATCATATATTTCATTGTTTATTGAAATATGTCATATATATTACACAATACTAAAATATAGTTTTTGTTTTATTAATTTGTACAAGTATCTATTTGTAGTATATAGTGAAAACGTGAAGAAAAGATTTTTAATTTGCTTAATATTTTCCTATTTTTATGTAGGTAATAGTAACGATCCATCGAAATTGGCGACTCAATCACAGGCATCGCAAATGCAACAAATGCAGTCTGCAGTTCAAATATTGACTCAAGGAGTTCTTTCTCGACATAATACCACCTTACGACCACAATCTGTTCAATCTACATGGTCAAATCCGACTATGAAACAACATCCAGGTATCTGAAGCGTTATAAATCATTTATCATGTTTAAATTTTTTTTATGTTTTGTGCTTTGCAACAATTACTCTGAACTTGTCAGAATCAATCATTATTTAATTGTTTATATTTTCATTTATAGGTCGACCAATAGTGAAAGGTGGTAGTGGCAATGGAGGAAATCAATTTCAATACAGTGGAAATTCAGATTTCCAGCAGCAACAACAGCAACAACAACAGCATCGAACAGTTTCAAGCGTGTATGGTAACCCTGCACGTTCTAAACATACTGTGACTAGTTCCATGCCACACCACAATGTTCCCCAATACAATGTTGCTCAGAATTCAATGATAAATCAGAGGTCAAACAGTATGAATAATCAAATGAAGGTGCAGCAAACTCCTCCTTCACATCTTGCTAATATGCAACATCAACCACAGCAACAACAGCGTATTCTTAATTCACAAATGCAGATGGTCTTAAATCAAAACTACAACTCGAGTCGTACAGGTAAATATAATTTATGTATGGATTGATAGAAATAGGGATGGAAATTTTACAATTGATAAGTGTTTTACAGTTTACTAACTTTTGTTTAAAAAAACAGAATGTTTTTACATTTTGAAACGATTACATTAATTTTGTTATTCTAAAATATTTTCAGGTGTCTACCTCTTGTCTAATCAAATTGCATGCAATGGTGTTCAGAAATTGGAATAATTAGATTTCACATTTTAGCTGTTCTTATTTAACCAGTCTAGACAGCATTTATCTTTGGATCGAACTTAAAGTAATCAATTAACGCTTACTTTAGGCTGTCTTCTATTTTTGTTACATAATCTACTCGATGCTTTTTTCTAGTACTAAATATCAAGCTAATATTATTCCTTCGGAAAGAAATACGACGCATTAGAACATTATATTTTCGTAGATTTCATGTATATCAAAATAAATGCTATAAATAAAAATAACAAATATTTTTCACAGATGGGAGAGTAATGCGGTCGCAGCAATTGAACATGCCCGTAGGTCGGCAAGCATCACCAGGTTTAGGATATGTGGGTAGCAATGGTGGAGATCTGTCACCGACTTCAAATCAATTGGCACGATGGTTTAGTCCAGAACTCCTTGCTCAAGCTCGGGCTGGTAAGCTACCAGAGCTTGTCCAGACAAATGTTTTATCGTTGGAAGAATTAGAAAGACTTCAACATGCATCAACTACAGTGCATAATTAGATTTATATTGTACCTCCTCATCTGTTTAATTGCAAGCACAGGATCCCATCGGCGCAGTCGTTGCTCTAACAACTTTTTAAATTAGATGGCTTTTCATATTAAAAAGTCAGTACGAAGATTCACTCCGATTAAGAAGAAATCCATTTCAGTAAAGTCCTGCTTGCATATACAAAGTCATTTAGGTAATAAACCTTAAAGGAAGTAAGGTTTAGTGAAATAAATAACCACTTCGGAAAGAGACATTTTTTGAACATGATACAGATTAGTTGAGCAGTATTTTCTCTCTATGAAAATGTCTTTTTCTTTTTGATTATCTTACGACTTATTTGTAATAAACTTTACAAATAGCATTAACTAGTAAGCTACAAATGTACAGAGGATTATGGAATAATGATATAGAATCGAAGATAATTAAAAGAAGATAAGCCATTTAAAAACAAATCTAATTGAACATCTTTCTATGAGAAAAAGATTTATTGCTTATAAGACTGAAAAAAAATATAAAAATTCTTACTATTGACTATGAGAAAACAAAATACATACTATTTCATTATGTATAGTTTCTAAATGGCAGTAAAGCAGAAGTTATTTGCCTAAGTATGGACAGCAAGTCTTTATTTATAAATTACAGAGTAACTAGACTCGATTTCAAGCACTATTTATTATTATAAAATCTTTATTATATACTTGTTACTGAGCTGCAATGTCATTAATTTGATCATTTTTTTCAGCTATTTATTTCTTTCCATGAAACTTGCAGAGTCCTTTAGGTAAATAATTATGGTCGAAATGCAGTAAATTGCAGTAACCACAAATGCAGTTACATATACAGAGAAAAGTGTCATATATTATATTCTACTTATACTATTACGAACATTGTGGTCGTATGAACAGAATGAACATGCGTTAATAAAACGAGAGCAAGTACTCATCAGATCTTGCGTATATTAAGGAAATAAATATATAATATATACTTTGTAGAAGCGTGAGGATACAGTGTTATTATCATGTTCGAAAGCGAAAATTAGAACAAACCAATTCCAAATGCAACCTTGGCAGATAGGTAGAAAAAACGTTTGCAAAATTTAACGAAAGAAAGGAAGAAAATCAAAGAGAAAGGAACAAAAAAAGAAAGAGAGAACATTCCAACGGTTATAGAGAGACAAAACAAATACATTAACAAATAGAAAAGATTTATTGTCGACATTGCTGCCAATATGTGTTTGCTTTATAATTAACTTGTTATTTTTGTGATTACATTTTTCGTACAGTCATATTTATATTTGACCGACAGCATCAATAATAACTTGTTCTTCTTTTTTTTTAACTTTTTTTGATCTAAGTTGTTACTTGGTTGATAATTAGTGAATATCAAACTACCATATCAGTTATGTGAAATTGCATTTTTCCCTAATTTAATAATGAATGATACTTTTATATTCATTGGTATTTTAGAACCTAGTAAAGACACTAAAAAGACCTGACACAATGTTAACAAATGGAAACAAATATTTTTCTAAATTTCGTTTTGTGTTCACGTATACAAACTGATATTTAGATAATTTCATTGAATTACAGAGTTCATGGACTTCTGTTACATCTACTCCCTGTTTTACAATACTCTATTTAATAAAATTAATTTTCATATTTGGATGTACTCATTCCGTCTTTTTACTTAATCTAAAGCTTTTTATTAAAATGATATATTCAGCACATGAGTGCTTCGTTGTCAAGAACGTTTTGTAATAATCATGAGTATATTTATGAAAATTGTCGTACAATCACATAATTGTACACTAAATGTTGATTACAAAAATAATTGGTAAGAACATTTTATGAATGAGAAATTTGAAAAACTATAACACAAGGGTTTCTTAAAATATACTGCAGTTATGCTACAAACAATTATACAGACTACGGGAAATGTGACAAACTTTTTCTGCGCTTTTTATGCATACAATTCATATTTCATTAAACCAAATAATTTAATGAAACATGTGTAATATATTATCCTATTCAGTATAGTTAAAGATGGAATTTTTAATGTTTTTATTGTTCAAATGTTTTTCAATGCGGCAAAGATGTGCGTCATGTTCAGATTTATTTCCGACCAATCTCTGTTCGTATTCACATTTATATAACTCGTCCATAACTATGCAAAACTGTGCTATGTAAAAAACAAAAATTTCATTGGGAATTATTTATTGGGAATGTAATTACTACAAGTACTGCCAACAAATGTATTAGTGTCTACATTACACTAGAAAAGTACCAAGAAAAAAGGAAAAGAAAAAGAAATAGACAATGACATTTGTTCTGAAATATTACAACATTGCAAACAACATTGTTGCCTTAAAAGAGGCTATTACAATCTATTGCTATTGAAATCTATAAAAGAACGTATATATGTATATATAAAGGACATCTCGTTTATATATGTGTATATATGTTCTTTTACAAATTTCAATTATTTAAAACATCTCGTTTTATAAATCGTTCTTGTTTTTATATACATATTAAACAAGAATGATTTAAAACGAGTCTTTTACGAAGAAAATTGCATTTACGTTAGATTCATCTATAAAAATAGCAACGCTTGATATTTGGTGGAAAAACATTTCTTACAAAATTGTAAAGAGAACTTTTAATTCGACTTTTTAAAAAATAAAACGAAAAGGTAATAGTGTTTTGCGCTTTATTGATTATAGTATTGTGAAGTATGAATTTTGTCCTCATAAACTCGCGAATTCGAAAGGTTGTTTCGTAATTCGAAAATTTTTGTAAATAATTCAAATCCTGAGCAAAAAAAAACTGGTTTATTGGCCCATGCAATAAATTGCATTGGGCCAATAATTTGTAAATAAAGTTATTAAATATTACATTATGTGAAATTGAAGAAAACGTCAGAAATAAATACAAAGAATGTAATTGTAATTTTAGTCATTTCATTTATTTACTGAAATGAATTGAAATTAATATAGTAATAACTAAGATCGAGCATATTCTCTTGGTGTATTTTATGAACTGAAACCTTTGTACTCCAAGTATAACCATGTTTAATTTAAACATCAATTTAAATATCAGATTCATTTTTTTATTACTGTTTGTTCTCTTTCAATATCATTTACATCATAAAGGATAAATCAGAGAGGATTTACATGAATGTAAATATATTTTTTTGTAGCATAACTTTTTAATGAACTCGTATCACATTTTTTTTTGAGAAAATGTGTTTCCAGAGTTCTATTAATAATCACAGTATATGTAATGTATATCGTATTAATCGAAACAAATGGAAGCTTGGAATTAAGAACTTCGGCTGTTTCCGTCTATACTCGTTTCTCGCCACCAAGAATCCCTGAACTTGCCAAGTGAACGGTAAAACGCACGAGTCGTAAATGGACCTCCATAGTCGAAGGTGCGTTTCTCATCCTTTGGAATATACGAATTATCGGATCCGTAAATCATCAGAACACCCAAAATTTGGATTTACGTTTGATTCTGGATTATCGAAATTCAGTGAAAACCTTAACATTTGCCATAAAGGAGTAACTGAAACACGTACATCAAATTTTTCTTTGCGTGAACAAGGTTTCAAAGGCATATCTTATTTGACTTTGGCAATTTTCATTCTAAAGGCAATTTTTACGCAATAAATACATACTTGCTTTTTTTGGTACTTATTTTATCATTTAAATAACTCTAATGATTATCGATATAGGAAGTGTACTGTCGAAGAAACGAAGAGGATATTAAATTCTGTGCAACGTATATTTATTTTTAGAATCCTGAAATGTACATAGAATTAGTAGTCGAAATTATTGATTGTTCGAAAGCTATGTAACTGATATTGTGCTGTGCCCTACACAGAGACTAATTGAAGGAAACAATAAAATTCGTTGTTCGATCGAAACTAATTAAATGTACCGTTCCATTAGCGTAAGTAATATCCCTAGAAATAGGAGTATATGATATATATCAGGTTCAAGCGCGGTGAATATGCGGACGTGATAAAAAGGTGAGTAGCATATGGCGGGAGAAGTGTTGGCGGGGAACCACGTGAAATCCAACGTAGCCTAGCGCCATTAATGGCAGCCATTGTACATTGTGCGCCCTTCAGGGTTGCCATTTTGTTTGTTTCTTTATAGATAGTGCGATTGCAATTATAAAAGGAATGCCTAACGAACGAATAGACGATCGATTTTGTCCTATATTAAAGGGATTACCTCCACGGCATATCTTGCAGAGATTTCATTTCCTTTAAACAAGTCGTGGTCAATATGTAGTGAATACGTAGAAAAATAGTTGCATACTCATACATGCTTGTCATCTTTACTTATGTGTATGTATATTCAGAAATGAATGACGAATTATTTGTGAACCGAAAAGCAGCGCTCGGTCCGATGTCTCGTGCAGTTAGACCTCGAGGCATATCAAGACATTCGGGAAATGTGCGTCGGTGTTAGTAGCGAGACTGTTCAACATACTAGAATGAATCTTGCATATACGGAATCCTTGAAATACGACTTGAAATGATATTGTTGTATTCGTCCAAGAGATCATGGTCGTGATTACAAGTTAAACAAGGTACTTGTTGAAACATATCGAGCATAGTATACGATACTACGGATCCCGAAAAGCTGATACACGGGGGGGGGGGGGATTACATCTTTTCGGGAATCCGTCCGAAAGGTGGTCATACAAAATCAATTGTGACTTTGTGCGTGCGTTCTATAGGAAGTGACATTCTATTGAATAATTAAAGCCTGGTACGCGGCAATCAGTACTTTTGATGCTTAAATATTCATCGTGTTAATCTAGTACTTCTAGCTCGCGATGTAGAATTATAGAGCGCGCTGCAGAACTTGGGGAAAAAAAGTGTCAGTTCCGACGTAACTGCGACATTGTGAGAGTTAAAACCGAGTCTATGCAGTGCGTGCACGTAGACGTGCATTAACGAGCACGGAAACCTTGGGATTTCGCATTTCTGTCTCGGGTCGGGTTCAGCAGTGCTGAAGGTTTTCGAGACGCAGGATCTGAAAGGCGAGAGAAGATCAATGCATACGGCGATATTCTGCTGTGTAATGTTTTATCAGGTGTGTCGTCCTAGATAAAGAATATATTCTTTGGTAAGGAATAGGATATACATTCGTTAACTACATATTAAGAAAACGTGTAGATCATCACTGTTTTGAGAAATGATTTCTTTTCTTTTCTTTTTTCTTTTTTTTTAAGAAAATAATGCGGTAGGACTGTTTCTGTTTTATTATATATCACGTGACATGTTCAAAAATTTTCAAGTTTTAATTGTTTTTTGGGGGTAAAGGATAAATAAAAGAAAGAAAAAAAAATCGTAATTGAAATCGTCATATACATATACGTTGCATCGTTCGACTGTCATTTATAAAATCAGTAGCGTCGACGAAAAGTGAAAGATTGAATAAGAGAAGATACAAATAGAAAGAAAAAGACAACGACGAGATTCGCAAGTGCAAATTGTACGTAATTCACTTTTTGAACGTGAGAAGATCGAATTTTTAAACGGATTCTTATATATAAATACAAAAATACATAAAATATATTTCTTATACAAATATAATTTCATTTTATTGTGTTTTTCGAATTTTTTCTTCTGATATCTTACGAATGGTTTTTTTATAATATATTTCGAAAGTTCATTACTTTCTTTTTTCTATATCTTCCATCGTACTTGTATTTATCGTCGAAGTATAATAAATCAGTTATATAGTACAAGACCAAAAGAATTGATACATACCTCATTGCGTACATTACGTGTATTCATTTTGCTCCAATGTACAGTTTTAGTTATTGTTGCTGTTCATCAAGTAGAAGTACCGTTTCTACAATTTGAGACGTATGATTTTTATTCATTGACATTGAAACTTAATTAATTCTGCATTATATGACATGATTAAATACTAAAGTTTAAACAGAGAGATCTATCCAGAATGTTCTTCTGGAGGCCATTTTTAGAAATGACGATCTTAAGATATATTGCAATAAGTTTCCAATACGATGAAATACTTCGTAGTATCGTTGACTTACGGCCATCGAACAGAACTCTGCCAACCGAATGTCATTCTAATTACTTGATAGTGATAGAAAATCATAGTAATTGTCGTTAATTCGTGGCCGAAAGGTCTTAGATGAGGGAGAATAGTGCCAAACAATACCGTGCAATATCGTTCGGTCGCCATGTTTGCTACTATGCTGCTCTCTACCAATGATTTCAAATCTTTTTGATTGTGCTTCCATCTACTTCCTTCCTCTCATTGAGATGATGATGAAACTACGCATGCTGGGTAAAATGTAACAAGAGAAACGTCTCTCAAGGATGTTTCTCATCCGTTTCTTTTTTTTAATCGAATTCGCCAGGAACATGCATTCAAGCTTGCGATAGGGCACGAACATGAAACACGGTATGTACGAAACGATGTCAACGATATTAACGGATATTAAGAGAATAAGCTCTGCACAACCGTCATTAATAAGTGATATTTGCCCGTTCAAAGCTGATTGGACCTTGCAGTTTCTATGTGATTTACTGCTAGCGAATGATACGTTCGCGCCATTCCTTGCTTATCTCGGAAAGTCCAGTGAAATCTTCACCTGAATGCAGTTGCAACGCATTTAACCACGTTGTGTATCTCTGTGTGCTGTGATATATGTTTGTGGCCAAGTTTTTTTATGTACGTTTCCTGTTTTATTTAGTGCGTCCAAGTGTGTTATCTCAAAGCAGTTCGCCTGATTGTTAGCTCGGCATTAAGCGCAGAAGAATTGTGTCCGTACAGAGATGTGATACCGATCTCGAAGTCAGTTTCTTTTGTACATAACGAACGAGACACGGCTATGAGTTCTGAATTTATCAAGGAATGTTCAGTACGCATGTGCAGTATAATATCCAAGCATAAACATCGTGGAATTTACCGATGATCATTGATTTGAATTGATCATCATTCTGTCCAATTTTACCTGTCCAACTACCAGATTATGTTCGTTGAATGTGCCGAACGTGATAAATTTTACGCTCCCTCTGTCGGTTTTAACTGTTTCCGATATGAGAGTGAGTGGTCACGTGTGTTGTTTCATTAGTCGAAAATAATGTCATGTGAAAAATGTGCTGTGAAGAGGAGTCACAATGAAATAAACAGCATTAGTGTCATGTGAAATAATTTTCTGGTGGTATATATCATATGAAAGGTATACCAAATTTTAAACTTACTATTGTTCTTGGCGTGCTCAAATCGTTGACACAGAGCGACATTGTTAATTGATGTTAATTAATTAACCAATGTAAACAGAAAGTGTTTGGTATATTTTGTATATTATGAAATGTCTGTACAAGTAAGATTATTCACGATATACGAGAATAAACTGGTACACACGAATCGTTATATTTCTTTCTCTCGTACATGTGCGTTTTATGCAATATACGTTGTTCATTATTCCAGTTATTGATTATCTGTGAGGAGTGACCATGGATAGTAACGAGTTAGAATGAAAATAATCCTCTGACACTATCCGCAATAAAAATCGCAATGGAGATGATAATTCATTTATAAAAATTTGAAATGAAATTTCATTTTCGTATCCAAACAAATGGACTAATACAAGTGACAGATATTATGTTTTTTTTTTTTTTTTTTTTACGTAAAAAAAAAAATATTAGCCAACAACTAAAAAGTGATAACGTTACACGGTT